ATGAAGTTGTTTTTACCTATCCGTCCGTCCGTCTCTCTGTGTGTCTGTTTTCATTAAAAACATAAAAAGCTGTTCATGACTTTTGACTATGTGGAGCAATAGCTTTAATATTTCTACGGTGTAAACCTTGTGACATGACTTTTTTGTACCAACATTTTTTCTCTGATCTTGAAATCCGACTAAAATTTAACCTGGCCCATAACGTTTCAACAATTTGTTCTTGGACTCTCTTACTTTACTGTATCCTTTCAATAGGTAAATTAAGGAATGACTTTAATTCTTGGCCAAATTATTCGATATAACCTGGTTTGGGTCAGTTAACGCTTTATAATCCGCGATGCGGATTATAAAAAAGCGTAAACTGACCCAAACCAGGTTATATGAATAATTTGGCCAAGAATTAAAGTCATTCCTTATAATTCATTTTTAGAATAATTAAAGAACTGTGCTGCTTTTTATGAGTTCAAATTTGCCGCTCAAAAATACAATCGTAACTAGACCTTTTTTGTCGTTCAACAAAAAACGGAGGGCTTTTTGACCCCTAAAAAAGTCAGGAGCTTAAAGTAAATTGGTTCTTACATAATAAAAATTCAAAAGGTTAATTATGTTTTAAGTTCTGATGATATCAATAATGAAACTTAACAAGTCACTATATTCATCAACGGCTACTCAAAGAGACATAACTTTTTTATGCTAATTCAAATATATGACACAAACGACTGTTTTTCAATTCAATAAAACTCCTATAAGGGGTCAAAAAAGACCCTACGACATATAGTTCTTAAACTGCCTGTCTTATGCTCAACTCAAAACCGAAATCACTTCGAGGATTTAATGAGTAAATAAAAGTTTTTGGCTTAAAACGATTTTCTGTCCTGACTCCTAAAATCCATTTTATTAAAAAAAATATATTTTCATCGCTTAACCACCATAAACAATGCTAGAGTATTATTCATGGGAAATATCACAAGAATTGCTTGCTTCCCTTTTGAGATAATGGACATTGAATGATTTATAATTTAACATAGAGATTTCTATAGATAAATTCAAGGTACTTATAAAACCGGAAGTACGCTTCATGTACATTACAAAATTGAAAGATAAAAAGCATATTAGACTCAAACTGATGGACAAAGAGAGATAACTCTAACGAAGTTATTTTTGAAATTACTAAAAAAATACAAAGTTTCAGGTACCTAAAACACCCGTAAGGGTCAAAAAGTGAACCCACGGACCATTATTTTTTAAATTCCCTTCTTATGCCTCACTCAGAACTGAAATCAGTTTGTAGATTGGTTGAAAAATAAAAAAGTTAGAGGCAAAAAACGGTTTTTCAGTACTGACCCCTTAAATCCCTTTTATCTGAAGGAACCTTGTCTCATGACCTATCCACCGAAAGAAAATATTTGAGTTATTATTCATGTGAAATATCACAAATATTGCTTGCCTCCCTTTTGAGATAATCGACAATGAATGATTTATAATTTCACACAGAAATCTCCATAGACAAATTTAAAGTACTATAGTAGTATAAAACCGGAAGTACACTTCATATGCATACAAAAATTGAAACATAGAGAGCATATTAGACTCCAAACAGGTTGACAAAGGGAGATCACTCTTGCACAATAATTTTTGAAAATACTTAAAAATACGATATTTAAGATCTCTTAAACTCCTATAAGGGGTTAAAAAGTTACCCCACGGACCATAATTTTTAAATTGTACTTCTTATGCTTAACTCAAAACTGAAATCAGTTTGATGATTGGTTGACAAATAAAAAAGGGAAAAGACGATTTTTAGAGTTGACCCCTAAAAATCCCTTATTGTAAGGGATTTGGTTTTCATAACCTTTCCACCGGAAGACAATTATAAATCAATTATTCCCTGTAAATATTAAAAGAAGTGTTTGCTTCCCTTTTCAGATAATGGAACAAAAATGATTTTGTTTTACTATTGAAACTCCCATAGACAATTCCAAAGCCTTATAGAACGGGAAGTTCTGCTCTGATGGACATGAAACTTACAGTACAGCCTTTAATTACTTTGATAAACAATATATATCCTTCAAAATAAATTTCCTACATTGTTTTCAAAATTTTAAATTTCAATCCCCCCTTTTCTTAACTTTTGATTCCTATAACACAAAAATGTACCATCGGTGTAAAAACACTAACGACGACTTTTTTGTAGACAATACTTTGAGGAATATATTCATTAATTTTGAACAAAATTGCATGTGAAATAAGGAAAGTATTAGGGTTTAAAGAAATTTTAGTTTCTGACTGATAAATACCGGAAGTGACGTTTCCGGAAGTGCAAAACCTTACTTACGCGAGACTTTTTGATATGCTGTCAAATGCTAATGTTATAAATTACATATCTCCAATGATGTTCTTTAAATCCTTGAGCAAAAAGTGTTAGGTATAATAATAATCAAACAACACGAAAACAATAGGGCTTTTCGCCTGAAAGTGAAAAGCCCTAATAATGGAAGTGATGGGAAACGAGGGGAGGTAATAACTGATACACATGATGTTTGTTTACATGATGTAAGATCGGGATACTGTTTGAAGTTAGAGGTACATTTTTTATTCTGGAATTTTACATGAATTGCGAGGACTGGAAATGAGGGGACAGTATAGATAAGATAATTAAGCTGGTCGTCAAGGGGATGTGTCCCCATACCAAACCAGATTAAACAGAATAATTTGCGTTCCTTTTTAGAAATCAACCAATGAGAGACTAGAATACAAACAAAATTAAATTATATAAATATTTTTGTCATTGACTTTAAATTTTTGATAAACTTCTTAAAAACTTTACACTGTACCTTGGCCATAACTTTTGAACAGTATATAACCAGGACGTTTTTGTTTCACGTGTATACTCCTTGAGAAAAGGCATTCTTCTCGATAATAAAAAAATAATAACTTTTAACCTTGGTGTATGACTTGTGTTTTTTTGCTTGCATTTTAGAAACTTCGCCATTAGCTGTCATACGGCGAATGTAAACACTTCTTGAATTTATATAGATAGCACCATCTCTTTCACTTTGTATTGTGGTATTTAACAAAAATTGAAACAAAAAAAGAGGAATTAATGAATTTATACGCATATTGAAGGAAATGATCCGAGAGCATTAATATTTGTTGATAATATAACACCTTAGAGAAAAAGCTCTTTTATACATAATTTGAAATCGAGTCAAATGAACAATACACCACATCTGTTTTGCACACGGACAAACTAAGAATATTTGCAGTACAAATTAGGCCTCGTTCCCTTTTTCGAGCCTTAACAATGCTGCGAATGTTAGTAATGTAAGTGTTTCAATGTAAAAAAAATATTATTACTCCTTGGAAATATTTTCTACAAATAGAAGGCAATTACTTACTATGAGTGCATTGCAGACCTTGATATCCTGATACACACCCATTTACACAGTCACCATTTACGACATCACATTGCTGTTCTTGACAATAAACTGAACATGATTGATTACAATATTCTCCATAATATTCTGGAATATGGCATCCTATCTAACAAATGGTACTTTTTATTTGAATTTCTGTTTATCAAATGTTTAATCTTTCCAGATTATCCCAAAAAAAAAATATTTTTATTTCATGATGGGATATTTATGGTTAATTAAGGAAAATGTTTAAGAATGCTAAATAAATATATTAGTTATACTTGAAATCTCTTTTATCTTCTTCTGCATTTTTATTGAAAAAAAATTACATACAGTAATGTTCTGCAATTTACCGTAGACTTCCAATTCACACAATTCATTGAATGCGTACGTAGAATAGTAACCAGGATAGACAACGCCAGGTTTCCGTTCATTATAATATATTACATAACGTCCATACAGAGAGCAGTTGATTCTCTGGTCCTCTATAGGTGTGCCATTCACATTCTGTATCTCATGGAAACAAAGATGGCCATCGTACTTTGATGTCGTGTTTGAAATGAAGAGGGAAAATCCAGCAAATCTGCCAGTGTATGCACTTGGACCTGAAATGTAACCGATTGATTTAATCCACTTGTATACAAATTTTATATACTGTTTATATATGTACAAACAATAATTACATTTATACTACTTACTGGGATAATTATCCGTCCTGTAGAAGATGTTGATGTAACTGATGCTGACCACACTCTGTAGATCTACCCTCCATTCTGCAGTTTGATTTTTGTCAGCTGATATTGTACACTCGTTACCTTTTGCTCCACGGTCAGTATACTTCACATCCACAGCCTTGTCTGCTCCCCAGATTTGTGAAAAGTTGGTTTTCTGCCAGGCAGGTTTCCCTAAAGCTAAATTTTCTATCAAAAGACAATGAACTTATCATTTAATAAAAAAAGGTGTTGTTAATTCTATGCGAAGATATACAATTACGAAGCGTTTGCAATTTGATTTCGCTGTTAGTCTATATATAAACATTAGGATGCTTTATGATAATAGTGATGACTTTATCAATTTATTTGTTAATTTCCATTACATGTTTAGCAATATATCCTTATCACATGTATAATGGGTTAATGTAATTCATTCGATACGCAAGGGCAGGCTATTTATACGAACAAGAAGAAGGTATAGTTTTAGCTTTATTGCGCCCTAAAAATGTAATGACATCAAAACGTTTTGAAACTTGCTTAAATATTAGTTAAATAAATGACTCTGATAAATCAGAAAAGAATATGGAATGAAAGTTTACCATTCTGTAAATATGACGTCATTAATGTGAAGCATTTTTCTATCTTCAACAGAAAAAGCCTCAAAATGGCACATTTCAAGGGCGATTTTCAATTCTTCAAAATCACCTGTCAGTTTTGAATACTTTTAATATTCCACAGAGCCAAAATGAATTTGAACTACTTTATATATATTGGATTCCGAAACTTCATAAGAATCTTTACAAACAAAGACACATTGCAGGTTCCAGTAAATGTTCAACCAAGCCTCTTTCGTTACTTCTCACTAAAATATTGACAGTAGTGAAGGAAAAACTTCAAGAGTACTGTACAACTATATATTCAAGAAGTGGTGTAAATCAGATGTGGATACTTAAAAATTCTAAAGAACCTTTGGACAATTTGAAATCACAAGACTTTACAAAAATCAACAGCTTAAAAACTTACGACTTTTCAACTTTATACACAACAATTCCCCACGACAAATTAAAATCCAGGCTTTTTTATATCATTGACAGCTGCTTCTTCAACAAAAATGGAACTCGTGAATTTACTTACCTCGTCATTGGTCATTTGAAAAATTATTTTGTTAAAACAGATTCTGATTGCACACATAAGTACTCTGAAGTTGACATCAAGAAGATGCTTGAGTTTCTGATTGACAATATCTATGTGGTTTTTGGAGACCAGGTATTCCAACAATCTATTGGAATTCCTATGGGTACAAATTGCGCTCCGTTATTAGCAGACTTATTTTTATATTCATATTAAGCAGAATTTATGCAAAATCTTATGCGTGAAAAGAAGAAAACACTTGCTGTGGCCTCCAACTCGACATTTAGATATATCGACGGCGTATTGTCAATTAATAATAATAATTTCCATTCCTACCTCGGCACGATATATCCCGGTGAGCTTGATATAAAAGATACCACAGAGTCCGACACTTCTGCTTCATACTTGGATATTTTACTTGAAAAAGACACTAATGGTAATCTAACAACCAAGCTATATGATAAACGTGATGACTTTAATTTTTCTATCGTCAACTTCCCTTACTTATGCAGCAATATGAATATACCTTCATCATCTGCATACGGAGTATATATATCTCAGTTGATTCGATACGCAAGAGCATGCTCTACGTATGAACAATTCCTTAAACGAGGTAAATTATTGACAAGCAAGTTGATGAAACAAGAATATCAACAGTCTCGTTTAAAGTCATCATTTCGTAAATTCTATAGTCGATACAATGACCTTGTCAGCAAATACAATTTATCATTGAGTCAAATGCTGACTGACGTTTTTCATACCAATTGTTAGTCCATTATTTATACACTGAATTGACAACGGCTTTTTTCCGTTATTTCCTGATCATGACAATGAGCACTCGGCGGGTGTGACCGGTCGGCAGGGGATGTTCACTCCTCCATGGCACCTGATCCCACCTCTGATGTTTCGGAGGTCCGTGTTTGCTCTGCTCTTATTTTTTATATTGTTTAATGGACGTTTAGATTGAATACTGTTCGTTATTTCCATATCCTTCCTTTAGAAAATAGAGTCCACAGCCGTCGCCCACGTTAATTTTTTGATATTTTGTGCAAAAGTCAATAACAAATCACACATCTCAAGATCTTTGTGGGCGATGCCTGTGGACAATGTTATATGAAAGAAAATTCCATTTAAAATTGGTGTCTTCTGCAACTTTTTAAGAAAATACGGGAAAATGCACATGTTTATGACATCATAATTAGCATTTAAAAACACATCTGAGAAAAATGACTTGTATGATTTTTCTGCATTGAATTTCAATTATTGAAAAAGCATGAGTTTTCAACTTTTACACCAGTTTCATTTTTTTTTTAGAAAATCACAGAGCAAAATTTGTATGGAAACCATACCTTCTTCCTAAAATGAGATGAGATAAGACGTTGACAAGGACGTTAATGAAACAGCAATATGGACAGTTTTGTTTAAAGTTTTTCTAATTTCTAAAATTGCAATGGTTTATAAAATAACCTTGGCTGCAAATACAATATATCATATAGTCAATGTTGATGGACTTTTTGCTTAGAAATTGTTTGGGCATTATTTATACTAGTAATTTTTCCTTTTTTCCGATAATGAAAAGTAGCAAATGACACGTGTATTTGACCGGCAGCTGATGCATACAGGGTATGATCCGTCATGAGATTTTTAAGAGGTCCGTGTTTCTCTGCTGCTCATTCATATTGTCTAAATGATCTTTGGAGCTTGAAAATTGGTCTATAAAACTATTATATGCAGACATTTGTGTAGATTTTTTGCGAAGATTATAAACACTTTTTTCTTTTAAATTATTTACTGTACCTAATAATACGACATTGACCTCTCTTTTCATTGACAATAGACACATCAATTGCTAGAATTGAGTTATTTTGAAAGCCAATAATTTTGTAACTACAGTAGCTATGGTGTTAATGAAATATATATTTATATGAATATTTTAAGCCATAAAATAAAAAAGAAATAATAAGAACTTTATCATTTAGTGAATGAACATAAAATGTCGTTTTCTTACGATATGCACAAGTACAAGTTGCAAACAAGCTGACGTAAAAAATTCGGAAACTCATCCTCTTCATTCTGTAAGAATTAAAACTTTTAATGACGTACTACGCATACAAAAAGCACACTTGTATATTAAATCAGTTGATATAAACTTAAAACAAAAATCAATCGTAATTCAGTTTATATATTAATTTTTTCCCCTATGAGTAACTGGATTTTAACTATAAGATAAAAAAAATCTAAATTATAAGATATTAATTAATAAAAAGAAGATGATTTTTATAAAAGAGCATTGGTATCTCATGTTTGCATTGCCTTTAGTTTGGCTTTCAAATGAATTTTTCATATTTAGTTTGCTGACATAATATATTGCATTGTTTTATGGCCTTTTAAGCTTTAATACTGTTAGTTATCTCCATATATATTATTTTAATTCGTATAGCTACATGTAGTTCTAAACATAGCTATTCCTCACAATTGTTCCTCAAATGTTTCCCTTACCTTGCATCTGTGCTTGATTTCCATTAAAAAAGATAACTTACTGCTAAACGGCCTTAAGTGTCAAATACAGGTTATTTGAAGGCCTTCACAAGCAATTTGTATAAGAACATAATTTGTGATAGTTCTCGAATTGAAGCAATCAACGGTTAAATAATTGTATATGGTACTTCTTCATTCTAGAAATATTTATTGCTTAATTAAGGTGGCCCATAACATAACTTTCTTGATGAGGTACTACACATAACAACAAATTTTAAAAAATCCATTTGAAAATAGACAAATATTGTGATGTCGAAATCGTTGAAAAAAGTTACTTACTGATTTGATAGGAATTTAAGCTTTATGTCTTAAAATGAGAAGAGATATGTAAGGAGGAAATTCTGATTGAAATTTAAAACCTTGTCGAAATAAATTTTAATTGCCTTGCTATGTTTACAGTATTGTTGCTGAATTTTAGTTCAGTTGGTCAAAGAACAGAAGAGCTTATGGCATAGTAAGGTGTTTGTCGTCCGTCCCTTTGTCGGTTATTATTAGTCCCCTACCGGTGAAACCGGAGGGGACTATAGGTTTCCTCTGGGTCTGTTTGTCCGTTCGTTTGTCTGTCTGTCTGTCTGTCCCAGTTGGTTTTTCCACACTTTTTTTTAAATGCTGGCAGGTATTGAGCTAATTTTTTGACACGTGGGTGTATCTTGATGAGTTACAGATCAAGTTTGAATATCTTTGCGATTCAATGATTTTTACAGAATTAAGGCCTTTTAAATTTTTCAGGGTTTTCCGCACTTTTCTCCTAAACCCTTGCAGATATTGAGCTGGTTTTAAGTATAAGACTTTACCTTAATTAGTTAAAGATCAAGTTTGCATTTTGTTTTGCTTAATTGAATTTTAAAAGAATTACAGTATTTTTATCTTTTTAATTTTATTCCATAATTTGGTTAAATATAGGGTTCGTGATGCACCACATCCATGTCGTGATGCACTCAATTTATGTCCTTAACGAGATTGTCATGAACTGAAACTTGCTGGATAGATTTTATAAATTGATTAATGATAGATCAAGTTTGCATTTCGTTCTACTTCATTGATTTCTGAAGGAATTGCGGTATTTTTTTTTAATAATTGGGTTCACAATAGGGATTGTGATGCACTAAATTAATATCGTGATGCACCACTGGATCAATCGGCAATCCTCGTTTGACTCCGCTACGCTCCATTCAATTTATTATGTGCGAAGTACGAGTCATCCGTGGAATTCCGAGTGCTACTGGATTAATGTATCATGATTTGAAACTTGCTGAATACCTTTATAGTGACAAATATAGATCAAGTTTGATTTTTTCTTCTTTTTTGTTCAACCATGTAAAATAAGCTGTTCTGATCAAAGCATTTGTATGTGTGTCAAATGACATTCAAAGACGTCACGAGTCTTTCTTTGTAAGGCAGATCCAAAATATTTCATTCATATCTAAGTAATAACTGAAATGTCCATATTTAAGTAACAATTCTTCATACACAGGCTCTAATAAAATGTCACACGAAAGAGAAAAGGGGAACCCGGTAGGGGACATGTATTGCTTATGCAATACTCTCTCATAATGCTTGTTTTTTTAGTGCTTCTCCTTTTGTTTTGGTTTTGGTTTGATTGTAATAAAACATATAGACAATTCTAAGATATATGTCGAGTCTTGTTCGGTCACTTGAATCTACACCACATGAGGATGCTTCATATACATGTATAACTATTCATGGCTTTGTTGACCTTGAGAAGAAGATTTTTAAAGATTTTCCATATATATTCCTATGAAAAACTTGGATCGTTTAATGTGGTCCCTTTCTAACCCCGGGGGTCATGATTTGAACAAACTTGAATATACTACCTACAGACTCTTCCATATTAAAGGTACTTGGACACAGATTTGAAGTTAATATTTACTGTATAATATCACGAATTATATATTTTGAAAAATATTAATACTATAATCTAGAAAATTCAGAGTAGACACGTTCGAAAGCAAAACAAACACACAATATATTGTCAGTCCGTGCAGTTGTGGTAAGTAGACTGTGACGATTGAACGCACCCGGTGAATTCTAAATATAAACAATAACAGAACTCGAGCCCTGTTTACAAAAACTGTGTACATAACACGAGTGTGCTCGATTTGCTAAACTCTGTACGCATCTCTTAGTTCGGAATGACGATACTTTGAAGGTGTTTTGCTTTCTAACATTTCTACTCTGAATAAAATTATTTTTCTTGATAAAAGTTTTAATATTTCTCATTAAAACACATCAAAATTGCCACTTTTCCTAAGAATTAAGAATAAAAGTTAAGAATAAAGTTAAAATTTGTGAAAGTGCAAGGATGTGTCAATCAAACCCGCCAAAAAATTTAAAGTTTTAATAACTTTTAAATGAAATAAGATTTTTAATCAATTTTTGTGTGAAATGCTATTAAAATATGTACGAGGGCCGTTCAAAAATTACGCGGACTTGTTGCACAGAAGAAATATTTGACGACATAATCGGGCAAAATTTCATAAATAATATAAAAGAATCTTTTCTTATTTGGTCTGCAAAATTTCATATCAAAATGTTGTAAATTGGTATTAATTTTGAGTGATTTTTCAGGACATACCATTAAGTCACGGCGCAGCAAAATCTTCGACGTCACAAGCATTATAAAAAATATGTGATTGAGCTTTCATTTTCTCAACATTTTCCCTTGAGTACCTGTATAGTTTGAGATACCTTATCTACTCAACGTCAAAACACCATTTCTTGTCAAGCTTAAAATCTATTAAACAAGTAAAGAATATTCTTTTTTATGTTTTGAAAATAAAAACTACTTATGACATACAGTGTGATATTGGTGACTCTCAATCACGTTCTTTACAGTCCGGATAAAGTTAACTTTTCGTCTATAATCTTCTTCCCGTCCTCCCGTATAGCCTTTTTACAGAGGTCTAACTGTCTAAAATTTCAATTTGCTATTTGTGGGCGAATTTCACGAGTAGCCTAGTTTACTACATGTTTTATTATGCATATTTTGGATCTATGTTGCCGATATATCGAACATTACACATATTTTAACAAAAGTGTGGTGCGCCGTCAATTCAGGAGACGTCATTTTCACAGTCGTTTTCACGGGAACTGCATCAGAGAAAAATCACTATATTTCTGTTAGTACTTCAAATATTACGTCCGAAATCTAAATACATAATAATAGAACAATTTAAAGGTACATTTGAGAAAATTGTTGAAAAATATCGCGAATTTTAGAAAATCAATGAGTTAAATTTTTGAATCCGCATGCTTTTGCTTCAATTTTTTTGTCGTGCGCCGTACCTCTCCATCAACGATATCAACATACCGATAATTTTAGTAAATTTTTTTTAAAATACAGAAATGTTGCCCAAAATTTATTGGAATCTTTAAGATACATATTTCTGTGAAATTTCATAACTATATGACGTCTGTAAGAATAAATAATAGCACAGTCCGCGTAATTTTTGAACGGCCCTCGTAATTAGTGATATTATACAGAAAAAATGAGAAAATATTAACTTTAAATCTGTGTCCAAGTACCTTTAAAAAAACAGTCATACCTGTGCTATTCTCGAAAAGATTTTGTTCTTATATATATCATATGTATTCCTAAGTTACATATTACATATATATTCTTATGTTCAACTTTGATCGTCCATTGCGGCCCCACCCTACCTCCGTGGATCATGATAAATTGAAAATGTATAATAAAAAGCTAGTTATCCTTTTTTTTTCCTTTTTACTGGATCATGATAGTTATATCAAGAAAAATTGGTCATATGTAAGAAAAAAAATCCGCCAACATAAAATCATTTTCAAGCTTGAAGGTACTGCTTTTATTCATTTATTTACTGACTTTTATTTTCTACTGAGAAGTTTTTCCAGGTATTTCATTTTCCTGGTTAACCCTCCACCCCTTTATAAAAAAGTTCTAAATATTAAGTCCTGTTTGTAAAAATTCGATAACAAAATTGATTCGGCGAGGAACGAAATATTATTCATGCACGAGAAAAAAATTTCATTTCCGTTCAACTTTGATTGAGAATATTTTTAATGATTGATAGTTACACGTACTTTATTTGGTTTTTACAAATTTTAGAAATTTCACTTTAACAATATAACATAAATGTAAAATATACAAGGCCTATTTTACTTATCAAAAACTTTAAGCAAAATTTAACATTTTCCAAATTAGGTCAAATTTCAAGGACAAAGTCACAAGATCAAAAATGACATTGTGTTTAGAAAGGTATTTTCACAATCAATACAATAATTCAAGAATAAAGTTTTTGAAAAGTAAGTCAAACTTCAAGTTCAAGGTCTTGAGGTCAAAAATCATAGTGTTTAGGAAGATATTGTCACAGGTAATACACAGGTTCAATGTGAAAGCCATATCGTCCTCAATTAAACTCCAAGCTCAAGTTCAGGGGGGCAAAAAGTGTATTGAAAAAGGTCTTGTCACAGGTAGTATACTTGTGTAATATGAAATTCCTATATTTTCTCATTCAACAGATACATGTACATGTATATCCAAGGTTAAGGTTTCTTGACGGACGGACAGTCTGGCCGACTTATAGATTTACAGATGGACAGACGAATGAGATTTTATGTCCTCTTGCTTTCGCAAAAGCGGGGGATATAAAAGATATAAGGTACATGTACTATATGTACATTAAACATTTATAATATTTGGCGCAAATTTCAGAAGATTAGCGAAGATTGGATTGAGATCAATACTTTATTTACTTTACGGTATTTACATACATATATTTAATTGGATCATGTTATTTATTAAGAGTAAGTTGTTTTTCGCTAGTACGCTTAAAAGAAGACTGTTTAAATATTAAGCGCTCACAATATGTTACATAGTAAAAAGATACAATTTTGTAAAATAAATTTGTAATTCATACGAATGATTTTAATCTTACCTTAGAAGATATTTTGATAAATGCAATTCTACATTTTTATTTGATATACACCAGGAATCAGTTATAAACTTGGCACAACTATTTTGAGAATGATTTGTAATATTTCCCCCTGTCTATTTTAACAGATGCACAAAAAGATTAAGCACCGTGAAATTTATTTGCTAACGAAACAGTACCTCACTAAAATTTAAATTTTCAACCAAGTATTTTTGTATTAGGCTATCACTTTCCTATGAGTCGCTATAAAAATTCAAATGTAGGATGACATGACAATTAAATGTGCAAAATCTAGTGACACGCAATGAGACAAAAGGAATTTTTAAGATAACATCTGCTGGGGAAATTTTTCCCTCGTTTATATATATATTTATTTTTTATTTTACACAAGAGATAGAATTTCAAATTTAGTCACGTATTTATCTAAGGGTTTTATAGGGACATTGTTAACACAGTGATTTATAATGATCTTTAAATTATTCAAAACGGATTTCCTACATGTTTTTTTAATTAAAAGAAAATCATATTTACCAAGGTATTATTCCATACACCAGGATAAAACAAAAAAGGCCATCAGCATTATGCAGGCAGATTTTCAAACATTATAATATATGAACTGGAATCTTTGAAAAGAAGAAGGTACAGTTTGAGCCGTAATGTGCCCTAAAAATTGAATGGTCTTTAAAAAAAGTTATAATGATATTGGCTTTAACAATAGTTGAGTAGATGAATATGATAAATCATGAAAGAATATGGCATGAATGAGGACCTTTCTGGTAGTATGACGTCATTAATTTGGTGCATTTCCAAGTATCATGTAGAAAAGCCTCAAAATGACTCATTTCTGTGCTTATTTTCCTTTAGAAAATAGTGTCTGCCACCGTCGCCCAATTCTTCATTGTTATCTATTAAACACTCGCAAAAACTTCTGTCTGTCTGTTAACAGTGTCCGTGCTAAAATTTTGATAAAAAGATTTTCTGAGTGTAAGGAATTTTCATGTTGTTACTGAGTGTCATTTTTCCAAACTTTTGGTGCTAAGAGAAAAGGCATAAAATTATCTATTACAATTGGAGAAGAATACGATTTCGTACTTTATCTGATGATTATTAGAAATCTTTACATTGACTTGAGTTACGAGACATAAAATCAGCATATGGATGCTCATATAATTTTTTTCACTTATGCCTGCAATGCCTGCGATCTAAGATACATGAGGTCAACGTCTGGTAGTTTTTGCAAACTCCATGTTAAAATCGCCAAAGCATAGACAGTGACTTAAAGTATACGAGGTCGGAATATGGCTGCCTATGAAAGTTGTATGTTCAAATATGCCTGCGTTTACTCTGAGCTATGTTACATGTGGTCATCATATTGCTACTAATATAAATCGTACGTTATAATCTCCCTGGAGAGAGAGAGAGAGAGTAAGTTACACGTAGCATGCCTATAGTTGTTTCCATTATTTGTATTTCTGCCTAACCTCAACATAAATTTGTTTATAAATTGTCTCCATAAGGTCAGCATATGAATGCTCATATAAACTCATTTTAGTCCTTGTAATATGTTTAGTCATTGAGATACACATGTTTTTTTTCATGTCTATGTACAAATCTGTCTGCATTATATTAATAAAACATTGTTTCTATACATTCTGATTTTTTTCACAGTTAATTGTAAAATTAATTACATGTATTGTAGTGTTACCATAGTCAATCAAAAATTGTCATAAATCCTCTTTTTTGGCAACTTTTAATTCAATATATGTAATTCAAATCAAATGCCTTTGCCTTTGGTGGCACTACATGCGACATATAAGCATTTAGGGTGCCTTGTGGTTTCAATGTAACATAGATTAAATGGATTTTTTCATCATTGACCATATCCAAACTTTAATATGATTTATTGTAAGAAATGTATTTTATACACTCTTTTGTCTCATTTCTTGACATTTATCCTGGCAATAAATTTCATCTTCACTCAGCTTTTTTTTTTCCATAATTGGTTTAAGCAACAAAAACAAGCAAAAGAAAAGGCATTTAACTTAAGTAAAGTGAGTGATTTGTTTCATGAAAAATTGTGAATACAAAAGTTATTTTATCAAATTTATATTTGTTTGTTAGAAGTATGTAGCTTTCATAAAAAGTAAAAAAAAAAAAATCAAAGTAAAATCATGCACGGATGTAGAACATATAAGAAGAATATTTCCCTCAACAAAACACAACGCAACTGGAAGTTAAAACAGGTAACTTACTCTTATTTACATTAAAATTGTACGCAAATCGGGGTGATTAATATTGAATTGAAATTTGTATTTTCCTTAAGAAATAAAATTCAGTGAAATCAACATTCTGCAGAACTTTACGTTAAACATCTTCGTTATAAATCATTGGAACAAAGTTATATTATTATTTGTGTTTACCTTTATCTTTTATTTTGTTCTGCACTCAATGCAGAGACTGACAAAATTTGTGCCATCCCTCCATTTTCAAAAACTTTCTTACATAGTTTGTAGCGTACATAAGCATATTTCACCGTCATGTTCTGCGGCATAAATCTGATTGTGGAAAAGATATATGAAGAGGGATAAAAAAAGACATAAAAATCAAATTCCTTCGACGTCCATCACGAAAAAATTTGAAAGATGTCCTCTCATAAAAATATACATGTACTGACATTTTACACCAAGAAAAGTCTATATAATTAAAGCTTAAATGGAAAGTGGGTTCTACATTAAAATGTTAACAATAGCAAAGCGTCCATCTAAATTCTGTCATCTTCTTTTGCACATTAATGAAGTTCATCATAAGTGTTTAGCTGGTCGAGTTCTCTTAGTTCTGCATAAGGGGAGGTATTCCTGCCAGATTGAAAAAAATACATTCAGAAGTCAATCTGTGCGAAAAAAAATTAAGTAAAGAGAATAAATAAATAAATAAAGTAGTGAATAAAACAATACATACACATCATGTCCACTTTGTTTTTCTGAAAATTATTAAACTTAAAATTTACTATCTTCTAGATACAGTTTTCACCTTTTTTTTCTTCATGCAATGTGATTGAAAATTTATTTCTTAACAACAGCTTTACATATAATTTATAGTTTTAAAACAATTTTCAAACGGTAGACCATTTATATAATTATATTTCCATTTCTAATATTGTTCTCTGTGATACTCTTTGAAGGTTAGAGGAGTTGATTTCTTAATTATTCTGAAATTAGGCAGGTCGATAGGTCAGGAGCTGAGAAGGCTTAATATGCATGCCAATCTCGTGCGCATCTGCCTCTGTGTCTGACGTTTAAGAGGTCAAATATGTATGTAAATCTCATGCGGCTTTCTTTGTGCTTGACGTTAGTGGGCGACGAGTATTGAAATTGCCATGGGTGTCCTCTTTTAATTTAAACCTATGTCTACATTTTTAAAGCCTTAAGTGTATTTATGTATATAAAGGAATTTATGTGATCTAAATACGTAATAAATTGCATATTTTTATTAATTACCAATTTGTTTGAATTCATGGGTCCCGAAGGGTTTTCCGGGTTTTATACTTAAGCGTCCTCTAGTAACGGCTATTAGCCTTATCCTTATCAGAATAACATTTCGGCTCCAAAATGTGGTTTAAAACCCCCGATTTCTTGAATCGTTTGTTAATCAGTAAAATGTTAAGTGGAGCAAAAAAGTTTGCTAGGTCAGTTGATGCGTGCAGCCTATTACTTTTAATATTCGAAATTAAAAAAAAAAATAGTGACAATACCGTAGATAGCCAATTCTTGTAACGGACATGTTGCTACAGGGTTATGTTCCTTTTTGTAATTTATCTTTGCTGAGAGGAAGGGAAATCGCGGTTCATTCAGACTCAAACCCATATTTGCTGCTTTGAGGAAATATACCTTTTCAGGCACGACAACATGGGAGTTTAAAGGAGTCTTACAATGAATCAACTTTCAATACAATTTAGGTAAAATAAAAGTCTATCTAGAAATAAAATCCCAACCCAATTGCAGTAGGTGAAATTAGCTGCAAAGGACCCCTTTTTGCTACAGCAACACCCTGCCACATTTTTTAGTGTTTTTAAGACTCACAAAATGAGATATGGGATGGTTGCAACTGGTGTCATTCCAGAGAACATTAAGGTTCCTATTTTCCCGCCTATTAATACATATATGTTTTCATTTAGGGTGGTAGAAAGTCCGATTGTAAAGGATAAATGGTTGAGAAAGTATCCCTTATTCTGTATTATTTGAATGGATTAAATACCTAGATAGAGGATTCTGTCTGAGGCGGTATCCTCTATTTTTCTGCATCTTTTTAAAAAATTTAATTGTTAATACTATAACCTCATAAAAGCGTCAATTTCATGCTTTAAATATCATAATAATGCATGAGAAAGCTTAACATTGCATAGTTTATCTACCTTCACTTTATACTACACTTACATACAGGTACACAAAGTATTCGGTGACTGTCTGAGGCGGCACTGAATACATTCGTTGTTGAGTATCATATCGAGAATTGTATTAATATTTCATATCATTTTGAATTATTTAAATGCTTTTGTCAAGATATGCAACTATTCTATTCCTGGTACGTACGTTCATGACTTTCTCGAGTTGTGTATGAATTTATCTGCCTTCACTTTATACTAATATACACTTGCATACAGGTACATGAAGTATTCGGTGACTGTCTGAGGCGGCACTGAATATTTATTCGTTGTTGAGTATCATATCGAGGATTGTATTAATATTTCATATCATTTTGAATTATTTAAATGCTTTTGTCAAAATATGCAATAATTCTATTCCTGGTACGTACGTTAATGACTTTCGAGTTGTGTATGAATTTATCTGTCTTCACTTTATAAACTTACATACATGTACACGAAGTATTCGGTGACTGTCTTAGGCGGCACTGAATATATTCGTTGTTGGGTATCATATCGAGGATTGTATAAATAGTTTATATCTCTTTGAATTATTTACATGTTTTTGTCAAGATATGCAATAATTCTATTCCTGGTTGGTACGTTAATGACTTTCGATTATGTATTTATTTTATTTTAGTTAATATTTTTATTATCCATCCTTAGAATTCCATTGATCTATGTTGTGAATAGTTTTCTTAGTATTTACATCGTTATCAAGCTGTATACATTAAGTAATTGAAGCACATTTTTGGGTGGGGCGAGGGACCCTTCTCTGTACGTTCATTGTCCCTCTTGTGGGATGTTTTTGGGCCCCACCTTCTGCTGCATTCTGATATTGTAAAATCTGTAATCTCATTTGGCATTTGTAATAAATGCTCTATACACACACACACCCTCTTTATTATTTAACATGCTGCAGAACAGAGCTGCAAATGTGCTTCAGGTTCACATGAACCGAATTGTTCATCAGTTTCAGTATTTAAGAGCACATAAGTGTATTTATGTATATAAAGGAATTTATGTGATCTAAATACGTAATAAATTGCATATTTTTATTAATTACCAATTTGTTTGAATTCATGGGTCCCGAAGGGTTTTCCGGGTTTTATACTTAAGCGTCCTCTAGTAACGGCTATTAGCCTTATCCTTATCAGAATAACATTTCGGCTCCAAAATGTGGTTTACAAATTTTACCCACCACCACCCCTTCAATCCTCCATAATTATTGTTATTGTAGAAAATACATGTACTAGTTTCTTTTATATAAGGTGCCTATTGTTATTGCATGACTTTTGTTATTGTAGAAAATAGATGTACTAGTTTCTTTTGTTTAAGGTACTTATTGTTAATTTTGTAGAAAATATATGTACTAGTTTTCTTTTGTATAAGGTGTGGGATGTTTTTGGGCCCCACCTTCTGCTGCATTCTGATATTGTAAAATCTGTAATCTCATTTGGCATTTGTAATAAATGCTCTATACACACACACACCCTCTTTATTATTTAACATGCTGCAGAACAGAGCTGCAAATGTGCTTCAGGTTCACATGAACCGAATTGTTCATCAGTTTCAGTATTTAAGAGCACATAATCTACAATTTTATTTCACAATGAAATTAAAATATAAGGAATCACTCTCTAGTTAGTATAGTATGCCAGGGACATCAAGGACAGTGGACAACATGTTTTATATGCATGTAAATCTCGTGGGGCTGCCTTTGTGTTTATTTAAATTTATGTCTACATTTTTAACGTCTAAATCTACAATTTTATTTCACAAGGAAATGGAAATATAAGGAATCACTGTCTTGCTAGTATAGAATGTCAAGGACATCAACGACAGTGGGAAACAGGGGATAATTTTTGCATAATTCGTTTCACCCGTTATGCAAATTATCTCATGTTTCCCACTATCGTTAATACTTTTGGAATACTATACTAGCTAGACAGTGTTTCCTTAAATATCTGATATTACCTCCTATATCAACAGCTGGGAATTCATTGTAATACTCTTTCTCATTTGCAGTATCCATAACCGTCCCTTTCGCTGTAAAAAAGGTTTGTATACATTACAGAAGGTTATTTTTTAAATGGATATCGTATCATGTACACATTTTTAACTTTTAAAACACCGAGCCCATGGATTTATGTATCTTTAACATATATGTGTTACAGAGTTTTACTTTTTACTTTAGAAATAACAGAAATAAAATCTAATTTTTTTTTTTAATTATTTTTTCTTTGAAATGATAAATTTAAATGAGCCTTTTTCGGGAATGTTAAAAAACACATAAAAGGCATATATAGAATTGAAACATTTACGTACGCTGCATTTTCCTCCAGATAAGAAAATTAAGAAGGCTTCCCATCAGCACAATTAATAAGGAGACAACCACACTTGTAATAGTCACTGTGTAGTCTTTTTTACATGTGTTACAAGACTGTGCCTGTCAAAATCGTGCAAATGATTACAATTCATATGTGGAAAATTTGTGACATAGTTATGTATATACTTTATAGTTTATCATAAAAAGAAACTGATTTCAACTTAAGAAAAATGAAAATAAAATAGATTGCAAGCTATAATTATTTCATCACCTTTATTCAAAAATTCTTTTTAAGTTACTATTATCTTCGTATGTTTCATTAATTACATTACCTGTGCATATGCTAGACAATGTCCTGACTCGTGATGACAAGTCTGGCTGACACACTCTGAACTACAGGTCTCTTTACAATTGACTCCCCAGTACGATCGTCTACAAACTACAAAGTTAATAAACAGTTTGAAGGACAATGTCAATCCGTGTAAAAAACTGATCATAAAAAACTAGATATTGAAGTGTTTCATGATAATGAACACATAGAAAGATATATTCAAGGCATAAAAAAGATGAAATAATAAAAAAAGATAAGCAATCATTTCAAAATAATACGTATGTTTATTATATACCATTCGTACAAAGATGTCCTTCGTATCCTAAAGCACACCCTCCTGGACATGTACCATTGACATGGTTACACGTGGTACTGTTCATACAATGTCCACAGCTTTGATTGCAGTTATAACCATACTCTCTACCTTCACACTCTATAAAAATGATACTTATCGCTGACATCCTGTTTTGTTTTTGTACTAGTTATATTTTTGATTTTCTTTCTCCCAAAAACTTTTTATAGTACAAACACAATGCTAAAAAACCAATACCTTAACAATTCTTTTAAGCATTTTTAGCGTGTATTGCTACATTGTACTACCCTTTGCAAATGCAAAATATATACGGGAGTCGACTGAGGTTTCCATTGCGCAATATTTTGCGCATCATTCTCAAACGAAGCGTATTTACTTTTTTAAAGCCATATTTTTTTTCATTTGATTCAAAATATTAACAAAAATTAAGAAATTACTGATTGAAAAATTTAATTGTTATTTTATAAAATGCAATTTTGAAACGATTTTCCATCTGATAGGAAGAATGACGTCGTAATGATCTGTTTTTCACGTCACGATAACATGACGTTCTTCAATCAGAGGTATTAAGAATGTTATGAAAGATAAACGCATTTTGAGATGCTCTTCTGGAAACAAGACTGTAGAATTTTATTTATCTTGCATATAATGTACAATTTAGTATTATTCATCATATATTATAGTTTGAGCAAAAACTATTGTAGTATTTGTATAATTTGCTATAAAGTGCGAATATTTGGCACTTCCCTAAACAATCCAACAGTAAATGTAGCTGCATTTTGACGGCCCCTGAAAAATAACTGGACGGTAGATTTCCTCCAAACATGGCATGAACACTGAAGTCAATGTAAGTTATTTATCTCATACGTGTTGGTGATACAGGCCGTTGGATAAATTTATGCTTTATCAACGGGTAGATGCTTTATCAATAGCACTTCCGGTTTTGACACGATCCCTCGCTTCAAGATTTTATTTTATTGAAACTTTTATTTGTGAAATTTGTTGCCCTTATGAAATGAGTAATATCGTTAAAAGCAAGAAAAAGACTGGTATATGCCAAAGAAGTGTCTTATCTTATCATGGAACCCGTAATGGCTACTTGAAGACAGATGTTACCCCCTCTCCCCTTAAATCGTTTTCGGAGAAAGTAAAGCCTACCAGTTTAGTTGTTGTTATAAGAGTCCTTTGACATCTTCAACAATGCTTTCTTTTATTATACTACGTATGCCTACCTAGTAATGAAGGTGTAACTTACCATGGATCAGCAATGGATCTAGATAACTAACGTTAGGCCCCTAGCCTTGACTAGTATGTTTTGTACTGCCATCGTGAAAAGAGTTTATTTTCACGATCCCCACAGTCCTAACAACTTTCAGTCAGAAGCTCGTTTGATGTAAAGCTCCAGCAACTGTCACATGATGTTTTCAAAGACGCAGATAGCAAAAATTCTAAATTTTGAACTCGATCTACTTTCTCTCGACACATGTAAACATCAACGGTGCTACGTCATCAAGTTATACGTCATCAATTTGAATTGGCAGTCATTCATGTAGTTTCGCAAGGGAAGTCTCAAAGTTTTGTTAAAACGAAAGTCGTATGACAAAAATAGAACATCTATAATTGTGTGATTTGATATTGGCTTTATCCAACTCGTTGAAATGGTGTATATTCGCTCGGCAACCCTCGCAAATATATACAGTGCTGCTATCATATAAGTTGACAATTCTATCCTATCCTTTCGTGAATCCTGCATCCACAATCCTATATATATCCTGTGATTTCAGTCTAATCCTATCCTATACTATCCTTCAACTCTCAGTTTTTTAATATTTAGGAATTAATTTGACAAAACGAAAAAAACGGAATGACCACAAAAAATCTGTTATAGTTATGGTATTCATTAAAATGTTAAACATTTTAATGGAAAAAAATAATCGAGATCGACATTCCATAATTCCTGACACACCGCACATTTGAAATGTAAATTTACGATGTAAACAAACAGATTGTAATAAAACGTGGGCAAGTACTGATTTGCGAACATATGTAAAGAATTTTGGCATCCAGAAGAAAGAATTAACGAAAAAAATATAATTAGACTTTGTTTTAATTTTCCTACTACATGTAACAATGATCGGGAGACATGGCCACAGGATCGCGACTTGCTTCCGGCGTGTTATAATCAATTATTTAAAAAAAAACAACCATAGGTCTATACGTTAATAATTTTTAAGTATATGTTTCATGTAAAATTTTATTTTTTCCTAAACCGAGCAGCATAAAAATAACATGCATGTACATGTGTAGTCTAACTGTGCCTGTATAACATGTTTTTCTGTACGCGATTCTAAAAAAAGATTTTACTAAGACCATAAACCAAACAGACAAGTCAAAATTTAGATCTAGAATATTTTGACTTTCACATATTAAACATTTTAAATGTGAAATTGTCTTATTATATCAAATATTAAATCTAAATGTATGATTTTTTTAAATTTAAATTTATTTTTTTTTATTCTTATGTGAATATTTTTCAAACATGCAAAATATATAGTTGCTGAATAAAAATCAAGATATTCAGAATGTCAAATTTCTTATTTATCTTCATTTTCTTCTCAGTTTATGGTCAGTTCAGTGCTGTACAAATGTATGTCAATTTCTAATTTTGTTTTATGTGTGAAAATTTAATAATTTATGTTTAATATAAAAATATTTCCTAAATCTTCATTGTCAGACTCAGACAGATTGAAAGCAATAAATATTGTAGTGAGCTCACACATGTTCCTTAGATCTTATAAAACATGCATAAGAAATTAAGAATTCACAGTATTTATAGTATTTATAACTCATTTTTGAGTAAGCCAAGTTTGTTTTTGAACTTGGCATTTGATCTTTAATGGTCATCAGTGTCTGAATGAGGGACATTAATATGATCCACACATGTTCCTTAGATCTTATAAAACATGGAAAAGAATTCACAGTATTTACAGCATTTATAACACTTTCTTGAGTAAACCTTGTATTTGACCTTGACATTTGATTTTAAATTTTTCAGTGTTTAAATAAAGAAAACATATTTGATCAAGTTCAGAATAGTTTTATTCAGGGTGATTCCTCAACAATGTTTAACAATTGAATATTCCATTACCATGAGACAAATTCATTAAAAGTATCCATGTACAGGATGAATTTCTATGCAAAAATCACAGATGCATGTACATGTACTTTGTTTAAATTTTTCAATGTTTATCAATGTTTTATAACAGTTGTATAATGTTTTACAGACATATGATTTGGCTTCCTTATCCGTCGCTCAAACTGAATTTCAAATGTCAGAGTTATTGTCAGAGAGATGGTCATAAACCGAACAGTTCCACAAATGTTAACAATGCACAGAAAAAAGCACTGATCTCCTTAATACAAGCACCATGATTTCAGACTTAGGACTCTTTGACACTGGTTTGAACATCTTTCATTATTTAGTCTAACAACATATGGGATGAACTGCAATCTGTACAGCTGAAATGAGCAGGTTTGTCCTGAAAATAGATTGTAAATTTTGTCATATTACACATTTAAACTGTTTTTGATTGTTATTACCTTTCACTTTTCATGTAAAATTAGCTTTAATTTCACCTTCTTTTTTCTCTCCCAAAAGTAGTGCATTAAGAAATCATGAAAAATAAAATCTTATACTGCAACCTCAGTCATATATCAATTTTTTTTAAAAAATCTTATTTAACATAATTTACTTCCAAGTACATGTGCATTATAATTCATTTTATCTTGTCGACTTGCTAACAAGTACATGTATATGAATACATTGGTTTGGGAGATTTTTCTCTATTTTCTGCTTGTATTTATCTTTTAATTAATGTTTTTTCTTTGTTTTCCTTTTTTTGTTTTGAAATTTGAATATTAAAAAGAAAATATATTATTTATATAACAACAACATGACTAGAATAATTCAACATTGTTTTCAGTTTAATTTCCTCTCAAGATTTTTAAAAGAAGAAAATCACTTGTTCCAAGAATCTGCTGACACGTCATATCAACTCAGATAATGATGTTTATGCATTTTAATGACCGTGCATACCCTAACAAAAAAATACTATAGTAAACTATAGTTAACTATAGTTTACTATAGTTAACTATAGTTCCAAAGTGAAAACTTTGGAACTTTGATTTACTATGGTGAAAACTTTGGAACTTTGATTTACTATGGTGAAAACTTTGGAACTTTGATTTACTATGGTGAAAACTTTGGAACTTTGATTTACTATGGTGAAAACTTTGGAACTTTGATTTACTATGGTGAAAACTTTGGAACTTTGATTTACTATAGTAAAAACTTTGGAACTTTGATTTACTATGGTGAAAACTTTGGAACTTTGATTTACTATGGTGAAAACTTTGGAACTTTGATTTACTATAGTAAAAACTTTGGAACTTTGATTTACTATGGTGAAAACTTTGGAACTTGGATTTACTATAGAGAAAACTTTGAAACTTTGATTAAGCACTATAAACCCTTAAGATTATGGTTTTGCTTCCCATTCTGAACATTATATAAGTTTCAAGTTTAAGATTCATTTAAGCTTCAGATTTTATTTTCAAAAACCCAAATCGTCCCTCGAGTAGAACAAAGTACAAGAAATTGTTTTAATGTAAAAATAGTCTCTTTCACCGATAAATAAGCAGTATTTATTCAAATACAGGTGACTCTCGATGGCTCGAACTCCGATCTCTCGAAGTTCTCGATCTCTCGAAGTGAACCTCCGGTCCCGTTTTTTCCTCTATATAACTAAGCAAATTTACTCCTGATCTCTCGAACTTCTGTCTCTCGAAGTTCTCTATCTCTCGAACCAAAACATGGGTCCCGTTACACATATTTCATTGAATTTTACTCTCTATCTCTCGAAGTTTTGATTGCGCGCGTATACACGCCAATCAAGCGTAAAATTGATGCATCCTGGACTTACCTGGAAAACAGTAAACGCCTGGGGCTGGCATGAAGGTGTTAAGTGGGTGTTTACATAGATGAGACTACACCTGTGGGTCGTCCGTGTGTTGATATAATTAATTGGTTATTATATTGGTAAATAATAAACGAATTCAAACTTATTTTGACTTGAAACCGAGACGATACTTTTTAGAAAATAATTTATAGACGTTCGTTTTATTAAGTTTCCAAAGAGTATGATCTTTTATTGGAGTCTACATAATCGCAGTATTGCAAATACTGCACAAGAAATTCCTTTCTCAAAGACTGAATGCCGATTTAAAAACATCTGGTGAACACTGGTGAAGGACCTGATCAAGCCGCGGAATAGCCAAACCGACAATTGCTATTCGGGTTTCATGTAATCATGAAAAAAAGACCAATTAAATGTTGAAACTTTAGGAATTCGTTTTATTTAGTCGAAATATGATCATTGCTGTTAATATCAAGTAAATTACCTAGAAAATACGATTGAAAAACGTGAAAAGACTTTATTTACATATACTTCCGGTATTTATAATAGTAGAACATCGATGATCGGAACTGAAAATTCCGGATTTTATTTACTTTCTATCTCTCGAACCCCCCGATCTCTCGAACTTTTCTTGCGGTCCCTTGAACTTCAAGAGATCGAGAGTCACCTGTATATTTAATTTTAATTATAAATAAATATTAATAATAAAAATATTTAAGTTGTTAAAATAATTACAAAAAAACATTGGAACTTTAATTTACTATAGTAAAAACTTTGTTTAGCTATAATAAACTTTGTTTAGCTATAATAAAAAATTTGGAACTTTGAAAAACTACGGTATAAACTTTGGAACTTTGATTTACTATCATGAAACTTTAGAACTTTGATTTACTATGGCGAAAACTTTGGAACTTTGATTTACTGTGGCGAAAACTTTGGAACTTTGATTTACTATGGTGAAAACTTTGGAATTTTGATTTACTATGGTGAAAACTTTGGAACTTTGATTTACTATGGTAAAAACTTTGAAACTTTGATTTACTATGGTGAAAACTTTGGAACTTTGATTTACTATAGCGAAAACTTTGGAACTTTGATTTACTATGGTGAAAACTTTGGAACTATGATTTACTATAGCGAAAACTTTGGAACTTTGATTTACTATGGTGAAAACTTTGGAACTTTGATTTACTATAGTAAAAACTTTGGAACTTTGATTTACTATGGTGAAAACTTTGGAACTTTGATTTACTATAGTAAACTATAGTAAACTATAGTTAACTATAGTTAACTATAGTATTTTTTTGTTAGGGTAAATACATGATAAAAAATCAAACCATACATACTTTTTAGATTGAAATCCTTTACACTGTGATGACGCATGAGTGCAGGCAAATCCATTCTCTGTACATGCTGTAATAATGAATATTAAAAGATTAACTTGTGTTTCATAACTCACAATACATCATTACAAATGTACAATGTAAGTGCATTGCTGACTGCTGAATGAGTTTATTTAACATTTAAACAGTAGCATTAGAAATGGTCATGATGATTCTACATTCATTTATCATAAATGCACTATAATGAAAGAAACTATTTTCTTACCTTACTAGGGAAATGATAATAGTAACAAACTGATTAAGGCATAATAAATATGATTGTTTTAGTCTAAGAGCTCATTGATAGCTGATCGAATCATGTGACAGAGTATTTCACTATTTGTATATAGGATCTCACATGATTTGTCGCCAAGGCTCGGGGATAAAAATCACACAACTCATTGGATAAAAATCATATCTTACTACAAATCATGTGAGATTCTTTTTATCCTATGTTTTTTACACCACAAATAATGTTTAACACTGTTTTTATATAGGACTCCACTTCATTTTGCTTCATCACTCTAACGCAAAACACATTGTGACGTCACAACTGTGTGATACGAAAACGATATCACATGAGCTATATCCACGGGATAAAGGGTTAAACATGGGATAAAAATATTTATCCCCCCTTCTATCTAGCTACCTCTATCTACACTACTTCTCTCTATTTTTTCCGCACCCTTTTTTAGTTTACATAAAATAGAATAAAATGTTTATAATTTAAGTCATTAGAACATTGTTTAAAGGGCGAAATAAGTGTAAAAATACACACATGTACAGCGTACAAGTTTGTAGTTTACTTACATGTTCTCGCACATCATCTATTCAAGTCCGCGGTCGACGGTTCCTGTGGAATTATCCAATCAAACAGAGCAAATTTAACAGGAAAACACGTTATTACACTTTTACACAAGTAAGAATCGGTTAAATCATCCAAACAAGCTGAAGAAATACGGTCTTTTGATGCCTGGACTCTTCGTTGTTTACATTCTCAAATATTCTTCCGGTGCTTGTTCACGGTTAGATCGTACGCCGTATTACTCGAAGTTTATAATGTAAATCTGTTTTTAGTAAAGAGAATGTTTAATTTCTATTGAAATTTTATAAATATTTCTTTTGTAAATATTTTATATTGTATTTCGTTTTTGTAATTTATTCTGAAATATGAATGAACCTTTGCTCGAATCTGATTGGCTGTAGGATACAGGATAGGATAGGAAAGGATAGGATTGGATTAATTGGATTATGTTCCTATCGTGAATATTCAATCCTGAATCCTATCCGATCCCATCCCATGTCAACTTGTGGGATAGCAGCACTGTACACCATTTCAACTCGTTGGATAAAGCCAATATCAAATCACACAATATAGATATCCTGTATATATGTCCTTTGGTATAAAAATGAAAATCTTCTCTATTGTAGTTTCACACAATGAAACCCCAGTTGAACATGACATATCAATGTTTGCATACCTACATGTAACATGAGAGATTATGAACAAATGCAGAAAAGAAAAATAGAATTTAGAAGATGCAAACAAAATTGAATACGTTTCTGTGCTCTTTGTTAAATATGTATGTTATAGTTTAGATCTGGATGTCAAAAACCCATTCTACACACGGATTCTAAAACCACCACCCTCTATAACACCTACAAAAATAACGTACCAGCTTTGCAGAGGAACCCCTTGTATCCTTTGGAACATCCTTGAGGACAAGTACCTTTAACATGATGGCACTGTTCATCATCCATACAGTGACCACATATTTGATTGCAATTAATTCCATACATTCCACCGTCACATGCTGTTGTTAATAAAAAAAAGTTTTGAAAGAATTATTAAACATATGCAAGACATTTGGTTTTAACTTAAACCGGTACATGTCAGATCAATCACTCAAATCCTGCGTGCAAGAGTATCTAAATTACCCCATAATTAGGTAAAATGAAAGAATATACCTTTTTTTCACCTTATACTTTACAGTTATCTCAATTATAATGTCAATGATAAGAAATATACCCTTTTAATCAATAAGAATATCATTTTCTGAGAAGATTTGCATATCGATAAGGCTCATTCAAAAACTAATGTTCATAATTTTTTTAAATTCTCAATGGCACTGTATAATTGAACATTAAAATTGAAAACACAATATAATATACCTTTGTCGCAGAGCAACCCCTTGAATCCTATAGAACACCCTTCATAACATAAACCATTAACGTGGTTACACTGGATATCTTTTATACAATGTCCACAGCTTTGGTTGCAGAGGTTTCCATACATACCACCGTCACACACTATTTCAAATAAAGAAATTTTCCCCACAATCTGTTTCATTTTGTATCAATTAGAAAACAATTAATAACAATAAATCCCAATAATATATTTACAAGGTTTTGGGAAGAACAGGAATGTTGATACTATACCAGAGTTGCAGAGATATCCTTTGTATCCTTTAGAACATCCTTTTGAACAAGTACCGTTGATATGATGGCATTGTTCATAATTTAGGCAGTGACCACAGACTTGATTGCAGTTAATTCCATACATTCCACCATCACATTCTATATATTTTATTTTTTTTATTAACCATTATCATGAAACATACAGAGATAACGTATAGTATTCAAAAACAAAAGTTCATAAAACAGAACAAAATAGGAGCAAAGCAAACACAGACCTAAAAAACATTAGAGGAATGATCAGATGCCATATGATTTTCTCTGTTTTCGTTTATATGTTAATGTCTCTATTCTTTTATCAAAGAGTTTTCTTCTATACTTTTGCAAAACTTAATAAATATATAAGGAATGATATTATGTTATATATTAGTGATGAAATATTGATATTCCTTGTAAAAATTAATTCAGTATAGATTGATAATAAATTACTAGTTTTACAGCCCGGTCCCTTGTATCCAGAAGAACACCCATGTAAACAAGTACCATTGATATGATGACATTGTTCATTGTTTATGCAGTGACCACAGGACTGAGTACAGTTAACACCATACATCCTGCTCTCACATTCTGAAAATAAATTTTGAAAATGGATGAATAGGTAGTTTTTTTTTCTATATTTTTTGGTCATTTTTTTCGTCCCTTCCTACTTTTCTGTATTATTGTATATACTAAACATCTACCCAAAGATATGAATGAACAAAGATGAGGAAATGATCCTCTCTGGTGGGTCTGCATTCACGGGAATGATATTAATACATATTACACTGATAATACCTTGCCGTGGTATATAAAACATTTAAGAGGATGCCCATGATTGTCAAGAATAAAAAAATTAAAGTTTATATTTGAAAAAAAAAATCAATACAAGTACAAAACAAGTCTTCGAATATTGGATAATAAGATTTAAAAAAAAAAAAACTTCCTATTTCAGTGCCTTGTGTACATTAAAATATTTGTTTCCTTTTAATTTAGTCCCCCTGAAAGGTTTCGAATGTAATCACAAATTCAAACAACCTTGAATATCTTTTTTATATTTGCTCGAAGGGAGTACAATTCAATCACCCTATGGTTTTATAGACGTAACAGCCGTTTTGACGTTTGTGACGTTGCAAAGTTAAATAACGCAAACGAATATTGCGAGGAAAAAAATTGACAAATGAAGTACTAACGCACATTTGTTTTATTTTTGCGTTAATTTTACAGGGTTATAGTTTTTGAATTAAATTCAGTCAAAATAATGTACATGTTGATTTTCTAAAGTATTGAAAATGCATATAGTTCCTACTGTGTATTCTATAACGCGCCGTGACTTGGTTTCGCGTGTGTTATGGAGATTTGAACGTCGTGAATTTCTAATGGTTTTCATAAAGAAAATTAATCTGAATATAAATATACATGTATGTGCCTTCATCTTTGCATATAATTTTTGAATTGGTTCCGTGGTGTAGTGGTATGTCTCTCGCTTCATGTGTGAGCGGTCCCTGGTTCGAATCTCGTACGATCTATTTTCTTTTTTTCCGAAAAACATTTTTTAATGATAGTATTCAGCATGTGAAATGAAAATGTTATGGGGTCTGGTTTGTACAAACTCATAAAATCATCATTACGTTGTGATAAATATTATATATAAATAGAATCTTCTATACACATAATAAAGAATAAGCAATCAAATATTCATTTTCATATTGGCGTATTTTATTTGCTACAGTTTACATGTATACATTTAATAATTCTACAAATTCAGTCAGGGGGACCCGTTTTAATTCATAAAAATTCAATATCTATGTTTCTATCTGAGTTTGTATATAGATATTTACTAAAGATACCCAGAACTATTAATTTAATTTGAAATAATCCTGCAAATATCCCCAGTTTATACATTATGTCAGAAATCTTGACGTGAGCCCATTGCCGTGGTGTTTGAGAGAGAGAAACGAACGACAACTCGGCATAGGAGATTGTTGACAATTACCTTGTTCACATAGCAATCCTTTGAATCCTACAGCACACCCTTCTGGACACGTACCGTTGACGTGATTACACTGTGTATCGTTCATACAATTTCCACACTTTTGGCTGCAGTTGTATCCATACATATCTCCATCACACTCTATCAAAATCATTCCTCTTTTTCTTAATGCTTGATTAGAATATATACTATAAAAGATAAATTAACTGTTTATAAAGGTGGTGATACTTTCATTCTTTCATTAAGTATTTCACTTTCTTACATATTGTACAGGTGCAAATTTATCTCCATTCTTATATGTTTTTTTCTTTAAGGTCATATGCAACGAAGTTTGAACTCCTGGAGTTGAAGAGTTACACTAAATGAAGGACCTGTGTCCAGTACTTTTTATGTCTATAATTACTCTATCTGGATTTGTACACCTCTTCTAAAACAAATTTTGATAGGAAAAATTAGGAATTTGTTTCGTAATTTTTGTATTCTTTTCTTTGAATAATGCAAAAAATTTTATAATTTGATATCTTCCAAAAACCCCTTGTAATGCATGCTATTTTTTTTTTTATCTATGATCATCTAATGGCATTATGGTCTTTAAGTAAGAATATTTTGAAAAAAATTATCAGTAGGTAAGGTACCTTGCGTATGTCATTAATAAACAAAGATGATAATAAATTACTTATTTTACAGCCCGGTCCATTGTATCCAGGAGAACACCCGTGTAAACAAGTACCGTTGATATAATGACATTGTTCATTGTTTATGCAGTGACCACAGGCTTCATTGCAGTTTATACCATACATCCCACCATCACATTCTAGATATTTTCAAAGATTTTTATTAAGAAAACTAATTTTTAGGTTGTCTTTTTTGTCTTCTTGATAAATTTAAAACAAACATTTTTTAATGGTGAAAGGTATCCTTTTTACAAATCCCATTACATAGGAATAATAATATATTGATAGGCTAAAGCCCTGTGTTATGAACGAGACATTATTCAGTGATTTTAAAAAATATATATATTAATGTGGCAGGTAAAACTCTGTATCTTATAGATTAATTAATTTAATTTTGCTTAAGGGGATGAAGGACCTTTAGCTGAAAAAATACCTGTCATTTAATTTTTTTTCATATTTTGTATATATCTTATTTAGTATGTCCTACATTCTATAAAGCAGACATATCAATAGGTTTCTACACTTATTTCTGAGATATTGAGTGACAAATACCATACCCCACAATGTCTGAGCGGAGTTTTTATTCTCCGTGTTTCTGGGTCCATTACTCGGTCGATAATTGAAATTTTTCACCATAGATAAAAAATATACCAGCGGAAATGTGTCTTTTAAAATATTTTAGAGTATGAATAGGGTTAAAAATTCGAAAAAGCAAGATTCTTTTGTAACACCACATCTGGAGACGGAAATTTACGACTTTTTTAAGACAAGTTAAAGCATAAAAAAATTAATTTGCAAAAAATCCTATCATTCAATATTTGAAAATTTACGTCGAAGTTCAAGGTCGTCATTGTATTGATTAACTGTAAAAATATCGATTGATGAAGCTGAGCTCAATATTGCACGGGGCAAAGTTAAACGAGTCATGATCATGAGAAAAACGTGTCATGTTTACATTTCTCGAGTACGGGCAATTGAGCATCTTTATTGTGCAAACGTTTTGCTAAATTTGAATACATATCAAATATATATTATTTTCAGTGTGGAATATATATACAAGTTCTTATACATGTTCACATAAATTTGTCAAAACCCTTATAAACTAAGATGGTAATAATTTACTGGTTTTGCAGCTGGGACCCTCGTATCCAGGAGAACATCCCTGTAAACAAGTACCGTTGATATGATGACACTGATGATAATTTAAGCAGTGACCACAGATCTGAGAGCAGTTAGCTCCATACATCCTGCCGTCACATTCTGTAGAAAAGACATTGTAAGAGCATTGTTCTTTAATATATTGGTTATGTTACAACTGTTTCCTGGTTGACGTAGAACCATAACCATAAAGTAATATTTTGAAGTAAAATTTCATTCCATTCTTTTTTTTAAATTCTAATAAGATTCATTACCATTCCTGGCACCCTGATATTATATTTTATGAAAAATACGTTAAATTCGTAATTTACATGTACAGTGTACTTACTAAAAAACCCAAGATGTCCTAGATGAAATATACGTAATTGACTTAACGAGTTAAATTATTGATAAGCAAGTTGATGAAACAAGAATATCAAGTCTCGTTTAAAGTCATCATTTCGTATATTCTATGGTCGATACAATGACCTTGTCGGCAAATACAATTTGTCATTGAGTCAAATGCTGACTGACGTTTTTCATACCAATTGTAAGTCCATTATTTATACACTGAATTGACGACTTTTTTCCGTTATTTCCAGATCATGACAACGAGTACACGGCGGGTTTGACCGGCGGCAGGGAATGCTCACTCCTCCATGGCACCTGATCCCATCTCTGATGTCTCGGAGGTCCGTGTTTGCTCTGCTTTTATTTTGTAAATTGTTTCATGGACGTTGAGATTGAATACTGTTCGTTATTTCCATATCCTTCTTGGTTTGTTTTGGTCCAAAAAAAACATATTTCCAAAATAATAACTTCAAAATAGAAAATGTGATATCTTGGTCACAAAGAAAACCCTTTTAAGCTTGAAACCAAAAGAACACCTATCTGAACATGCACCTATGACATGGTAAAACTGTGTATTTCAAAGTAAAGTATTTCAAATGTGTATTCTTTGTGAAAAGATCTGTCTTTGGGTACTATAACATTTTATCTTTTAATCTTGGGTGGGAATATGGCTGTCATATTTCACACGTGTACATGTATTCCTTATGACAAGATCCTTCTTAAGACACCACCAAATTTGACCTATTGACCTTTACCTTGGTATTAATGTGACCAATTTTGACCAAGTTATGCAGTTTTGATACATTTCCGGGAATTTGTATCTCCTAAAGGGCCGTTTTAAAGATTTTAATTGCTTTTATATTTTTCTCAAAAGAAAAAGATACATGTATTTTTTTTAATTTTCACCAAAAAATCATTGTATATCGATAGAATTTTAATTTTGCTTGAAAGTAATTGCTTCAAGTATCCGTTGAAGTAAGCCTTAAATCGTAAGCACTGAATGAATTATAAAACTTACTGTCTATACAGAGGGGTGTCTTAAATCCAGCAGAGCAACCTCCACTACAAGAACCGTTGACATGGTGACACTTTGTATTATTAAAACACTGACCACATTCCTCACTGCAGGACGCCCCATACCATCCTCCATCACATTCTTAAATATAATTTTACGTACATTTGACCAATGTGCTTATATTTATCACCACTGTTTTACAGTTATTGACACCTATAGTTTGTTTTTTTGTTTTTTTTTAATCAGGAAAAGATTATATGAGAAGAATTATTATTTGGACTAAATATTAAAATGTATTGATAATGTGTTACAATTTTGATAAAAATCATTTTATATTGCTTGAAATAAGCTTGAAATTATTGACGTTTAGTTGTACACTTACTGTCGATACAGAAGGATCCATTGTATCCAGGAGAACACCCTCCTAAACATGATCCATTGATGTGGTGACAGGGCATGCCATTAAGACAATGTCCACAGGTATTATTGCATTTTAAGCCAAACTTTCCGCCATCACATTCTTCCAGAAAGTGTTAAAAAAAATTAATTGTACTTCCATTAATCCATAAGCGACTTTTTTTTAAAAAACTGATTCTTTGATATATATTTCAAAAATTTGCTTCAAAATTCGTCATTTTTTTTAATGCTTCCTTCGTGTCCCGCAGAGAAACGGTCTTAACAAGAATTGTTGATATGTTGTTAATTATTTTTCTGATCGCACATATCACATTAAGATAATAAGTAACTTCATCCCTCGCATTCTTAATTGAAGTAATGATATACTTTCATTCTCCTTTAAGATAATTATACTCAAACTTGTTTTCACAAGAAGTAGACAAAATGTTTAGGTCATTAATATAACGAACAAATAATAAAACATTGCTTTAATTTTTAATTACTTTTGTGCAAACAAAATATATTTCTGGTAGGTTTTGAAGTAATCTTAAAGTTCTAGACACGAGGTGATGTTGGTTATTTATTGTAACTTACTATTAATACAGAGGGGTGTCCTATATCCAGGAGAACACCCATCTGTACATGATCCGTTAATGCGGTTACAATAAGCACCATTAAGACAATGTCCACAGGTGTTATTACATTTCAGGCCAAACCTTCCACCGTCACATTCTAAGAAATAAATATTTTCTTCAAATCATAATCAATTACTGTACTCCTTATTACTAGGTGTTTTCTTTTCAATTGTGCCACAGTCTTTAATTTAGTGTTTTACATAATTATAGAAAGCTAATAATATATTAGAAATATGAACATGTTTAATCCACATGTACCAATATGTTTTCAACTTCAGCATTCATAATAGGATGCATATGAAAGTTTTTTCCCTTATAACTCATACGTTTTTTACATAAAGGTCCTTCGTATCCCGCGGAGCAACCTCCTAAACAGATACCGTTGATGTGATGACATTGTGTGTTATGAAGACAATGACCACAGCTCTGACTGCAGGCAGGTCCGTACATTCTACCATCACATTCTTTAATGTAAAAACATGTATGTAACGTTATGTTTAATGAAACCCACTGTTCATACATGTACCATCATTCAACAACCCACAAAAACTAAACATACTTTAGAATTATTTTTTTCATATGATACTGCAAAATCAGTAATAACTTTTTTAAAGAAAATGCACATGTATTAAAGACTATGGCCATGATGTAATTTTTCAAAAGAAGAAAAATCCTAAGGAAAGGAAAGGAGAATTATGATACAATTTAAAGGAATACACGTATTTTTGAAAAACCGGTTAAATTTTTAGTAAGAGTGCATTGGTCACAATAGTTTGTATCAACAGAAAAGACATTCCAAAGGAAACCGACATGAAAACAATGTCAAAGCTCCTACCTTTCAATATTTAGGCACAGGTTTAAGGATTTGCGAATAATTAAACAGATGTTGAACCAGAAGTTTTTATCCAAAATTATTTGACATAGTATCTTTGAATATACAAAATGAATCTTAGCGGAAAAATGACATGAGAATGAAGTGAAGATCCATTTAAAACGATTCACTCATTCATTAACTTCCAATTTTGCGCATTTCTTTTCATATGATAAATTACTGTTTTAAAATTTACTTACTCTCACTACATCGATGTCCTTTATAACCCGGATTACACTCGATACAGTATCCTGTAGAGATATTACACCTTTGCTCGAGACATTTTTCTGGACATAATTGGTCACAATACTGGCCGTAGTACTTAGATTCAGGGCACCCTGTTAGGTATAAGAAAAATATGAATTGTCTTTATAGAAAAATGTGTAAATAATATAAGTACTTTTAAAAAGACGATAGCATATGAAATAAAAATTGTTGTATATTTTAAAACTCACCGTAAACCTCCAATTCACACAATTCACTGTATGCATATTGAGAGTAGTAACTTGGATACGTCACACCCGGCTTCCGCTCGTTGTAGTATATGACGTATCGCCCGTCATAAGGACAGTTGATTGTCTGGTTCTCTGTTGGTGTTCCGTTTACTAGTTGCATTTCGTGAAAACATAGACGCCCACTGTCTTTATTTGTATCGTTCGATATGTAAACGTAAAATCCAGCAAATCTGTCATAGAATGCACCAGGGTCTAAATAAATAGATTTGTTTTTATCAATGCAATTTATTTCTGATATTTTTTTCCTTTTTAATTTCAATTTATGAAATCACGCGCATACGCGGGCGAAATTAATATTTCTTTTAACTGATAACAAAGCTATCCCTAAAATTATCTTTCATTTTTCTAATGACTATTCTATGTACAGGCTTATGGTACATGTATTACGAAAAAACTTAAAAATCCAATTTATAGTTTACGAACAGAAATAGATAGTTTTTAAAATATATATACATCATCTCTAACGCGCTTCATGAAAAATACCTACGTGACAAGCCTGTGTGATTCACACACCAATAACTCACACAAAACTTAAAAACATTCCTTAAGTATTACGAGAGCAAAATACATTAAATTTTGAGTACCAAAAAATGTTCTGACCACAAGTGTGCTCAAGAACAATATGCATATATTAAATTAATATTATAATTCTATACATTATAAAAATTATTGAAATTAGGGGACTTGCTTCTGATGATTTAAGATTAAATATCAACATAATGTAAAATACTACGTCATTTTCTGGAGATAATATCTAGTATGGGACACCGTAGATAATGATTATGTGTTAAATATTATCAATCCATTTGTTGTTTTTCCTGTTACGAGTATAATCAAGAAATTCACGATGAAAATATCGGGGTCAGATATTGATCATTACAAAACATCCCCGTGAATTCATTTAAAACAAACAATTTCATACTTGGAACATTGTCAGTCCTATAAAAGATGTAAATGTGACTAATGCTGACGACTCTCTGTAGATCCACCCTCCATTCCGCTGTTTGCTGACCAGGGCCAGATATTGTACACTGATCTCCAGGGCCTGCACGGTTGGAATATTCTCCATCCACTGCCTTATCTGCTCCCCAGATTACTAGCTTATTTGGCCAACCATAACGCTGCCAGGCAGGTTTCCTTAACGCTAAGTTAACTTGTAAGCAGAACATACAAAGTATAAGCTAAGAGGAATTAACTATTAATGTATGTTTTATCTAGATCGGAAGTTATATACTCAGACTAATTCTTTTAAAGCAGTTTACTATACTAAGAACGTGTATCTATTTCTGATTGCAAAAACTTTTTAAAAAAGAATATACAAAAGGGTTAAATATCTTACAATAACTGCAGTGCATTCCTTGATATCCTGATAAACAACCTTTCACACAGTCACCAGTGACGGCGTCACATTGCTGATCCTGACACGTCACTGGACATGTCTGATTACAGTATTCTCCAGAATATCCAGGAATTGGACAGCCTATGTATCAAATCATTATTATCAACAATTAATTTACTTATTTAAAGCTTTATTATTCCTAATACTTTCAATTAAATCAGGAAGGACGACATTGTCGAGGAAAATTCGCCCGTATCATTCAAGTAGGACTTCAATGACAGTTACATGTATCTGCAGCAACTCACCATAAATCTCCACTTCACAAAGTTCACTAAATGCATACTGAGAATAGTAAGGAGGATAGACCACGCTGCTAAGACGTTCGTTGTAGTATATAACATATCGTCCATACACGGAGCAGTTGATCCTCTGATCTTCTAGAGGTGTACCGTCTACAGTCTGTAATTCATGGAAACACAGTATTCCGTCCCCTTTTGAAGTCGTGTTGGAGACATAAAGGTAAAATCCAGCGAATCGAGATGCGTACGAACCTGCATGCAGAGGTACAAATTCAATATCATATATTCTTGATCAATGCTGTTAATTCATTAAATTATTAATTACTATAATTTTCAAAAATCTTGTTGATGTGAAATCAATACAAGCATCCATTTTATAAGATAAATACCAGGATTATTATCCGTCCTATAGAAGATGTTGATGTAACTAATGCTGACCACACTCTCTAGATCCACTCTCCATTCTGCTGTTTGTTGATAGAGTGCTGATTGTGTACACTGATTGCCAAGTACTCCACGGTCAGTATAATTCCCATCAACAGCCCTGTCTGCTCCCCATGGCCTAGTTTGTGAAAAATCGTTTTTCTGCCAGGCAGGTTTCCATAATGCTAAATTGTCTATAAAAAGATAATAATCTTATCATTTAGAAAGACTTCATAGAGCTGTTATTTTTATGCAAAGATACATAATGAAAAAATAGCTTATGCAACTTGATTTTGCTGTTGCTCTGTATATTATACATAAAGACGCTTCATGATAATATTGGTGATTTCATCAATTTACATGTGTAGCAATCATCGTTATCACCTGCAAATTAGGTTGATTTAGTTCATTCGATATGCAAGAGCATGATCTTTAATCTTTATAAGAGCAACTTTTTTGAAGGGATATAAGCTATTGAAAATAATTGGTTAAACAAGAATATGGATAGCCCTATTAAGAGTTGTCTAAATGGACTTGGGAGCTTGAATATTGTTCGTTATGTTTATACTATACAAAGGCATATGTGTAGCTATTATGCTGATATCAACACATTTTCTTTTATTTCTTCTCAAAATATAATCAAATTCTATTTTAAAATAATTTACAAGACAACATGATACAACACTGATTTCTCGCTGTTTTCTTTGAGCACAGAAACGTCTATGCCAGAAATAAATTATTTTGAAAAAAAAAAACAAGTACGTATCTATGGTGTTAATGAAACATTTATATGAATATAAGGTCAATTAAAAATCACTAGTAAGAACTGTTTCATTTATAAGCAAAAGTAAATTAACATAAAATATCCTTTTCTTACGATATGCACAAGTACACGTTGCATACAGGATGGCATAGAAAATGATGAGAATCATTCTCTTCGATCTGTAGGAATAAAAGTAAAAGTGAAAGGAAGCATACATGTATGTAAAATAATTTGATATTTACATGAAACCTAAAATAAACCAATATAATTCATATTAAATACCGTATAAGTAGAGATTTTGGCATTATTAACGAGGTTGCCAAGATCGTTAAAATTTCATGAAGCTTATTATTAATATCGGTTTATTTGTAATATGTTCTTTAGTGAGCTTTTTAAAAATCGCTAAAATTACATCTCGCTAAAATTAAATTACCGATTTTAAGGTTAAATTGCTAAATTTGCGTCTCGCTAAAATTTCCACTTATACGGTATATGAATTTTTCTTCTTAGAATATGTGGCTTTAAACTATAAGATACTAATGGATAGAGGATATAGTTCTACATGTAAATATATCGGAGACCGTCACGGTTGTTCCTCGAACGCTTCTTTTACTTTGCGCCTGCGTCTCAATGTCAAATTCCATTGTAGAACGTAGAGAACAGTCTATTGTGTGATACTGTATGATTTGAAGACCATAAAAAAGATCACCTACTGCTCTACGGCCTCAAGAATCAAATACAGGTCAAATTTTGAAGGTCTCCACCATCAATGATTTGAACATCAATATATGTTAGAATGCTCACATAAACGTAATCAACGAATAAACATTGGTTTATCGTGCTTCTGCACTGAAGAATGATGATTGCTTAATAAATGAGGTCCACAACACAACTTTTTATTGATAACGTACTACATATAGATACAAACTTCCTTTAAAAGATTCCATTTAAAAATAAACAAAAATTCCGATGTTTTAAACGTTGAAAATTTTAATCTTACCTTTGAATGTAGATATTTTGATTACAAAGATGGAACCTACATATATATTTGATCTAGACCATTAAGTCAGTTACTAGTTAGGCACAGATTTTCAATAATGATGTCTTCCATCTGCCTATTTTGAAAGATGTGCAAAAAAGACCATGAAGTTCGTATGCTAACGATACTGTATCTTACTAAAATTTAGATTTTCAACTATAAAAATTCCAATGTATATGATTAAAGTTCGATTTAAGTGACACACAATGAGACAAAATTGATATTAAATTTGACACCTGATAAGGACATTTTTCCCTCAAATATATTGGTGTGTTTGTATATATATTTTTACACACATGAGTTAAAATATCAAATGAAGTCAGGTATTTATGCAAGTGTTATATAGGGAAATTGTTAGCAAAAAGACTTGTGTTTATAATGATCTTTATTTTATTCAAAAATGATTTTATAACAGGATTAAAAAAAAAAGTTGGGGTTCATATTTACTTGTGCCTATAGTTAGCATTATTCCATTCACCAACGGTAAAACAAAAGGCAATCAGCCTGGCAGACTGGCAGATATTCAAACGATATAATATATAATTTGGAGACGTTGCATGCTTCTCTGTAATCTGTAATTTATTAAACACTCTCAAATACGAGTTGCTGAGACAAGAATAACAGCAGTATCGAAAATAGTTTTGAACTATAAAAACAAGAATATCAGCAGTCTCATTCAAATTAATTATTTCATAAATTATATTTATAGCGATTGAAAACCTTGTCAGAAAATACGAGGGTTGATCCAAAAGTAATGTCACTGTGTCCATATCATTTATATTTGGCGTCAAATTATCAAATATAATGCACCAAAAGATGTAGAAAAAGAAATCTAATCAAAATGGAAAGTTTCATTTAATAATGTTTAATTGAATTCATTTTATAGACGTTTAAAACATTAAACAAAAGTAAACGTCACACTTTAAAGTGTATATTGTTAGAATAAAAAAGACAAACACATTTAAAAAGGCATTTAAAAAAGCGTCTAATCGCCCAATATTTTTTAAAAAGACAAAATTGACAATTTCGATCTAGTCTTTACTTAAAAAAATGGCGACATTGTTTTTTAATTTTTAAGATAAACATTGTTGTTTGTATCTGATGTATTGAAGAAGGGAAATGTCGAAATTGAATAAAACGCCGAACTGAGTTTTAATGCGGTTTTCCATAAAATTTGGTAAATCGCCAGTAGAATCAGTTACGATGGTAAATCAGACTCGCAGAGAAAATAATGTTAAAACTAGACTTGATCATAGATAGTGTCAGAGATTTTGGGCGGGTCATGGGTAATTAATTGATCAGCTAAGAACAGAAAGACCGAGAGGTACGACGTCGGGTGGAAACGTTCAATGGCGTCGACGTTGTGAAAAAAGAGATTCGTGTCACACGGTTTGAGTGATACATTGTATGAGAAACTTTTAAGTTTGTCTAATGGTACTGTTCAAAAAATTTTGATGAAGGACTAAATTACTGATAGAGTGTACAATTGGTGACAATAATTCTTAAAGAAAGTAGAATGTTTGAGTGTGTTTTCGACTATCACTTTTTTAATGAAACGATGGGGAAGCGTTTTTAAAACTGTGTGACGGCGCATATCCGTCATATGACGTTATTGGGGTGCGGCGACTACCATAATTGCACTTTGTATATAATTCGATATTTTGAAAAGTATAAATCATTTCAATTTGAGTTTTTCAGAATTGATTTGAAATAAATGTAGCTGCCATCATGCATAATTTTTATTTCCTGATCATGACAAAGAGCACATGACAAGTGTGACCGGACAGCAGGGAAAGCTTACTCTTCCATGGCGCCTGATCCTACCTCTGATGGTCTGTGTTTGTTCCTGCTCCTATTTTGTATTGTTTAATGGACTTTTGCCTCGAAAACTGTTCGTTATCTCCATACATTTTAATAGGTGAACAATGACAATGGTTTTTATTCCTCCTTAAGATATTGTTTTGCATTTTTTCTGCCATAGAAGTCTCCAAAAAAGAATTGTCTGAAAATGAAATCCACCAACTTGATTGTTGCTCAAAATGTGTAAATTAAACTATGAACCAGATTCCTGAGGTCAGCATTTGGCTGCTCATTAAAATTGTATATTAATCATGAATTCCACAAATTGTGATCACAATTTTTACTTGTGTATACTGTGAGCTAAGGAAAAAGTGTTCTTCACATATCTGCCCATATAATCTGCATTCTGTTAATTAGTGTAGCATAGTGTTGCTCATAATTACGATAATCTATGTAAACTAGTATTTAATTTTTTAATTTGCACAAAACCAGCATAATGTAGCTTCTAAACTTTTTATTTTTCTTATAAGAAGTTCTTCGATTGTAAATAGTCTCCATTAGTTCAGCTTTTAAGTGTTTATACAGCCTGCATTTACTCCGTGTATATTTATGTTTAATTATTGAATAACATATGTTTTTTCATGTTTATGCACCAATCTGTATAGATTTTAATGATAAAACATTGTTTTATACACTGACATTTCACACATTTAATTGTAAATTGCTTATTGTAGTATTAACATAGTTATTCAAATACTTTTCATAACAAGAGGCCCATGGGCCTTATAGGTCACCTGAGTATCATGCGACAACTTTCCAACAATTGAATTTGATTCATGTTTTAAACTAGAGGCCATGAAATTCACAATTTTGCAAGAGGTACCATTACTTATCATAATTATACATTCAGCATGCTTATTTTGGTTACTTAATACCCAGAGTTAGATCAGAGTAACAAAGAGAAAATGCATTTCCACTTTTAGTGAATTTCAAGGCCCATGGGTCAGAGCTTCATGTGTTAGGGCCGGTTCACAGTTGAGCTCCCCATCCCACAGGAACCACTGATCCTGGGGCCACATCTTTCAAAATTTTGGTAATTTTTAAAAATTTTATTTCATCAAGGTGTTGATTAATATCAAAGTGCAGATTACAAAGCATTAAATTATTTCAGTCTATGTAGCCCCCCCCCCAGGGGCCAGGAAATTAACCATTTTTGGAAGAAGCAGGTTTTTTGTCATAAATATAAACTAAGATCATTGGTATTATACCCAACAACAAAGGAAAGGAATTTCAAAGAATTCAAGCATTTTCACTATATAAACATTAGAACCCCACCCTTACACAAGAAGCCCTAACCAAGGGACACTGAAATTCAAAAATCTCAAAGAAGCATCCTTCATCCTCATAACTATGTACATAGTTCATTGGTTAAATACTCAGGTACAGAAACGTAGAGTTTTAAAGAATTTATGCATTTTCATGATATAATCAATAAAGCCCCGCCCTAACACCAGAACCCCCATTCCAGGGGTCATTAAATTCAAAATTTTGAAAGAGGTAACCTTATTCAACATAACTATTTACTTGGTTACTTTATTTAATAATCAGGAGTAGAGAAGAAGATTTTCAAAGAAATAATTCCATTATTTGTGCTGTATATTTTTATATAGCAACACCCTAGCACTAGAACCTCTGACCCTGGGGCCATTAAATTCACAACTTGAGAAGAGGCAGCCTTATTCAACATACTATGCACTTAGTTAATTTATTTAATGCCCACAATCAGAGAAGAATTTCAAAAAAAATATGCATTTTCACTATATAAACTATATAGCCCCACCCTGGCACTAGAACCCCTGACCCTGGGGCCATGAAATTCAAAATTTTGGAAAAGGCAGTCATTTTCAACCTACCAATGCACTTGGTTAGTTTATATAATGCCCAGCAGCAGAAAAGAAGAATATCAAAGAAATAATGCATTTTCACTATATAACCTGTTTAGCCACGCCCTATCACTAGAACCTCTGACCCCAAGGCCATGAATTTCACAATTTTGATAGAGTACTCAATGCTAATTACAATCATACCAACAGTTTGACTGCTTGATGTCCCGGGGTAAAGAAGAAGATTTTTAAAGATTGTGGGTTTTGTCCCCACCCCCCAGGCCCCAGGGGGTGGGGGTGGGGTGGGGTGGGGTGGGGACCATGAAATTCACAATTTTTGTTCCCCTCCCATAGATGCTATATGTCAAATTTGGTTGAAATAAGTTCAGTGGTTTCAGAGAAGAAGCTAAAAATATTCAAATGTTAACGCACGACGAACGACGACGGACGACAACAGATAGCAAAAATTCCTTTTTGGCAATTTTTCGATCAATGAAACTCAAATGAAATGCATTTTTCTTTGATGGCACTGCGCGGGTCAAGCAAGCATTTAGCATGCCTTGTGGCCCCTTTCATTTTTGTATGCTACCTTCTTGCTGCACAAACTTTGTAAACATTATATATGCAATAGCTGGGAGAAGCACTATGTTGCATTGAAACATATCTAAATTGATGCAACATTGACCCTATCCAAGATTTGCATTCTTTTGTTTCAGGTCTTGTCATTTATATCGGTCACGGTAACATAGTGGTAGAGCAATCGTTTCGTGCTCGGTAGGCCCGGGTTCGATTCTCGTTCACGGCGCCGCGTCAAACTGAAGACGTAAACATCGCTGGTGACTATTCTTTCGCCAAGCGCTCTGCATTAGAAGTGAAAATCACGGGTCTTTCGGATATAACCTTAAAAACGAAGGTCCTGTGTCACGGTAGGCGCTGGCACAATAAAGAACCCTCACTGCTAAATGGTCCTGAGTGCCGAGTATAGGACAAAATTAAAGTGTTGGTGTATCCATATAAGTGAAAAAAAAGTCTCGTGAGGGACGTTAAAAAATATACATGTACAATCAATAAATCAATAAATCAATTGTCATTTATCCTGCCAATATATAACATTCACTCAGCACTTTTTTTTTGTTTCTTTAAGTGGTTCAAGGAACAGGAACAAGCTAAAGAAAAGGCATTTAACATTAATAAAGTGCGTGATTTGTTTAATGAAAATGTTGTGAATATCAAAATAATCTTCTAAAATTTGTTTGAAAGAAGTAAGTAGCTATAGCATCCATCAAAGGTAAGCTAAAATAAAACAAATTAAAATCATACTCATTGAGTACATCAGACGAATATATAACATATAATATAACTTCCTCTTAATCAAATTAAAAAGGGGTAACTGATTTGGTGACTGATTTAAAGTTTGCATTTTCTTAAAGAAAAATCAAATTCAGTAACATTCTTCGGAACATTTCGTTAAACATCTTCGTTCTAAAGCATTGGAACAAGGTGATATTATTATTTGTGTTTTTCTTTATGTTTTATATTGTTCTGCACACAAAGCAGACACTAAAAAAACGTGTGCAACTACTCTCTTTTTAAAAAACTTTCTTACATTTTTAATGTATTGTTTTTGTTTGGATTAATTTTTTTCCCATAAGTACACAATCATTTATATATTTGCCTGAAATACAAAGGTAGAAATAAAACTCACAGAATCTGTTACATTCCTTATTTATAAAGAATTCAAGAATAAAAAGCACAATTTAACTTGTGATATGCAAATAATTATGACTTGCTTTTCTATATTTTTTGTTAAAAGTTGTTACTTTCTACACATACATTTTCTATTCCTCGGCAATGTACATGTATGTTCTATATTTACATCACATGTACTCTAATTTACCGGTCACAATATATTTTACTGAGTTTAAGTAACGTACAAAGTTGCCTTACAAACCACATAACACAATTTTAGAGAAGATCAATTCGTAATTTTATATCATGGACATTTTATCATAAGTCCAAAATGTTCTTTCAAGGGGTGGATAAGCCATATTAAGGTTAATGTTGATGAAAAAATTCATTGCATTTCTTCCATATAATATAAACGAGAGATGTCGTGCATAAAACAAAATTTCAAAGTTGACAAAATAAAAAACAAGAGGCCCAGGGGCCACAGCGCTCACCTGAGCACATCGGGCTGGAATTTAACCCCCCCCCCCCCCCAGGCATTCATCATTTGAACAAACTAGAATCTACACAACCTGAGGATGATTCCATATAAATATCACTAATCATAGCTTTGAAGTACTTGAAAAGAAAATTTTTAAAGGTTTCCCTATATATTCCTATGTAAAACTTGGGTCGGCGATTTCGGCCCCACCCTAGCCCCGGGGGTCATGATTTGAACAAATTTGAATCTACACTACCTGAGGATGATTCCACATGAGTTTCATCTTTCCTGGCCCAGTGGTTCTGGAGAAGAAGATTTTTAAAGATTTTTCCTATATATTCCTATGTAAAACTTTGGTCGGCCATTTTGGCCCCACCCTAGCCCCGGGGGTCATGATTTGAACAAACTTGAATCTACACTACCTGAAGATGATTCCACATGAGTTTCATCTTTCCTGGCCCAGTGGTTCTGGAGAAGAAGATTTTTAAAGATTTTTCCTATATATTCCTATGTAACACTTCGGTCGGCGATTTTGGCCCCACCCTAGCCCCGGGGGTCATGATTTGAATACATTTGAATCTACACTACCTGAAGATGATTCCACATGAGTTTCATCTTTCCTGGCCCAGTGGTTCTGGAGAATAAGATTTTTAAAGATTTTTCCTATATATTCCTATGTAAAACTTTGGTCGGCCATTTTGGCCCCACCCTAGCCCTGGGGGTCATGATTTGAACAAACTTGAATCTACACTACCTGAGGATGATACCACATGAGTTCCATCTTTCCTGGCCCAGTGATTCTTAAGAAGAAGATTTTTTAAAAATGCCATTAATTTTTCTCTAATTCATAATTATCTCCCCTTGGAAAAGGGCGTAGCCCTTTATTTGAACAAATTTGAATCCCCTTCACCCAAGGATACTTTGTGCCAAGTTTGATTGAAATTGGCCCAGCGGTTCTTGAGAAGAAGTCGAAAATGTGAAAAGTTTACGACGACGACAACAACGACAACAACGACTACACAGCTAATTGTGCCACGTACGTTTCACATATGTTAAACGTATGTGACACGTACGTGACTTCACGTACGTTTTCCATGAAAAAAGTACCACGTATGTTATACATACGTTTTCACACATGTGAATATCATGCGTGTCACGTATGTTAAACGTACGTATTGCCCACCATACGTTACACATATATTGCACACGTACGTTATTCATACGTTTCACATATGAATAACGTACGTGCAACGTGTGTGTAACATATGTTTCTCATAACATGTTTAATGGGTTTATTATTTGCACTGCTCATATATTAAATGTATGAATACCATACAAAAATGTGTCAAACCATGGTTAAACACATGTTTTGAACATTTTTTTCACATATTGTAAACGTTGGTGAAACAAAAATTACGTGAAATTTAAATATTCAATTCATGCATTTGACATAATTTCCCTCAAAGGCATATTTTCTTTTCATCTGTTGAATGATCCACTTTCTGGTTATCCTTCACTTTAAATTTCCTGATCCTTAATTGCTCTTGAAGCAATCACAACAAAAGACATATTTAGATTTAAACCAAATTTAATGTAGAGTATGTTAACATCAATTCATTTTTCTCCAGTTCTCTTTTGCCTGTAAAGAAAAAGAAAATATTGGATGCATGGAATACGGGAAAAACCCATTTTTTCCCCTGAACATTATTATTATCCTGATATTAATCCTGGTTGATTCTCTGTATAACTTAAATATAAATACTAAATAATTAATTTTTTAGTACTCATAACCATGATCTTTTAAACTATTTTTTTTCACTATATCCTCAAATATTTACCTTGTAATTCTCTTATCTAAAATTCATTACATAGCATTGATTTGTGCGTGAACTCGGAAAAAAAGATGTGTTTGTACATACTAATACCCCATATTCCAGCTTATGGTTAAAGTTTCCCAAGTGTAAGTCAAACTCCAAAGTCAAGGTCAAAGGTCAAATTGTTGACATCCAAGGAAGGACTTGTCACAAAGAATAAATCTGTGAAATATGAAAGCCCTACTACTACCAGCTCAAAAGTTATGATCAAAGTTAAATTTTTTTAACAGTGGGTTAAACTAGAAGTTCAAGGTCAAATATTTTAATTTATACCCATTGAAAGGTCTTGTCACAGTAAATATACAAGTGAAGTATGAAAGCCCTTGCACCAACTGTTCAAAAGTTATGGCCAAGATTCAAGTTATGAAAGACTAAGATAACAATGTACTAGATGTAGTATATACAAGGCATCTGCTTAACTTAAAACTATAAGGAAATTTGTATCAATGAAATGCTACATTGAATAAAATAGTAAACTACATGTATAGTATAAATAGAAATCTAAATATTGTAATATTCAAAAATATAAATTATGTAAGACCCCTAACTCTCTGGTTAGTGGCTATAGTTTCCCCAAAAACCTAGATTAATCCATGGGGTTAACCCCCCCTTAGTTTGGGTGGCGGTGTTGGGAGGAGGCTGTAAATGCTAAAATTTTACCAGACAGAGCACAGTGTATGACGATGGACAACTGGAAACCCAAGGGCCTTGAATCGCTCTTCTAATAAATTGTACAATCTATCACTAGTATTTGAAGCCTCTATGTTTATAAGACCCAAAATACATCAACCAAGAAAGTTCCATAATGATTCTTAGCCAGTTAGGACTGAAGATATTTCAATAGAGCTATAAAATACCATAAGTAGGTCATGGTGACCTACTTTTTGGTCGACTTTCTCCAAAACCCCTAGATGCCTCAACTCACAAAGTTTAACAATTCTAGGCCACTATAGACTTCTTTTGGTTTTATCTTCCTGTTTATCTCCCCTTGTATAAGGGTCCAAACCCTAATTTTAGTATAAATGGTAGCCCTTGGGCCAAGGATGCTCTGTGAAAATTTGACAATGATTGTCCAAGGGGATCTTGAGTTATGGCCCACATTCTAAAAAGTTTATGCACACCGCACAAATGGCCATAGCATTAGCTCTTTGAGCCTTTGGCTCAGAAGAGCTAAAAACAGTATTCATGTACACCTATTTACTGGCTATAAGGACAAAAGCTAGTTTATCGTCCCCCAAGACAACAACTATTCCCCAAGATGCAGCCGAGGGAAATAGTTTGCTGTTGAGGGAGATGATAAACAAGCTATTTTCCGAATAGTAAGTAAATAGGTGTTTTATTATGGCACCTGATCCCACCTCTGATGTTTCGGGGGTCCGTGTTTGCTCTGCTCTTATTTTGTATAGTTTTATGGACTTTGAGATTGAATACTGTTCGTTATCTCCATATTCTTCTATTATATACTGAAGCTGACTTAATTATATGTAAGGTCCGATCTGGATAAAACCAGAAGATTTACAAAATTAAAAACTGAACTTACCTTCTGCATTAATCTTTAGCTTGGCATGGACTCATCTGTTTTTGTGTGTGTTCCAAGTGTATACTTTTTGTCCTTGAGGTTAAAAAAAAATATATGTTAAAAAAAATAGACAACTTTCACATTAAATTTACAAAAGTTATTCCCCGTTGTGAGGTCAATCCAGCGTAAGGCCCTGTTTTGCCCTCTGTAACCTTACCAAATTTATTGGTCAGTATCTTAAAAATAAAATCTGTAATGAATATCGTTCATTAAGATTTTCATGTTGCCCCAAACTTCGGCAATACAGGTACAGATCTAAATAGTCCAATAACGTTTGAAGATTGAAAATAATAACAGGTAACTTACAATGGACAAAGTGGGAAAAATGAGAGTTATGCCGACAGGGGGAGATAACTCTTAGTAGTGTGAAATTCGTCAAACTTGATTGCATTTCAAATTTTACATGAAAAGCTTCAAGTTACATGTAGTATTTGCAAGTCTAAAAGCAATATGATCAGAAAATCTTATTCCTTTATAATTAAAAGTATTACCATATTCAAGATTATACTGGTTTAACTTTAAGAATCTGTTTTGGAGTCCATTCTAGGCATTTAGGTGTTTACAAAGATGAGCTTCAGTCACCATCCTGGAATGCATATCTAAAATCACATAAAAATTCTCAATCTCAAACACAATTTATATTCATAAGGATTAAAAGGGCAGATATGTAAAAACAGAACTGTTACACCATTATTGCACTCAAAGATATTAATGTCATTTACCATCTAATGTGATGTTTTATCGATAAATACTGTAAAAAGAAATAAATTCAGGGAGTGGAACTTTACATCAAATAGTTGTACGTTGTTTCTTTTTTATTGCATCTTAATTATTTGTTAGGTTAAAAAACATTTTAAATAAATACTTAATTGTTATAACAGTACTTTTAAACTTCACCTTCATTTTGATATAACGTGCCCGTGTTGATGGATACACCTGGGTGCTGACCAAGACAGCTCACTGCCTCAACATGGTCAATATTTTCTGTTTTTGGTAACCCAAGTCTCCATTATGTAATACACTGAAAAAAAAACACTCCCCTTAGTTTACATGCAACACACAGTCATAAAGTAATTAAATAATTGTTGATTTTATGCATTCCTCACCTTTAGCTAGGCCCTAGAACTTGCAGACGTCAGACTTCTCTTTCCAGTGACGTCACTGGTAATGTACATGTAGTACATAAATGGAGGCTGGAAAATTCCGGAAGGTATATTTTATAAGTTTTATACGGACGGTACCCACTGTATATTTGATAATTATCTAGATGAATCATTTACTCCCTTTTGAGATTTGTTGTGAATTTATCATGAATTTCTTTCTTTTTTTTAAAATATATTTTTGCTCTTGAATTCGGATTGATTATATCTACCGATGACCGAGTTCAATTTTATGTGCCTCTACCGATATCCGATACATATGACGAGATTGGAGAAAACTTTGTTTATTGTTTTTAGAGTAAATTTTAAACCAATGCGAACTCATAACATCATGCCAGACATGAAAATGGACGTAAGGTAAACAATGTGAAATAAATTGAAACATTAGATACGCACACGACAAGTCAACAACGCACACACATGTATGCTTCAGTTGTGATCTGGTCATTGGGTTTAACCAAACATCAATGTTTATGTCAAAAAAAGATATTTTAGATTTTAAAATATATAATTATTAATTTAATAAAATACATGCAACTTCTGATCTAAGGACACGTTATACATATTATAAGAAGGATTTTATAGATGGTCATATCACTATGATTGCTCTTCTTCGGAAGTTCTTCCTGAATAACAGGTTAAGCCCTAAGCATTGCTAAGTGCTTATTGATTGTTATGTTAAATAATATCTCGATTAGTTCTCCAAAATCACTTAAACTATTAAGGTAAAATAGTTAGTTGTGGAAGTCAGTCATACTTTTATACAAAAAGTTCCTGTATTTTAAGCGAAATTATGTAGTCCCTAGCAACAATAAATGTTTAACGCATTGTTTTTTTTTCTCTTTATAGCAAAAACTATGGTGGCATATTTCTGCCCCTTGTGTGCGAGTTATTTTTCTATCAAATATGTCGACATGCAAGATAAGTATGTTGACATGCAAGATAATTATGTCAACATGCAACATAAATATGTTGACATGCAAGAACATTGCAATCAAATAAGTATTCTAAAAAAATCTTCAAAAATCTCAAATACCGCCCACATGTGACATCTAACATGCTAAATGCTTCTTATTAATGTTAACATGCAAGATAAATATGTTGACATGCAACTTTTTTATGTCGACATGCAACTTATTTATGCTGACATGCAACTTATATATGTTAACATGCAACTTATTCATGTCGACATGCAACTTCTTTATGTAAACATGTGACTTAGTTATGTTGACATGCGAGATAAATATGTTGACATGCAACTTATAAGTTGCATGTCAACATATTTATCTCGCATGTCAACATAACTAAGTTGCATGTCGACATAAATAGGTTGCATGTTAACATTTATAAATTGCATGTCGACATAAATAAGTTGCATGTCGACATATTTATATTGCATGTCAACATAAATAAGTTGCATGTCGACATAAATAAGTTGCATGTCGACATAAATAAGTTGCATGTCGACATAAATAAGTTGCATGTTAACATATATAAGTTGCATGTCGACATAAATAAATTGCATGTTAACATATATAAGTTGCATGTCGACATAAATAAGTTGCATGTCAACATATTTATCTTGCATGTTAACATAAATAAGTAGCATTTAGCATGTTAGATGTCACATGTGGGCGATATTTGAGATTTTTGAAGATTTTTTCATAATACTTATTTGATTGCAATTTTCTTGCATGTCAACATATTTATATTGCATGTTGACATAACTATCTTGCATGTCAACATACTTATCTTGCATGTCGACATATTTGATAGAAAAATAACTTGCACACAAGGGGCAGAAATATGCCACCATAAAAAACTAAATGATAATTTGATTAATAAATTAAATTTGAAATAAAATAAAAAGGATTATATTTATAGTCAACCTACATTTATCATACATGTATGTAATAGTATGAATTTACAAAATATACAGCCTTCTCATTCTCAAACATAGGTTTTCACACACATGTAAAACACCTTTTTAAATGCATATGTAACATGTGCCTGATAATACACATACTATATTCATCAACATATATGTAATGAGAGCTTTAGAAAACAAGTTAACCATAATTTATTTATGTACATTAGTATATTTAATGTGTGGTTTATAATGCACATAAACTATATATATACATGACATTTGTGCTTTATAAAACACATGTAAACCATGGGTTCATTAACGTACGTGTAACATGTGGTTGACTATACACATGTAAACAATGTGTTCATTAACATACGTGTAACATGTGGTTGACTATACACATGTAAACCGTATGTTAATTAACGTACGTGTAACATGTGGTTGACAATACACATGTAAACCGTACGTTTATCAACGTACGTGTAACGTATGGTTGCACATAACATATGTTACACGTACGTTTCACGTACGTAACACATACGTGTATTCCAAACATACGTTGGAAAAAGTCAAGGTCGACAGCCATGTAGCAAGTTGGTGTAAATAGAGCTCCGTGAAATATACTTAAATCAGGGATAATTCTACTCCAGCATACGTGAGTTTGTGTTAAAGTGTTATGTAGTGATCATAGTACCATATGCTAGTAGAGGAATTGAACTTATAATTTAAATCATGTAAAAATTCTGTCGAACATTTTTGTCAGAGTTAGTGAAGGCATGGTGAGTAGATCTCAGCTGGGATCTCCATTAAAATGCCAAAGCAAAATAAACACAACAAAAAAAGAGCAAGATTAAGTGAAGCAAGTGATTCCTCTATGGCTAACTCAGATAACGATCTTCACAAACTAGATGATTTATTAGAAAGCTTCTCGCATGATGAAGAAACAGCTAGAAAAGCTGTGAGCATTATCCTTAATAAAGAAGTGATTAAAAATGTCATCTCAGAAACATTTGCTGATAAAATGAACATTATGCAATCACAAATAAACCAACTAGAGACACGTCTGGATGACTTAGAACAGTACTCAAGAAGAAAATGTCTAAAATTAACTGGAATTCCAGAAAATAAAGAGGAAAATACTGATGAAATTGCCATGAGGGTCATTAATAAACTCAACCTATCTCCAGAAAATACTTCCATTGGCTTTGACAAGATTGGACGGACCCACCGTGTGGGCAGATTTCCAGGTAAAACCAATAATGCGGCTGGACCCCAGCGACCACGGGACATTATTGTCCAGTTCCTATCATATAGAGATCGAGCCATGGTATACGCCCATAAAAGTAATCTTAAAACCTTCAATGAGAATGACGCAAACGGTTACAAAATCTTCGTTAACGAGGCCCTTACGAAAAGAAGAAGTGACCTATTGTTTCAGGCGAGGAAATTCGCACGGGAACAGCTGATTGACGCAGCATGGACCTATGACGGGCGAGTGATTGTAAAAACGCTGAATGATAAGAAAGTAACAATTAGCTGTCTCAGTGATTTGCAAAAACTAACCGCCCCGAAGCCACAGACGTCCACACCAGCTCCCCAGTACGGGTAACTACCTATATGCAAAACTCACATTGTTGAGTGGTAAGACTTTAGTGTATGGGGATTTCCGTGTCTATTTATAGATCAGTGGAATATTCTGACTTAATTTGCGTTTTAGCGTTTTCTATTCATCATAGAAATTATAAATTATTTAAATAACACGTCTAATCAATGATTTTCTAATCATTTTGATATTTTACGGAGCAACAATGCTTATCTTGTATACATGTACTTACATGTAATGAGGTGTTTGTACATACTTCTCATTATAGAAATATCTCTACTTCGTATTGCTTGTCATTACAATACGAAAGATGTCATTCCTTCAAGACATTTCTTTTCTTATTTAGTTTGTATATATATTTTTTCTTGTTTTGTTTTTTCGCACACTTATTTTTCTAGTAATTGTGCGGATTTGGTTCTGTGTTTAGTATTCTTCTATGTATATCCGGTTTTATACAGCTTTCCACGACCCATGGCTTTGCTCGCTATCTTTCTTGAATATATTCTTATTTTTGACACCAATGATTGAATTTGTGAATAGTATATCTAAGCCATGGATAGTAAGTAGTTTTTTATTTATCCCTTTGTATGTCGCCAACTGCAGTGATAAATATTCTAATATTCATTATCATGTCACTGTGGTTCGCATTCTTCTAATACTTGGATGCATTGAAACAAACCCAGGTCCTTCAAATAATATGAGACTTAGTTCATTGAAAATAGCACACAACAACGTGTGCAGCTTATTACCAAAACTTGATATTATAACTGCAGAACTATCACATTTTGATATTGTAACAATTAGTGAAACACATCTTGATAACAGCATAGAAAATGAGGTATTAGCAATAAATGGATTTCATCCACCTATTCGTCTAGACAGAAATAGGCATGGAGGAGGAGTTGCAATGTATATATCCAATGAACTTGCATTTTATGAGCGTAAAGATTTAAATACTATTAATTTAGAAATCTTATGGTCAGAGGTACATGTTGTTAAGAAAAAAATTCTTGTTGGTGTATTGTATAGGCCACCCAATTCATTAGCAGACTATTGGGACAGTTTTTGCTCCAATATTGAAAAGGTACTGGAATGTAATTTACCAATCATTCTATTAGGAGATTTTAATGTCAATGTTTTGATAGATCAAAGTTCACAGTTTAAACTTCTCTTACAAAGGTTTGGTCTCTCGAATTTGATTCATGAACCTACTAATTTCACTCGAAGTGTGGGTACATGCATAGATCTAATCATTACCAACAACACTGGTATAATTAATGAGAGTTTTGTCTATCCCCCGTGTTGTAGTAGTCATTCTGTAACTGGAGTGGAAGTTTAGTTTCATATATTGAAACAGTATGCTTATAAAAGAGAGATAAGGGACTATAAAAGTGCTAATTATAAAGGTCTTAATGATGAATTAAATGCAATTGATTGGGACACTGAAGTCTTTAATTCTAATAACATCAATGAGATAAATACAAATTTTGTAAACAAAATAAATGCATGCATTAAAAAACATATCCCAACAAAAACCATAACAATCCGTCCCAGAGATAAGGCATTTATGAATAATACTATTAGAAAATTAATGAGGAAAAGAAATCGTATACACAAGAAAGCAGTGAAAACTCAAAACCCTCAACACTGGGAACACTACCGCATTTTAAGAAACAAAGTAATTGATGAAATTAGAGCTTCACGAGATAGACTCAACAAAAAACTTTCAGACCAAATAGATAAATCTATACCCCCTGGAAAATGGTGGAGAATAGTTAAATCTTTATCCAAACAAAATAATAAAAGCAAACCACCACCACCTTTAAAATCCTCAAATTATACATACTTTCATCCTATTGAAAAAGCTAACTTACTCAATGAATATTTTGCTGGAGTTTCAACCCTTCAAAATGAACCTGAGGTACCATTACACGGACCAGGACCACCATTGAACTTTTCACTTGATGATTTTGTTATCACAGAGCAGGAAGTATTGGATCAGCTCCAAGTTATAAATGTTACTAAACCTCCAGGTCCTGACTGTATGTCACCTTTGATTCTTAAAAATATAACTAACTCGATAGTAAAACCCCTTACCAAACTATACAATTATTCACTTACTATTGGGCAACTTCCAGACATTTGGAAAAATTCACAAATTACTCCCATCTATAAGAATAAAGGAAGTGCACAAGATGTAAATAATTATCGGCCAATATCAATAACCTCAGTTGTATGTAAAATCTTAGAAAAAATCATATTCAAGCACTTGTACAATTATTGTCTTGAAAATAATTTAATTAATAAATATCAATCTGGATTTCAACCAGGTGATTCCACAACAAATCAGTTATTAGAAATATATCACACAATAATATCTAGTCTTGATAAAGGTAAAGATATTAGATTTGTCTTTTGTGACATTTCAAAAGCATTTGATAGAGTATGGCATAAAGGTATCCTTTATAAACTAAAATATTATGGTATATCAGAACAAATTGTTAATTGGATTGAGAATTACTTGTCTGATAGAACTCAAAAAGTAGTTCTTGATGGCTTTTCATCAACTACTAGAGCTACCAATTCAGGTGTCCCTCAAGGGTCAGTCCTTGGTCCCTTTTTATTCTTATTGTATATTAATGACATATCTGAAAAATTATCATGTCCTGTAAGGCTTTTTGCAGATGACACCTCTCTTTATGTCATAGTTGATGATGATATTATTAATTCTGCAAACTTATTAACTAAGGATCTTGGACAAATAAGACAGTGGTCTAATATATGGGCAGTAGAATTCAATCCTTGTAAAACAGTCAATCTAGATTTTAGCAGAAAAAATATTTGCCATCCAAAAATTAAGTTTGGTGAAGATGGGCCCACTATTAAAAATGTTGAAACACATACTCATTTAGGAATAAGATTTCAACAAGATGGTAATTGGAGATCCCACATACTTGATATTCATGCTAAAGCATGTAATCGCTTAAATATCTTAAGAATGTTAAAACACACACTTAAGAGGGATGCTTTGATAAAAATATATTTTGCTTTTATTCGTCCTGTTCTTGAATATTCAGATATTGTATGGGATAATTGTACTGAAAGAGATGCAAAATTACTTGAAGATGTTCAAGTTGCAGCTGCACGAATAATAACCGGTTTAAGAATCAATTCATCAAGATCAAAGCTTTATGAAGAGCTTAGCTGGGATACTCTTGAAATAAGAAGAAAAATACATAAACTAGTGTTATTTTATAAAATAGTGTATGGATTAGCACCCCAGTATTTGCAAGATTTATTACAACAATGCATTCTTCCAGATAATTCTTATCCCTTAAGGAATCAGGACAATCTTACATTTCATATTCCACAAGCCAAAACAACTTCATTTATGAAAAGTTTCCTCCCTTCAACTATAAGACTTTGGAATGATTTACCATTTAATATCCGAAACCTTTCTTCACTTACATCATTCAAGACTGCCATAAAGAATATATACTGCATAAAACCTAAGAAATATTACAATTATGGAAGTCGTAAAATGAATATATTGCATTGTCAGTTGCGAAATAATGCTAGTAATTTAAATGCTGACTTATTTAATCATTTTTTAAAGGAAGATAAAAGTTGTGACATGTGCGGGTTTAGTTCAGAAACATCATATCACTATTTTATGAATTGTCCAAAATACTGTATGCAAAGACAGAACCTAATACAAAACTTTAATACTTTGCAATTACCAATGCCTTTATGTTTACAACTTATTCTAAATGGAGACAATAATCTTACATACAACCAAAATATTGCAATATTTAAACTTGTTCAAGAATTTATTGCAACTACAAAGCGATTTGCATGATATTCTATCTGCTTTTGTTTTTCAATTGTCAAATCACAGAACCAAAACCTATTTATGTTTTCTTATTCATTTTTTTTTTAAATTTATACAATTATTAATATAATTGCCAGTCATATATGTTAAAATATAAATTTAAATTATATTATCAGCTCATATATTTCTCTTTTTTTGTTCTCCTTAATTTGCCTTGTCATACACATTTCTACTGAATATTTGCATGTATATATTTATATTTTTCAATGTTATATTAATAATGTTTACTTGTACATGTATGATTTTGACCTTGTATTGTGGAAAGTACTTATATAGGCAGTGCCTGCTGTCCAATCCAATTATGTTTTATCATAATAAAATATTGTTTAAATTAAAAACATACGTTTAACGTACGTTATGTGAAACGTATGTAGTCACACATATGTTATACGTACATTGTACCACATACGTGAAACGTATGTTTGTAATACACGTATGTGATACGTACATTTCACATACGTGATACATGTGTTATGTGCAGCCATATGTAACACGTACGTGGCACAATTAGCTGTGTACAACGACGACAACGACAGCTAAAAATTGCAGAGAAAATATAATCTTTCATACCTAATGATACAAGAATATGAGTTTACAAAGAAGACCCAAATTCGTAATTATATTAGAAATCCTAGGAAAAAGAAGTTTCGTAGCATACTATGATAATGAGTTGGTGTCTAATGTTATAATAAAACAAAAATGTTTGATAATGTATGAAAAATTTGAGAAATATTAACTTCAAATACGTGTTTAATACACTGTTCCATCTGCCCACATTTTATATGAGTACAATACGGTAGAATTCAATGTAATTATCAAAAATCTCTGGCTCGTTATATGCCTAGACGGTGTACATTGTGATGAATAATGTGATAATTTTGATCATAAAAGTCGCATTAAACATGTTTAGAGACATTTTTACTGTACAGTTATACTATATCATTCGCCCTCCATAACGTGTAATGGTAGGCATTTGTTTGTAGTTGAAATGTGTGAAAAATCCTTTGTTCAAAAAGTTTGACATAAAATAGAATTAGACACAGTATAATGGAAAGAGTGGAAAAATATGACAATCTCGATTCTCTAAAATACATGTACATGTCCTAAGGTTTTATTTCAATATTGACCCTAAGCTTGTCCATAAACATAAGAATATAACGATATAAGCAATATCAGGGTCCATAAACCCTCTGCTCACTCATATAAAATGTTGCTTGAACTTTAATGATTTTCCAAAAGAAATGTATTTTTTAAGTAAAATACAAACAATTATAGTAAAGTTTGCGGGGCTAAATTGGACAAAAAGATATAGATGACGCTTCATGAGATTTGGGTCCAAATGCAATATTTGTAAAACAATGAATAGACGTCATGAACATCACACGTATTTTCCTAATTTTCTTCACGTTTTTTCTACATCGTCTAAGATTTGGAGTAAAAAACGCCAAGTATTTTTTCCCGTAATTAAAATGTCTAGATGTAAATAAATCTACAAATGAAAGTGAGTTCTACATTAAAATGGAACCATCAGCAATGCGTTCATCTACATTTTTCCGCCTGCTTTTTCATATTGGTGAAGTTCTTCATATGTGTTTTGGTGGTCGAGTTCACGAAGTTCTGCATAAGGGGAAGTAACCCTGTTCGTTTAGAAAATAATTTTTGCATAAAGACATCAATCGTTAAATAAGAATTTATTTGAGTCAAAAATAATTAAATAAGGGAACAAAACAATACATACACATTTCGCCCACTTTGTTTATCTGCAAATTAAAAAAAAACACTAAAAATTACAAGCTTTCCGAAAAAGTTTAAACTTGTCTGCTCCCGGATCAAAAGATCGCGAGGGCTTTGTTTTTGTCCCGTCTGTCTGTTGTCTATCTGTTTGTCTGTTGTCAACTTTAACCTAGGCTACAACTATTGCGCTGTCAAGGGTAGGTATATGCATGTATATACCTCTTCAGTCTACACCCCTCTCAAGAATTGTGTAACAATCGGGGGCATAGTGTTTCACAAACATATATTGTTCTAAAACATGTAATCTTTTGATATTTTCGTTTGTTAACAACAGATTTACATACAGATTGTTGATTTAAAGAACGAGTTCGTATTTTTCTCTACAATTCGTGGCATTTGTAGACGGTTTATATATAATAATCTACCGGAATATGATATAATGGAAACTTTTAACATAACAAGCTTTTGATAAGTTGTTTTCAAATACATCGGTATTATTGATTGTATCTTTTTTTTCCATTCAATGTTGTAGTCATGGAATTTAAACACCATTGAAATAATCGCCATTAAAGTTGTTCACAATATCGTGTCTTTATGATAAAAAATGACCTCTTGATGTCTATATTTGATATTACCTCCTTTATCCACAGCTGAAAATTCGTTGTAATATTCTTTTTCATTGTTGGTATCCAAAACTGTCCCTTTTTCTGTAATAGAAAAGTTACATTTCAAAAAGATAAAATAAAATGTTCACAGTATTTGCAACCCATTTAATCTATCAATTTTTGTGTAAAAAGGATTACTTTTTTCTGAATAGTAAAATAATTTTTTAAACAATTTTCTTATTCAAGGATTTTTTGTAATAAAGAAATCAAAAGCAAATAAAGGAAAGCTTAATATGCGATTTATGAGAGAAATTACCGGTATAAAATAAATCGAAACTCGGGCTTTGTAGTTCTAGACTTATTTATCAATGGTTATAGAAAATATTTTGTGGAAACATTTCAGTTGGGGTTTCATTTAAATGTGTTATTTAGAAAAAGTGTTGTACTTTTCCTCTTTTTACATTTTTTACATGTGTAAAAATCGACTTAAAGGTCTTCTTCAAATTCAGAACATGGAGTTTCCTCTTGAACACTTGTCCAAATAAATCTTTTCTTTGCTTAACATCTTCCAAGATATTTTATTTATACTGAGAGAGTATCACATGCAAACGAAGTACAGCTAATAAAGACTAGCGGTTTTGAGCGTTTAGTGATCTTTATCAGAGCCAACACAACTGCAATTATTAATATTTAATACGAATAATGTAAAATCATAGAAATAACTTGATTATAATAAAAACTTTGATTTTCATCAGTGAAAACTTTGATAATGTCATCATGTTATACCTATAAAATAAAATTAATTAATAGATATTTAAAGACACATAAATGACAAAATAGGTGGAATTAAAGAAAATAAAAAAACTTACGCTGTATTTTCCTCCAGATGTAAAAGTTTAGGGCACTTCCCATCAGAACAATAAGTATAGAGACAGTCACACTCGTAATGGTTATTGTGTAGTCAATCTTACATGTGTCGCAAGACTGTGACTGCAAACATTGGAGAAAAAGAAATTGGCAATTTACATGTAGAAAATTTGCGACTTTATTATGCATTTATTGTTTATCATAACATGAAGCGCCCGTTAACATATCTAAAAAAAAACTATTTTAATGTTGCCACTTCCTTCGTTTGTTTATTTACATGTATATGTTACCTCACCTGCAGGGATGGTATACAATGTCCTGTCTCGTGATGACAAGTCTGGCTGACACACTCTGTACTACAGCGCTCTTTACAATTGACTCCCCAGTACGATTGTCTACATACTACAAAAATAAACAATAGGTCAAATGACCTTTACTCATCTGGTGCTTTCATGATCAAAATCAATTATCAAAGTGATTTAGGCTCAATTCGATAAAATTAACTTAAACATTTTTTGGGGGTTTATACTTATCAATAGATGCAATGAAAAAATTATAATATATTCAATTAAAAAACATTCTCAAAAAATTACCGAAAAAAATGAAGATAACGAACAGTGACTGATTTCTTAAGCTTAATTAGTTAAAGAATTAAGAAATTCAAATTTAATTTTCCTATATCAAATGAATGTCGTCGCAGCAGTCCTAATCAAAAACACAGTGTTGAGCGTTATTTCCAGTCAACAACGATGACAGTATACAAAAAAATAAATATGCTTCGGGCAATTTGGCACTTCCTAATTACCTAAAAATGTAATGTTTTTTAATCTCCATCGATTTCTAATATTTATTAGATTTCAATACTCCCAAAAATATAAATGTTTAAAAAGTGAAAGCATATGCAGCATTTTACACTTTCTTCTTATTCAATTGAAAAATAAAAGAATTGTTCATATGAGTTTGGTAACTTACCCGGAAAACAAGGTAGATAATGAGATAAATTACAGGCTTTTGTAATATATACATGTAGAGCTTTCGACAAATATACAAGTATTAATTTATTTTACGATACGAACTAACTACGGCAAAGGCATGTAGGAAAAATACCCTTAACACGCCATCCCTTAGTACAATTTTCTTTGCACACAATGTTTCAGTTATCAAAACTTTATCGTAGAAAAGTTATTCGACGTATTAAAAGATATGATAAATATTTTATTTCTACAAAATATTAAAAGTATTCATACCATTTGCACAATGAGGCCCGTCGTATCCAACAGCACACCCTTCTGGACATGTTCCGTTGCCGTGCTTACACTGAGTATTGTTAATGCAATGTCCACAGCTTTCATTGCAGTTATAACCATACTTTCCACCTTCACACTCTTTGAAAGATGGAACAATTACTGACAATCCCCCTTTATGCACAAGCAAGGTCAAAACGAATTTTTTTTCTCTGTTTTAATTCAAACTAATCTTCCGAATTTTTTTACTAGTAAAAAGGAAAATAATTATCAATAAAAACAAGAAAAACTAATTTTTTTTAAAACATTCATATCTTTTATTGATTTTTTAATTGCTAATCCAATGAAGTAAATGACATTTTTTTTATACTTACCGTGATAGATTAAGATCAAATATAAAAAAAAATCCAACAAAATGTAAATAAAACAAGTTTCTGTGCTTCTGTTTATGTGTATATGGTTTTTTCTTAGATTTGGATGTAAAAAAAAAAACGTCATATGGGGAAACCTTAATTCCCTTCCAAATTATAATACCATACCAATGTCACAGAGAGATCCCTTTAGAACATCCTTGTAAACAAGTTCCTTTGAAATCATGGCATTGTTCATAATTTAGGCAATGACCACATACTTGATTGAAGTTTATATATTACATTCCTCCCTCACATTATGTGTATTTGTGCAAGAGTTTATTTAAAAAGTAAATTAATAGTGGGTCTTTTATTCTCTTTATTCTCTCTTTATAATTGTTTATTTTTTAAAAAAAAATTAAACATATTAAAATCAATATAATCTGTCTCTTACTTAGTACAAAGCAATCCTTTGTATCCAAGCGAGCATCCTTGTAAACAAGTACCGTTTACATGGTCACACTGTTCGTCGTCTAAACAGTGCCCACATCTCCTACCACAGTTCTCACCGTACATTCCACTATCACAGTCTAAGAAATACAAATGTCATATATCCACATCAAACGATACTTAAATGCAAACATATAAAAGAAATTACATTTCTTAGGCTTTAATACATGTAGAATTTTTTTTATTTCAAATTTTGCAATCTATTATTGATAGATTTTGAGGGACTTACTATCGTCACCGCTGAATAAAATATATTTGGATGCTCATTTTTTTTTTGGGGGGGGGGGGGGAGAGAGAGAGAAAATTATCAAATTTGTCAACAATAACAATATATTACAATCTGACAGAAGCATACGTAATATGCTTCAATTCTCGAATATATATACATATTCACTAAAATTCTATAAACAGGATATAAACAATTTTGGGAATTTACTTTGAAGTGGACCCCAGGTAATATTGTTCAATATTAAGTTTCAGATAAATTTACCAAATACAGTGTGTAAGGAAATGGATATGAGGTCCAGTAGTACAATAGCATCGTGACGGGTGCAATATACTCTTAGGGCAATTCAAACCATCGAAAGTGAACTCGTCCATCAGTAAAAACGCACTTTAATTCTTTTCTATAGGGTCATTGAACTTATATTGTTGAATATAGGCACAAGTTGGCTGTTTAAATGCACGAGCTTGCAAGTGCATTTGAACAGCCAACGAGTGCCCATATTCAACAATACAAGTTCAATAACTCCTTTATAACTCCTTAGCTAAAACATTTCCACCTATAATTTATAATAATTATTCCACCTAAAAGAAACCCAAACTAGTAATTTTTTTAGTATCGGTATTCAAATTAACGTCTGTCCTGTCAGTGTTAAATATGAATCGTTTCGATGACCCTACAATACCCAGCGAGATGATTTGCTTTAATAGGTCTAATAAGTACTAAATTTTAATAGATTGTTTCATTTTGTAGGAAAAAAACATCTTACCTAGATGCCACTTTCTTTTTTGATTTAGCTCTGAGACTTTGATCAGACAACTTTTTTTTGTTTACAACCGGGCGTTCGATATTAAACAATTCTGACAAATAACAAGATCAACTGACTGTTCTCTTTTTTGGGGTTTATGACTGAAGATTATAGTTCATATTTCTATTGTATATTTCTACTTCCCAAACTGTAATTTCTATTGTAAAGCATATCCTGGCGAAGTTACCCCTCCTTTCCTGGTTCCTGAAATCGTGCAATATTTTCAATAGTGTTGCATCCTTTCTTCAACAGAAATGGCATCATTGTAAAGGAAATCAAAACTGTTTAAAAACGGATACTTTTTTTTAAACTTTGACCTCTCAAGAGAAAAACAATTCGCATCATCTTAAAGCTTCCAATATTCCAACGTTAAAAAGCAATGCTATTTTAGATGTACTGATCACGTCAATTTTATATTCAGGTTTGCATTGTAGTAATAAGACTATTACGTTTTGTTACTATGGATTATTGCACATTTCACGATTCATAATTTTTTTACAACACATTTTTATTACACCATTGTGTTTGGTCCACGTATGACAGTCAATTGATGGAGAGCAACTGGTTCAGATATTTTTGAGTAGTGAAATATATGACGATAACTAACATTATTCAAGCTCAAAAGACCATGAATTTAAACAATGCAAATCAGGAGCAGAGCCATGCAAAGTCGATGTGATGACAAAGTCTACTATCAAGGCTACAATCGCACATATTTAATTTAATTTTAACCAAAAATAGTAAACATATATACATTATTATATTTCTTTAAATTTAATGTTTCGTGGACGTTTAACGGTCCGCTCAAACACCTCTGTTATAGTCTAAATTACAAGAATTTTGTAATACAAAAGTTTATTTTAGATTTTCGCCAACTTGCTTATGTGAAAAAAAAGAAAAGAAATAACAATCTGTAGAACCGTTTTGTGTGATTGTGGTTTTTTTTCAGAATAACTTCAACAAATATGGCACTATTTTGTTTTGAATTTTAACAATCATTTTCAATGTGTTCATTTTGAAATCAATTAAGAAGACAAAGTGAGACGATATTTACTATCACAGAGCTTCAAACACGTCACATGTTTGGCAAAACATACAAAACAAATAAATGTTAATAGATTTTTTGTTGTCATTTAATTATTTGACAACCTGAACTACTTTTCAGACGAAAACAGAGGTTTAAGCGGAGCGCGCCCTCTAGTGAGAGATTGGCTCCAACATTTGAAAATATTCAGCAATCTAGTTCAAGAATTGTCTGTTGTAAGTGTGACGTGAATTTTTAAGTCACATACTCAAAATGAATAATATATTGATATTGCCGATCGGCAGGGGATGCTCACTCCTCCATGGTACCTGATCCCACCTCTGGTGTTTCGGAGGTCCGTGTTTGCCCTGCTCTTATTTTGTATATTGTTTAATGGACTTTGAGATCGAATACTGTTCGTTATCTCCATATCCTTCATTGAACATTGATTTTGAATTTTAGAACTGATGTAAAGTGATGAACCATCTTTTACAAAAGAAAAAACTGAATATGTAATTATCTTTCAGAGGAAGCAATTTTAGCCTACTTAAAGTATGCAATTCTTAATCGACACCAAAAGAAGACCTATTGTACATCTGTTGTATATCCAAAACCAGTAGGTTCACCTCCACAGTGAAAATAAATAAGTCAAAATTATAAGTATCAATACAGAAGACGTTTCATAGGGAAGAAAAATGTGAACGATTTCATTTCTAGACAAAATCCATACTATAGATGAATAATTTACGTACTTAAATTAACTTACCCTGACTACAATTGTGCTCTTTATAACCTGGATAGCATTCAAAACAGTTTCCTGTAGAGATGTTACATCTTTGCTCAAGACAATTTTCTGGACACGATTGGTCACAATTCTGGCCGTAGTACTTTGATCCAGGGCACCCTGTGAAGGTACAAGGTAAATATTAATTGTTTTTATAAGCTAAGGGAAAAAATGAAAAAAACAATATGTGTTTGTGAAACACTGATGCCCCCGTATGGCAACATTGTTTGATGTACCCGACTTTAAATAAATATTATCTTATCTTTTTAGCAAAGAATAAAAACTTTTCTTAGATGCAAATTTAATATATTGGTGCCAAAAGTAATGTTTTCTCACTGGAAAAACGATTGTTAAATATGAATGTCGGTCAAGGTTAAATTTTTTTCCATAAGTACGGAAATCTTCAAGGACAAGGTCAATGGTATCCACTGAAAGGTGTTCCCACAAAAAATACATATGTAAAGCATGGAAACCCTAGTCCTAACCCTTCAGAAGTGAAGGCCAAGGTTAAAAATTTTAAAAAGTTTTGAGCCCAAACTCAAAGGTCGAGGTCAAAGTTCTTCATATCAAATGAAAGGTCTTGGCACAAGGATTAAATATATAAAGTATGAAAGCACTAGCCCTAACACTTTAAAAGTAATGGTCAAGGTTTACATTTTAGAAAGGTCAATTCCAAGGTCAAGGTCAAAGGGTCAAAGTTCTTGGTATCGAATGAAGGGTCTTCACACAAGGATTACATAAGTGAAGTATGAGATTGCTAGCCCTCAACTTTAAAAAGTTATTGCCAAGGTTAAAGTTTTTTTTATAAGTACAAAAATCGTCAAGGTCAAAAGGTCAAGGTAATTGGTATCCAATGAAGGTCTTGCCACAAAAAATACATGTGTACAGCATGGAAGCCGTAGCCTAACCGTTCATAAGTTATGGCCAAGGTTAAAGAATTTTGAAAGAAGGTAAAACTCCATGGTAAAGGTCAAAGGGCCAAAGTTCTTGTTATCAAATGAAAGGTCTTGTCACAGGAATTGCATATGTAAAGTATGAAAGCACTAGCTCTAACTATTTAAAAGTTATGGTCAAGTTTTGCTTTTTAAAAGTAGGACAAACTCCAAGGTAAAGGTTAAAAGGTCAAAGTTATTGGTATCGAATGTAGGGTCTTCTCACAAGGATTACATATTTGAAGTATTGAAGTCCTTCCCTTACCCTTCAAAAGTTATGACCAATGTTAAAGTTTTTTCATTAGTACGGTAATCTCCAAGCTCAAATTCAGAAGGTCAAAGTTGTTGGTATCAAATGAAAGGACTTATGACAAAGAATACATATGTAAAATATAAATATCCTGCTATCGACTGTTCAAAAGATAGGGCCAAGTAAATCTTTTGAATTTTTGTGTAAAAGTGGGTCAACTCCAAGGTCAAGGTCAACAGATTAAATTTGATGGTACCCAAAGAAAGGTCTTGTCACAAGGAATACACATGTGAAGTATGAAAGTCATAGCTCCACTAAATCAAAAGTTATGGGCAAGGTTAAAGTTTTTGCGGACAAACAGACAGAGAGAGAGACAGCTAGACAGACGGACGGACACGACAAAAACTATATACCCCCTTAACTTCGTTCACGGGGGGGGGGAATCCTTTAATACAACGATAGCATTTACATTAAAAGTTAATATATTACTTAAAACTCACCATACACCTCCAATTCACACAAATCATTATATGCATATTGAGAGTAGTAACTTGGATACGTCACTTCGGGTCTCCTGCGCTCGTTGTAGTATATAACATACCGCCCGTCATAAGGACAGTAGATTTTCTGGTTCTCCAATGGTGTTCCGTTTACTTGTTGCAATTCATGAAAGCAAATGCGCCCATTGTCTTTATTGGTATCGTTTGAAATGTAAACATAAAATCCAGCAAATCTGTCGTAGTGTGCGCCAGGGCCTAAAAAAATAAATATGTTTTTATCAATGCCACTTGTTGGTGTTTTCGTTTTTTATTTCAGATTTGATGTATATGAAATCAAGGCAAATTTTATTAATAACAGAAACAACAATATCTGGGTTTTTTCTATGCATAAATGGAAAAGATGTGATGAGGCAATGCACTGGAATTATAATGCACTAATTCAACTATGACCATGTCAAAATATTGTATATGAAATATTAAAATATTACACATTATTCAAGCAAAAATGTCTGAAATAAAATTGGGAAAAAGAGCATTCACGAAATTGGATCTGTTGACTCGAACTCGGAGGAGTAAATATCGTATCTCTACAGAATCAGTCTTCTTTGTCAGGTGTAAAAATTAAAACCAACAATTTGTATACAAAAACAATTGATAAGCTAAGACTTAAGAATATTCGTCTTGACGATTGATTGCTTTTGGTCACAAGGTCATCTCCAATGAACTTTTAGGAATGGATTCACGAAATAATAGTAAAATTCATTTCTTAACGACAAATACAAGTACAGGCTTAAATCATATCCATTTGTTTTATACTCCTGTAAACAAAGCTTATATATATATATATAATATATAGTATATAGTTTTTGTCGTGTCTGCCCGTCTGTCTGTCTATCTTTCTGTCTGTTTGTCTGTTTGTTCGGAAAAAATTGCTTATAACTTTTGATTTAGAGGAGCTATGACTTTCATATTTCACATGTGTATTTCTTTTGACAAGACCTTTCTTTGGGTATACACAATTTTGACTTTTTAATCTTGGCCTTACAGTTTGACCTACTTTTACACTAAAATTCCAAACTTTTACTTTGGCCATATCTTTTGAACAGTAGATACCAGACATTTATACTTCATATATGTATTCTTTGTGGCAAAACCTTTCATTGAGCACCAACAACCTTGAGCTTTAGACCTTGGAGATGTCTGTATTTATGAGAAACCTTGGCTATAACTTTTGAACGGTAAGGGAGAGGGCTTTCATAATTGACATATGTAATTCTTGTGAAAAAATACTTTATTGGATACCAATAACTTTGACATTGACCTTGGAGTTTGACCTACTTCTAAAATACAACCTTGACCATGATTTGTCATACTTTAAATATTTAGTCCTTGCGACAAGCGTTTCATTTGTAATCAAGAACTTTAACCTTTTGACCTTGACCTTGGAGACTGACCCGTTTGACACAAAATCTAAACTTTTTCTTTGGCCGTAATTTCTATACGGTAGAAACTAGGAATTTCATATTTCAAATATCATTTTTGGGCAAGACCTTTCATTTGAAACGAATAATTTTGACCTTTTGAACTTGACCTTTAAGATTCCCTTCTTACGAAAAAAAGTTTACCTTGACCTTAACTTTTGAACGTTAAGGGCTAGAGCTTTCATACTTCACAAATGTAATCCTTGTAAGAAAACCTTTCATTGGATATCAACAACTTTGACCCTCTGACCTAGCAATTTGACCTACTTTTAACAAACCTTAACCTTGGCCATAACTTTTAAAAAGTAAAGGTTACAGCTATCATATTTCACATATGTAATTCTTGTCACAAAACCTTTCATTGGATATCAATAACTTTGACCCTTTGAACTTGACCTTAGACTTTGATCTACTTTTTACAAACTTTAACATTGGCCATAACTTTTGAACGGTAAGGGCCAGTGCTTTCATACTTCCCATATGTAATTTTTTTAAGACAAGGCCTTTCTTTAGAAACCAACAACCTTGACCCTTTGACCTTGACACCGGAGTTTGTCCTACCTTTAGAACGTAAACCTTCGCCATAACCTTTGAACAGATGGTGCTATGGTTTTATATTTCACATTTGTATTTCTTGTGTAATGACCTTACTTTAGGTACCAGTTTATTTGATTTGCATTTGAGAAAGCTTAACCTTCGCTTTGTTGCCATACGGTGACATCAGTGTTTCACAAACACATCTTGCTTTTAAATGTAATTCGAGTTTTTTCACTTGTCATTGGTTTGAGAGATACAAATTTTTGGTTGGAAACCACTCTGATTGTCCACACAAATACTCTTAATTTAATTTTAAATTTAAATTTAAAATTTAATCGTAAAAATATGCTCAAGTTTCGTAATTGACATTGTACATGTATACGTAGAGAACAGGTTTTTCAAGCAATCATGCCGAATTCTTATGGATTTTTAGTAGTTTTATTTTTTATTCATACAGAGCATAATTTTATAAACGTTCGTGACCTTTAAGTCGAAATTTAGATATGAGGTATTGACGATGCACTTCCATTCATATGGTCGACTCCAACTATCCATATGAACTCGAAATAAAAGATACAACGAAAAAAGAAACCTCTGTTTTATAGAAGTTTGTTTTAATAGCAAAAACCTTGATGGTTACTTACCCACGATAACTAAATGAAAAACGTTTTGTCTTCGATTTGTCTATCCTACAGTTCCCTTTATTTATGTGGCAATATGCCCTACTACCTTCTACTATATTTTGAGTTCATTCGATGCGCTGGCGTAAGCTTAACCTCCGAAAAAATTCTAAATCGAGACAGGACTTTGGCACATAATTTAATGAAAAAAGGATATCACAGTCTGGTTTATATCATCATTTCGGAAGTTGTACTATCGATACAATGAAGTTGTCAGCATATACAGTCTATTCATATAGTAAGATTGTAAAATTTTAATTTAAAAGTTTATGTTAAGCTGAAGCTAGCCATTTACAAAACTGAAATTCATTTTATAAAAATCGATTTCATACTTGCAAAATTATCAGTCCTATAATAGATGTGGATGTGACTGATACTGACGATTTTCTCTAGATCTACTCTCCACTCTGCCGTTGATTGTCCGGGGCCTGATATTGTACACTGTCCTCCAATAGCTCCACGGTCGGAATATTTTCCGTCTACTGCTTTCGCTGCTCCCCATTCTACCTGTTTATCTGGCCAGTTGTGGTTCTGCCAGGCAGGTCTCCCTAAGGCTAAATTTACTTATGAACAAAATGACAAAGTGTAATAACCCTATTAAAAAGTGTTTATGTTTGAATTAGAAATCATTTAATGAAAAAGATTATGAAAAAGTGTGGATAACATAAAGGCGAAATATGATACAAAGGAACAAACACTTTAAAGCATTTTACTTCGTCACTTACAATAAGTACAGTGTGGACCTTGGTATCCTGGTAAACAACCACTGAAACAGTTTCCAGTAACTGCGTCACACTGCTGTCCATGACACGTTACTGGACATGTCTGATTACAATATTTTCCATAATATCCAGGGATTGGACAGCCTATGTAACAAATCATTACTATTGGTAATTAATTTATTTACTTGTAGCTGTATCGTTCGCATATTTTCAATTAAGTCAGAAAAGGACACCATTGTCGAGGAACATTCGCACAAATCATGTAGGATGTACATGCAAGTTACCTGTATCTATTGGAACTTACCATAAACCTCCACTTCACAAAGTTCACTGAATGCATACTGAGAGTAGTAGGAAGGATACACCACATTGTTAAGACGTTCATTGTAGTATATAACATATCGTCCATATACGGAGCAGTTGATCCTCTGATCTTCTAGAGGTGTACCGCTAACTGTCTGTAATTCATGGAAACAAAGTATTCCGTCCTCTTTTGAAGTTGTGTTGGAGACATACACGTAAAATCCAGCAAATCGTTTAGCGTATGAACCTGCATTCAACAATGTTCAAAGGTACAAATTCAATATCATATATCCTTGATCAAGGGGGTTTCTTTTCAGCAAATATTATGAAATATCTTATCAATATTAGCACCCATCTTATTTCAAACATACCAGGTTTATTGTCCGTCCTGTAGAAGATGTTGATGTAACTGATGCTGACTACACTCTGTAGATCTACTCTCCATTCTGCTGTCTGTTGTTTATCTGCTGATATTGTACACTGGTCCCCAAGTGATCCGCGATCAGTATAATTCCCATCTACCGCCTTGTCTGCTCCCCATGGCTGGGATTGAGAATAATCGTTCTTCTGCCAGGCTGGTTTCCGTAATGCCAAATTTTCTAAATAAAGAGATCAAATAAATTTATTTCTTAAATAAGAAGTTACGCAAAGTTAGAATATCCGTTGCAAGGGTCAACAGTAAAACACACAATTTTCTTTTCTTTCCTTATTTTAACATTTTTAAGTGTTTCAGTATGTTTAAAGCAGAACATAAACACGCTTGATTTTTTTATGTTGTTTTATTTCTTTTGAAAATATAAAATTAAACACATCCTAAAAATCTCTAACTAATACCGCAGTGATCAGAAACACTCCCCTATATTATTTTTTATTATGTCTTATGCTAAATCTTTAGAGAATTAAGTTCTTTTGATTTATAAAAAATGTTTTATTACATAGTAAAATATATATGGCCAGGCCAGGAGGCCGTGCAACTTAGACGAGCTCACTTTTGATCTCAATTTTACCGTTTCCAAAAGAATTGATAATACAAAAGTGGGACTGTGATAAAAAGTGAGCTCGTCTATTTTTTACGGCCCTCAGGCCAGATCTCAGGGAATATATATATATATATATATATATATATATATATATATATATATATATATATATATATATATATATATATATATATATATATATATATATATATATATATTTATATTCATATATAAATAATTTAATTATGGTTGTAACGATGTATTTGATTGGATAAAATATCATTTTATATCGTATAAAATGGGTTGCCTACGTCACAATGACGTGCGTCAAAAACGTATCAATCCGCCTGACGTTACATTCAAATTTTGCACAAATTTAAGTCATTTTGTAAGAACAATAATCTTTTTTTCTTACATCAAATGAATGAAAATTAAATTATAAGCAATGAATTTAATAGCTACCCATTTTATACGGTATAAACTGGGTTGGAACAGTTTACGCTTTTTTATAAACCGCGAAGCGGTTTATAAAGCGTAAACTGCCCCAACCCAGTTTATACCGTATAAAATGGGTAGCTATTAAATTCATTCCTTAAAAAACAAAAATTAATTAACTTAAAATTTTTACAATCTTACCATATGCACAAGTATACGTTGTACACACGATAATACAGATACAGCGAATCATTCTCTTCATTCTAAAAAATATAACATAAGCAATAACAAGAAAGCAAAGGGCAACATTGCTCACCCACACTTGTATGAAAAAAGCAAAAATTATTTCAGTATCGAAAGGTTAACGGGGTAACCATGTAGGAGTGAGTATCCCCTGCCGATCGGTCACACCTGCCATTTTTTTTTTCCAAAATTGAGAATTGTTTGGCCCAGGGTCGGGATTTCTGTTGCTCAAGACGTCATGTTTTGAATATATTCTTTTCAGTTGCTAATTATAAATTTTAAAAAAAACCTAATTTGGTAGGTATGATGAGCATGAAAGCTTCGCCCAGGGTATTGTATTTCATGACCCCTTGGTCAGATGTTCTTTTGTAAGAGTTGGCCTCTTGATAACATTGTAAAAATGAATTTATTCCAAAATTATCTGATCTGCCCCTTTATGTTGTGGTCAGATAAACAAAGCCTTAAGTTAAGTTAAAATAAGTTAAATTATTCAAACTTCCTAAATTTCGAAATCTTTGGCCCTAGGGTAGGGAGTTTTGTTGCTCTACTGATTATAAAGTAGAAAAACATAATTTCTTTTAAAATACCCTCTTCAGTTCCCTGTTATAAATGTGTGTAGGTATGATGAGCATGGAAGCTTTGTCCAGAGTAGTGAATTTCATCATCCCTTGGTTCTGGTGTAAGGGTCAGCCTCTTGATACATTTGTGAAAATGAATTGGTTAAAAAAATTCTTGTCTGCTCTTTAGTGTTAGTAGAAAAAAAAAATCTTTTGTAGTCCTGTTTTTTTTCTTTTGGGGGTGTCTATTGATAAGGTAATGTGAAAATGTGTTAATTCTTTAAAAATCTTCAACTAAGTGCTTATTAATGAAAATTAGGCTAACTCTTTCAATTTATGAATTTCACTGAATCATATGTTCTAGTTCTAGTTATAGAGAAGGAGGATGTTGAATATTTAAAAAAAAATGTACCATACATATGCTTTGGTGCGAATCATAGGCAAACATAGTCTAAGATTTAATAAAGAAGGGTTTTTTTAACATCTGGACCATTTTATCAAGCGTTCTGATCATTACAAGGGCTCTAACAATTTGGATTCTCCTGAGAGAAGTGGAAGAGATGACTATGTAGATGAAGGGATGACTATGTGAGATGAAGCAATACGAGGTTTAAATAGTAATACATGTAGTACAGAAGCTCTGATACTGTAATTATCTCATGGACAGTATAGTGACAGTGATAAATATGGAAAGATCTGAACCTCATTTATGAATTGATTTATTTTGTTTATCCTGATCATCCTATTTGCATTGTTTCTTGTAAAAAAAAAATTATCGAATTTAATTAAATACTTTAAAAATTCAACTCTAAAAATTAAAATTGGCTACTCATTATTCTAAAATACTCAGGTGACTGTTAGGCCTTGGGCGTTGTTAAAGATATATTTCCTATATATTCCTATATCATACTTTGACCCACTGTTGTAATCACGTCTTATATGTACATGTTTCCATGATTTGTATAAATCTCATTCTACACTACCTGAGAACATTTTATATTGATATGTCAATTCATGAAGAAGCTCTTATTGAGGAGGATTTTAAAGATATTTGATATCCTTTCTATTTATGAAGGCATTCACGTGAAAATTAGAAAAAAAGGCTAAAACTTGCATATAAATTTTGACGTTTTGCATTGGCCAAAAATATGAATATATATCGAATATTTAGAGTCCAAAATAGAGCACTATATGTGAAAAAATAATAAGATTTAAAACTTGATAAATTGCATTTTTCATTTGAAATTTGTAACATGAAAAAAAAATTAGAAAGTACATGTACACTCCAGTTAAATAAAAAGCATTTTTATCTTACTCTTTCAAGCATACATCTCGTCGCGGCAGAGGTAAAAAATAAATAGATTTTGAGCTTTCACTGATTTTAACAAGTTTTAAACCAGGAAGTTAATTGACAGTAGGTATAGGTTTGCATACATGTATTTGCGTCTTATACAAATGTCTTTCCAAGGCTGATCGCTTGACTGCGTCCTATTTAAAGAAGCTGTTATTTGAGTTAATCTAATTTTATGATCGAAAAAATTAGAGACAAGTGTATTGAAGTACACGCAATGATTAACGTTATGTTAAACCCCTATTAGTTTGATTTTTTGAAACAAAATTATGAATAGAAATGCTCGTAAAAAGGAGAATACAAATATAAACAAATTATATTACATTTAAATCCCACAAGTAACTCATTCCATTATTTTTTTTGGAGAAATTAAAGCTTTCAAGCAAAGAAAAATTGCTTGAGTTAATATTGCTGAAAATATCTTTAGGATATATTGTAATATTTATATATGTGGTAGCATACAATGTATAAAAACAGTTATTGGTTACATGTTAGGCAGTACATATAAATCATAGTGAAGGTTATTTTAAGAAAAACTATCATGTATTGCGAAGAAATACATATCAATTTAGTGTATCATTTTGAAAAGAAAGTAAAATTTGAATGTTTATCTAGAGCATTTTTAAGATATAACAACAATTTAAGAGTTTTCTATAATTTTTGATAGAAATTCATTTGTTAACTAAAAGCAATTGTCTGATTCGACAACGTGTAAACAAGAAATAAATCTTACTTTTGACTAGTGGAGTAAAACGTACTTAACAGGATGAGTATGGTGTCCGTATAGGGCTATTTTCTTAAGCTCAACATAGAGTATACGCCGTCGCGCTTACAAACAACACGCCGTCACGCTAACATACAACTCCCTATCGCACTATCTCAAGCTGAACAACACGCCGTAACGCTAACACACAACATGCTGTCACGCTAACAAGAGTTTGCACAACACGCCGCCGCGCTATATATCACACAACTCCCGACGCGGCGCGTTGCTTGAAAGCGTGTTTGCGTGACAACGCGCTGTGTGTTAGCGCGACGGCGAGTTTTTTTTTCTGAACGCAAAGTGAGCTTTAGCTAATGGCCGTATCCGAACACCATAGATAAGGAAAAATTGTATCGATTTTTTTGGAGTTGGAGTGATATAATGCGATGTATAACATTCTAATTAAAAAGAAAAGTCGCTCCACAATGTACTGATAGTATGTACATGTACTGTACCATGGTTCTCTATTATTTATAAATTGACTATGTTTCAATCTTTGTATGATACGCGGTATTTGCTAGAAGCAAGTTCTTAGAACCTTTTGAATAATTTGTTTGTACAATGAGTATTTAACACCAGTTGAATTGTCATAAAAATAAAATCAGTATAATAAGTCAGCTGGTAAGTTTTAAAAAAACTTTAGAAATAAAGGAGAAGGTATGGTAACGACCGAATTTTGTCCCTTGTTGGAAAATAAAGAAAATCAAAAACTCACAGCTGAAAGAGCTATAGTTTGCCGTGAAGAAGTTTAAATATTGTAAGTGGGTCTCATAGTGGGATATGTTATCAACTTTGTTTCTATTCTAATAAAATTTGGTCAAATTTGAGATTATTTTCACTTCGGGAAACACAGGGCACAGGCTTGTCTAACTAAGATCTTTTATTCACAAGAAGCATATTAGCTGTATAATGCTAATAATATGTAAAGTTTTGGTATGTAGGTAAGTTTGTGTTCTGTGTTTTCTTAATCGAAACGTGTTAAATATGAATAGAGAAAAATTAAAGACAACTGCATGTATTCAGATATAATACCATAATTTTGACCCCTGCAAGACTTTAGTAATAAAGGGGAATACAGATTTGAATTGACATTATTCATATCCCTCATTTAACCAAAAACCAAGTATCTGATTCGAGAACGCGTAGAGAATAAATTGACCTTACTTTGACCCATGGAATGGCAACAAATGTTTAATTATGAACTTTTGCATCACTCCTGGAGACACCAAAAACAGAGACCAAAATAAGGTCTTAGCCTACCTTGTCCTTGTTATTAATTTTGTAATTAGATTCTAGTACGGATATGTTTAAGAATTTGAAGATGTTATTAATAGAAAACTTTATCAGGGGTGTCTTTTACAATTAAGAATTCCTATAAGTAACTTTCACATTGCAATTAATACGAAAAAAATTAAATAAAATTGCGTCATATTAAGAAATAGAAACAACAAAGAAAATTTGCAGAACTCGATTAAACAAGGTAAGCATTAAAATGATTCAATACAAAAATATTACTACAGTAATTATAACATCATCTATTGTCCAACTATTCACACAATGTAGTTTGTCAATGTGAACTGTTTTTATACTTCCCTATATTCTGATGAAAATTACTTTCACAATATTTCAGGTTTTAATAGTCCTTTTGTTGTGAAATATACTACATACTTTTACAGAAACTAAACACGGTTAATGTAAATCGGAGATAAACAGAGGGAAGTGTAAAACTAAAGCTGAAATATCATGCAGATATCAAAACGGAAGGAAAGATTTTTTAAAAAAAAAACAGAAGGATATTTCTGTTATCAGAATGTAACAAAAACAAATTTAACAAAAACAAATTTAAAAGGAAACATGATATTTCTGAACTTTTGATAGAAAGCCTGTAATATGACACTGCAAGTGACATACTGTCTTATTAAATGTTTATCAATTTCTTTCATATAAATATTTACAACTGAAACATTTCAATATCAGGAGAAGTTTATTTACAATAGAACAAATTGTCCTTTTTCTGTACTATTTATTTCAATTACTTTAGAATAACATTCCTAACTACAAAAATAACGTTTAGAAACAAATACTTCGAGAAATAAAAAAAAAAAAAACTTCTGTTTTTTGTTACAGCTTATCAATATACTCTCCATAATGTTGAATTAATATGATGTGCAATTCATTTTAATAGTTGACAATCAAAGAAAAAAATTCCTACCAAAGGGACTCGCAGTGCTGTTGAGAAATCATCGATATGAATTAAAGTAAAGTAGATGTATGAATAATTTTCCAAAAGCTTGGATTCCTTTGACTTTTATTTTTTAAATGTGTTTGTTGATCAAATGAATTGAATTTGAAAATACATAGTACATGTAGTTGTTATTACATCAACACTCGTTTAGTACGAACACGGATATTGCGAAGTCATTTTAGATCCCCAGCTTTACGGGTATAGCGAAGTCATGTTAAATTCCCAGCTATATAAAACTTACGAATTTCTTATACGTTTATAACGAATTACGGATATAGCGAAGTATTTTCATAGGTCCCTGTGATTTCGCTATAACCGAGTTTTGCTGTATTCGCATTTAATGAAAAGGTTTTTAAGATTTACAAATTTTACTTATATATTATGATTAACCTAGGAAGGTCTTGCTGTCCAATACTTTACACCTTGAGATCGGTGAATAAAATATTGTTTAAATGAATAGTATGATTAACTTTTAAGATAAAGTTTGAAAAACTAGTAGTATAAGATCAGTGTGGAAATAAAGCAATAAGTATACCTTAAGAATAAATAATTTTACCTTACGAATATTTGATGATAAGGATAAAATCTACATTAATACCAGATCAAGACCCAGAAATCAGTCATAAACTAGCTACATATATCCTTTACATGACTAATTTGAAAGTTGCTCAAAAGTACACTGTAAAAAATAAGTGTTTAAGAAATAAACACCAAATTGCAACAGATAATAAACACTTCAACACGTTTAAGATTTAAACACCTCGCGAAGTGTTTAAGAAATAAACACGTTAGAATGTTTAAATTCTAAACACACGAAGTTTAATATTTAAGTACTTCTTTTTCATTCTGTTTAAATATTAAACACTTCAAAAGCACAAAATGTTTAAATATTAAACACTGAATTAATACATAGAGTTTACTAAATAAACACCGTGAATGTTTAATATGTAAACATTTCATGTTTAATTAATAAACATTTTCAACCTAAACATCTAAACACTTAAACATGTTTATTCGATGCAACAGATAATAATCACCTTAAACATGTTCATACATCAATTTTAAACACTTCAACATGTTTATTTTACTAAATAAATAAACACTTAAACGTGTTTATAAGTTTTCAACATTTTATTTGAAACAACCATAAAACAGTTCAAAACACACAATTTGGTTGATAATGAACATGTTGTACATAAATTTTTTTTTTAATTGATAAATGATTTAATGTTGATTTTGGGGATCAAACTTAATAAACAATAATAACATTAAACAACACATTTATTTACACAAAGATACATTTCAATTTAAGTTTTAAAAATAGAATTATCAAAACAAACTAGGACGAACATGTATATCCTGCATGTGTAAACTAAAATCCAATAAATTGATTTCGGGAAGGGGGTGTCTTTGAAATATAAAATAAAATACATTATCGATTAATAAAATGAAATATCTTTCATCAGTAAAATTTTAAAAAGGGCTAGGTCGTCCTTTGCATCTTTTTTTTAATAATAAAAGAAACAAATCCATGAATATATATGATGCAAAAAGACTGAAAATGTTATTTGTTATCTGGGTACGGGATGTACATGTATATACATGTATTAAATCTACACTCAGACTGATAAATCCAGCTGTAAAGTTTACTTTCATAATTATTCAGAGTTTTATAACCAAATGAAGAAATTTTCCAGTTTTGACCTGTAAAGGACTAATTCATTAAATATTCTCGATACTATACATGGGCTGCCGGGGTATCACTCACTCAATATCATGTAATATTCTAACCGAGTTAAACAGTCTAGCTCCTCTGGTTGTGGGTAAAATTCAGGTTCTCCTACAACGGATGATAATCTCCAGTTTTCCAATCTCCAAAATTGTATCCACACTAAGTAGTTCTAGTTCCTTCTTCTCTGCAGAAATATCCTGAAAAATAGATAGGTGAAAAAAGATTCACTATGTAAATTCAGATAATCATATGCAAAAGAATACATTGAGATCGAAAACTAAAATAAGTTGTTATTCTTCACGCCAATTTTAATTATATAATACATAGTGAGACAAGTTTGAAATATAAATCTGCAATTGAAATAAATCATATAAGCGTACAGTGTGTACACTAAAAATTTAAATGTTCATGTACCTGCAGGATAGGCCCAACAGCAAAAATTAAGAGAAGGGGTAGGGGGCTACCTTGTCTCAAGACATTTTCTATCATGTAAACAAGCACTCCCAAACCATGTACATGTACATGTATGTGCGCGGGCTGGAGATGAAAATGTTTGTACATGCGCGATTGTACAGTGTAGTATTGTTGCATGTTAGGGAACGTAAGGCCAATACCTGCAAGGGCAGGTACCTAATTGGATTACATTTATTTATCAGGAATCAATGGTGTGTGTGTGTGTGTGTGTGTTGGGGGGGGGTCTTTTAAGACTCACCTCTCAAGGTTAAGAATGATCTTCGTTTAAAATCCCTTTTCTTTATCAAGTAATGTATGCTTCTCAGGATTCACAATAACAGATGAACGTCCCTGCAAATCAATTAGATATCAAGACTACAATATTTTATGTCTATATCAGCGCATGGCCGCATTGCACTCAGACGATTACTAAGTATAGGAAAAAACCCTGCATTTCAAAAATGAAAAACATTTCAGATCTCTAATCATGTATATTGAGCATTCTTTTTCAAAAGATTTAACATAAAGAAATGTATAAATACCTCCTATTTCATTGCTGGATATGGTGTTTCTTTGTCAGTATATGCGTGATTCTACATCTTCTGCGTTCTAATGCCATGTTATGACATAATCAACTGCGTCATTTTCTATCATAACGTATTAAACACTGGTGTTTAATTGGCAATTTCTATATAAATACCATGTGTTTAATTAATAGATATATATGATTAAGAAATGAACACTTTTGTTAAACACCGGTGATTAAAATATTAATACAATTATAGAAATCATCATAATATTTGTTTTTATTTCCCCTTTAGAAGTTTGTAAATATTTTGAGATTTTGGCACAAAATTACAACTAAATAATGCTAATTGTAATTGCTTTTGGTATGATCTAAAGTCAACATATTGCCTTGCGATTCATATTTTTTTCTGTGTCGAAAAATGTCTACCATTATGTGCGGAATTGCTTCATAAATTAAGATATTGAAAAAATGGTGAATTCCTACAGCAAATACTGAGAAGCAACACCTAATGTATTTTTTGATTTGATGCATATGAATATTACGTGTTTAAGACGGATGTTTAAACCCCCTTCTTATTGAACACCAGTTTAAATATCAGTGTTTATATACAAAACACTAATGTTTTGTTTTTAAACCCTCTATGTTTAATTGTAAAACACGACTGTTTAAAAATAAAACACAAGTTAAATTATTTTTTACAGTGTAGAGCTTTTATACTAGCTAAATTGTATTTACCTAAAATTTGGGTGTTTAGCTAAAACTTAGGCTATTGCTCCCGTGAATCTCTATCAAATTCAAATGTAGGATGAGATGACAAGTGTACGATTCGATTGAGACACAATGAGACAAAATTAATATTAAAATTGACACCTGGAAAGGGAAGTCTTTTCTTCTTTTATATTGGTGATCTTTGTAATTTGTTTTTGGCACAGGGGTTTAAATATAAAATGAAGTCATGTATTTATGCGATGGATATATGAGGAAAATGTTTGCAAGTGACTAGTGCATAAAACGAAGTTTATATTTTTCAAGATTAATTTAATAGTAGCACATCTGCAAATAATTGAAGTTAATATTTATCATAGCTTTACTCCATTCTCAACAGTAATGAAGCCTAATAAACCCTTGCAAATAAGTGTCCATCTGTCTCTCTGTCAACGTTTTTGCACAACCGTGTTTACGTTAAAAGCTTTAAAATATAAAAGCCCTGGTGATTCATCCATGTTTGAAAGATTGCTTATGTTGTAGGGGGAATGCCATGGTTTTACTTCTTAATTCACATCTCGAATTTCAGGGAGCTCAAAGCAAAAATATGTAACTCATTTCCTGATTATGAAAAGGGGAGAATAATATGATTCTACAGTTTACATGAAGATTATTTGAGATCCTTAAACAACACCGGAGGGTATGTACTGACTTTGATGTGGTGTTTTTTCTGGCAAATGTAAAGCCTTTATCAGGAGAAAAATGTTGTTTATGTCTGATGCATGGCGTAAAATTCTAAAATTGAGTGTAGTTTGAAATACAGCAAAGCAAAATAAATTACAAGATATTATAACCTTGTTTGTTAAAGGTATGACTTTTAATCCTTTTTATCAAATATATTCACCCATTCGTTAGACCCTAGCTTGCTTTTATGCTCGATTTAATAAGGAAGTAAGCATATACCCATATATGTCACCATAGGAGTGTCAGTGAAGGTGACTGGTAAACACAAGATGCTTACTACTCCAAGGTTCTTTATGTTTCAAACAAGTATACCTTTTGTGTCTCCAGCCTCCTTTTTTACCCTAGTCATGATTTCACTTGATGTATGAGATTGATTACAAATTGTGATCTTCATATTGTTTAGATTATGATGGCCTAGTCCGCTACCCAGTATCGATGAATGATGCATGTACGCATGTATTTGCATATTGGTTACCTAGGCATTTTGAAACTTTAGAATTACGTCAAAGAAAGGGGAAGGTTTGGTAGCGGCCAATTCTGGCCCCTCATTCAATGTAAAAGTCTGAACACTGTTAAAACTGTAATGGTTTGTAGTTAAGAACTAAAAATGATGCTTATTTTAAAAGCAGCACTAATTTTGATTCAAACCTTACACAGAGACCACAAGAGGATGCAGAAATAGAATATTTTTCAAATTTCTCAATTTTTGGGGAATTTCGTCAAATTTGAGATACTTTTTCACTAAGAGAGATACGAGATTCCTTATCTGAGGTTTTCATTTAAAAAGTACATCTGACAATATATAAATTTTGTAGATAGGCAAGCTTTTATTCTAACATTTCTAAAACAAAATGTGCTGTAATATCAAGGGATTGAGCAAATCTAGAAATTGATATATTTCTTAACTTTCTATGACTTCTGTATACCCATTAACTTAAAACCAATACACATTTTGTGTCAAGGGTGACAACATATTTTTATTGATAAAATGCTGCATTATTGACTATCTTGTTCTTACAAAGTGAAATGTCGTTCTGTTCTACAGATTGGTTGCTAGTGTTTTTGATAGGTTTACTAATTTAACAAATTTAATTAGTTCAAAACAATCAAATATTATTACTTACATATAAACCTTTCTGCACTAAGATTTTTTTTAACAAAAAATGTTTTAAATACAAACGAAAGACAATAACTTATAAGAAATATTGATATTTATTATTTCATTTTAATTTATACTCAGACTCTCAAAAAAGTAGTTTTTTTAGTCATTTTTTAAAATGAAAACGAAAATTTCAATAAGCATGTCTGAGTGAACAATAGAGGTAGAGAAGAACATTGAAAATCTAATTCAAAAATTACCCGAAAATCATGAGATAAGAAGAGTACAGAACTTTAATTTTGTGTTAATGATCATAATTAGCATTCCTTAAAACAGTCTGCGGGGATCTGTAATTTTTTATTTTAACTCTGATGTTTGATATGTTTGTTTTACATCTGATTGGTAAAGATATTGATATATTTCACCTCTGTCGCAAACTAGCATATAAAAGTGTTAAGCACAAAAATAGTGCATTAGTTTCAATTCATAATGATTAAAATATACCACTTATATTTTGGTGAAGTAGATCCAAAACTATTAGCAGAGCTCCAGATAAGGTGCGTACTTGCAGATATACGCATTAAATTTTACAAAATACGCATTGAAAATCAAAATAGAGCATACAATTACGCATTAGCAATCATAGATACGCATTACACCACGAAAGTACTGCGTACAAGTTGAAGAATACATGTACGACTTACTTAATGATACGAATTGAGGTTAACTCAGTGTTTGATTTTTCTCAAAACGAAGTACAGATATAAAAAGCCTTTTAGTGACCAGGAATATTCTAGTAATGACGATGATGATCTCCATTTCGGGAGGAAGAATCGGACATTTAGATTAAAATCAATTTCCATGTAGAGAGACTATGCACTAGGCATAACCTTTTTTTTATTATGGGTTCATAGCCAATTTTTCATCTCCCTCAACTTACCATATTAACGAAGATTCTTTCAGTTTACTCTTGATACGATATCTTAAATGAAGGAAAAGTTATCTGTGTCTCTGACTCTATGTTACAATACAGTGTACCTTGACCTACTTTATAATCTTCCTTGTCAAAATAGAATGCTTTCCAATCTTGGTCCAAAGTCTTGTTGTTATTTACAAAATTTATTTAAATAAATACAGGGACTTACCTATGAAGTTTTTTCCCTCTTCAAAAACTCATACTTCGATTACAAGCTCTAAATAAAGGCCAAAACATTTCTATATAAACAAAATACTCTTCAATCATTTTGCTGAAAATCAAAATATGCATTGATTTGAAAATCAGGGAGTAAATACACTTTGGGGTAAAAAATTATCTGGAGCTCTGTATTAGTTTTTGAGATCAAGCTTATTTTCTTTTACTTTCTGACACCAGCTCATTCCAGAAGTGTCTAAAAGAGGAAAGAACGACTCATATGCATATGTTGACAAATTATGTCCCAATACACCAAATTGTACCAAGCAACATTTCTAAAGCATAATTGAGACATATTGTTTCTCAAATTCGAGAAATCTGTGGAGGAACCATTTATTCACTTGATCAGCTGATCTGGACCTTATGTATGGAATATATGGCGATAACGAATAGTATTCAAGTTCAAAAGTTCGTTAAGCAATACAAAAATTTAAATTGTAATATTTACAAAATTTACATTTAATGATTTATGTTTCTGGACTTTCAAAGGAACATTATTAAAATTGCCTTGAAAAAATAATACATGCTTTCTCTGCTGTGTTTTCAAGCATAGGGAATCTTTATTCCAATGAAACAAAAAAAAGGTATATTCATATGTTCTGTTATGCAGTTGAAAAAGTAAACAACATGAAGTATTCATTTTAAAATGTAACAGTTAATGAATAGAACTACGGTAGTAATAAAAACAATAGCAAAAAATAAATATATTCTAATTTAAAGCCAATTAAACAATAAATGGCATTGCTACATTTGATTTGATGCACTTAAGTAATGAAATGAACACAGATGTCATCGCAATATGATATGGAGATATACTATTGATTTTTTTTTTATTGCAATTAAAATCAATTCTTGATCTTTCTACTGGAATTTCCCCCCAAAAGTCATTTACATTTTCATTCCAAAATATTATCATTGGTTGCTATAAATATTTTCCTCTGATATTTCTTCTTGTGCCCGGATGTAGTCCAGAACAATATTGTAGATCATCATATACTCCTCCTTAGGGAAGAGAAAAAATTATCATGAAAATAGATTAACCAACACATACATGTATTATTGCAAAATGGAAAATCATATAAGAAATCAATAATGCATTGCAGCAAATGTATACAAGATATATACCGTATCAGTGGAGATTTTAGCGAGACGAATATTTAGCGATTTGTCCTTAAAAATTGTTATTCTAATTTTAGCGAGTTGTCATTGTAGCAAATGTAAACAAGATATATATAGTTATGCTAGAAGTTACCAGAGTGGAGCAGAGTTCCGGTCGTCTTATCTGTAATTGACGGACGGCAGTGAAAATGTCCACCTCCCCGTCCATAGACAACTGTTGGAGTGCGTTAAACACAGCACAAAATACTCCACATAGGACTGCACCGTCACTGATAATTAGAAAATATCAATATCCATAGACATCTCTTATAGTGTGTTAAACACAGCTCAGAAAACTCCATATATACAGTGTAGCCCCTCACTAATAATAATTTTTTTTAAAAAAAAATAGCAATATCCATAGACAACTGTTATAGTGTGTTAAATACTATTCAGAAAACTCCACATAGGTCAGCTCCGTCACTGATAATAATTTTTTTTTAAAAATTCCATAGACAACTGTTGTAGTGTGTTAAGCTCAGAACAGAAACACGGCAACTTCATATAGGGCTGCACCATCATTGACAATTAAAAAAAATATATCAATATCCGTAGATAACTGTTGTTTTAACTAAATATTTATTAAGTTAGGATATAAATGTGCCTGCACTTTTTATGCACAGATTCCCTTATAAGAGACACATATTTGGACGTGATAAAACGAAATCGTGTTAAGGTCGTTCTTTGTATATCGTCCCATAATACATTTTCATTTGCAATTTCTTTCGATGTTTTACGATTCATATTTTTTACCTGCTGACTACTGTAATGGGACCCTCAGTTTTACTTTGAAGTGCAGATGAAACCAAATGTAACATCTGTATTGTCGCCTGTGAGTTTTCTGCTATTTTCAAGCTTCCTTTTGGTTCTGAAATCGACACAGAACATCCCTCGTCATTTGCCTAGTGAAAGAGACGAGAGAGCGACACCTTAAAAGGATGCTTCCAAATCTATGGAGTAACAAAAATATCTGAAATGGTAAAAATACGCAGTTACGATAAGGCTGACCGAAGGCTTAAAATGCCTTGAAAATAGGCATTTTATTTTGAGCTATATTTTGATTTTAATATGTAATCCTTGTTTGAAATTGAAGTCAATTTAAGTTCATAGTTTAATCAGGTTTTATTTTAAAGCATTTTTGTGAAGTCACATGCCTGTGTTGATCACGTGACGGAGATTTGTGATATTCCTAGTTGTTGCACAAAAATCGCTTCGGCACAAATGCAAAACAAAAATATTGTGCAACGTTTGTTACATAGATCAATTCATCGTGATTTCTGGTTCATAGAAAGTGCTGGGAGCAGGTTTAATTATTTACTCTTCTGGAATATATTTTACGAGAAATTCAACTTACCAACATAAGAAGGGGTATTTTCCACTCTTTACCGCGATTAATATAAAAATGGATAAACTACACACGATCCCCCAGCAAAATTCAGTTAAAGGACATACTTCTCTTCTAGATTCACACAGATTATCTTCAATTTGTCCTTGTTTATCATTTTTGCCAGTCCAATATAAACACGATTCATAAATTCCAACTCTGTCTACGGAGGTGTAAGGGGAGCGTTCCAAACCTTATTTTTTTGCTATTGTTTGAATATTTGCATGTCTGACAAGCAAAAGCAATAAGGATATTCAATGTTCAATATCGTAACATCACACTCGAGCTTGAAAAACATTCCTTATACTTGAATTTAGCATGTCCCCAAAATAAATCTACATGCCATGTTATAATTATGAAACTTTCTCCGTCATGTCAGCTCAAGTATGCAGTGACTTGATGTCATATTCTATTTTGACGTCATATCTAGGTAGTTCAGGGAAGTTACTACAGTTTGAACAGTTTGATATTTTACGGGCAGCCTTATCCTAGCTGAGTAAAAACTAAACTACTTAATTCTATAGAATCGGTTCGATAAATATTACCTACCCCATCTTGGATAATGTTGATTGTTGAACATTTTATATCTGTGACTTGCTCTTGTCCACAATTGATCGTGAATGGAGTGACAGTTTTCTTACTGTTAGCAGCTGGTAGCCACATCTTTGTCTACGTATCACAGAGATTTTCAAAATGAACATTATTTATTGGTAAACGTTTGTAAGAATAAAATCAAGTTATAAGAATTATTTACTCACTGATTCAACTTTCGTTAGGGGATCCATGCAAATGACTATATCTGATTCATGGTCAGTGAGTAGGCGCAGAAAGTTGACAGCGTCCCCTGCTGGGGGATAAGGCGTTATTATAAATGCCTTGTTCTTGGTGTAGGACTGAAAAAGGGAAATAAGTCAATAAAAGAGCATTTTGTTTTTGTAAATCACACTCTACATTGATACAAAAGAATTTTTTCATCTGCTCATTAATCCGCTTACATATATTATTCAGTGTAAAAAAAACTGTTTTCATTTTTCAGCACTGTAGATATTAATTAATATTGATACTGTTGAGAAGTTATTTTTTCGACAGTTTGCCTGAATTTGAAGTACTTTCATTCCGATTGACTTCGTTGTAACGTACTTTTATTTCTTACAGTTAACACTCATTTTAATCAATTGCTAAGCAAAACAAATATTTACATACAGGAAGTGTAATGGCATTGATGTAATTCCCGCGTTGTGGTACACTTGATGACAGGAACAGGCGATACTTGTCAACTAGAATTGAGAAGATTTACTTTCTATAAAACCACATCTCTAAATGGTACGTGCATAACTTAAAAGATTATATACATTTAAAAAAAATGAAGCCGCATCTTTGTTACCGAATTGGTTGATGTACTGTAATGGCCACAAGTTTTACAAGTTTTTTTTTACAAGTTTACATGTTCACCAATCCTCTGCTATACTTGTACGGATTTTTAGGTCACCTGAGTAAACTCAGGTGACCTATTGCTATCTGTTTTCGTCCGTCGTCGTTCGTCGTCCGTCGTTCGTCGTTCGTCGTTCGTCGTGCGTTAACATTTGAACATTTTCAGCTTCTTCTCTGCAACCACTGAACCAATTTCAACCAAATTTGGCACAAAGCATCTATGGGTGAAGGGGAACAAAAATTGTGAATTTCATGATCCCTGCCCCCCTGGGGCCTGAGGGGTGGGGCTAAAACCACTAAAATTTATGCAATCTTTAAAAATCTTCTTCTTTACTCCTGGACATCAAGCAGTCAAACTGTTTGCATGATTGTAATCAGCAATGAGTCCTCTACCAAAATTGTGAAATTCATGGCCCTGGGGTCAGGGGTTCTAGTGCTAGGGTGGGGCTAAATAAGTATGTAGTGAAAATGCATTATTTCTTTGAAAATCTTCTTCTCTGCTCCTGTTTATTAAATAAACAAACTACTTACATAGTTATGATGAGCAAGAGCGCCTCTACCAAAATTGTGAATTTTATGGCCCCAGGGTCAGGGGTTCTGGTGTTGGGGGGGGGGGGCTCTATTGATTATAAAGTGAAAATACACGAATTCTTTGAAAGTCTTCTGCTCTGCTCATAGGTATTAAATAAACTAACTAAGTGCATAGATATAATGAGCAAGAGTGCCTTTACTAAAATTGTGAATTTTAAAGCCCCAGGGTCAGGGGTTCTTGTGTTGGGGGGGGGGGGCTCTATTAATTATATAGTGAAAATACATGAATTCTCTGAAAGTCTTCTTCTCTGCTCCTAGGTATTAAATAAACTAACTAAGTACATAGTTATGATGAGCAAGAGTGCCTCTACTAAAATTGTGAATTTTAAAGCCCCAGGGTCATAGGTTCTTGTATAAGGGGGGGGGGGGGCTCTATTGATTATATAGTGAAAATACATGAATTCTTTAAAAATCTTCTTCTCTGCTCCTGGTTATTAAATAGATTAACTAAGTGCATGGTTATGATGAGTAAGAGTTCCTTTACCAAAATTTTGAATTTTAGGACCTCAAGGTCAGGGGTTCTGGTGTTAAGGGGGGGGGGCTCTATTGATTATATAGTGAAAATACATGAATTATTTGAAAATCTTTTCCTCTGCTCCTGGGTATTAAATAAACTAACTAAGTACATAGTTATGATGAGCAAGAGTGTCTCTACCACAATTGTGAATTTTAGGGCCCTAGGGTCAGGGTTCTGGTGTTAGGGGGGGGGGCTCTATTGATTATAGTGAAATACATAAAATCTTTGAAAATACATGAATTCTCTGAAAGTCTTCTTCTCTGCTCCTAGGTATTAAATAAACTAACTAAGTACATAGTTATGATGAGCAAGAGTGCCTCTACTAAAATTGTGAATTTTAAAGCCCCAGAGTCATAGGTTCTTGTATAAGGGGGGGGGGCTCTATTGATTATATAGTGAAAATACATGAATTCTTTAAAAATCTTCTTCTCTGCTCCTGGTTATTAAATAGATTAACTAAGTGCATGGTTATGATGAGTAAGAGTTCCTTTACCAAAATTGTGAATTTTAAAGCCCCAGGGTCAGAGGTTCTTGTGTTGGGGGGGGGGGGGGCTCTATTGATTATATAGTGAAAATTCATGAATTCTTTGAATATCTTCTTCTCTGCTCCTAGGTATTAAATAAACAAACTAAATGCATAGTTATAATGAGCAAGAGTGCCTCTACCACAATTGTGAATTTTAGGGGCCTAGGGTCAGGGTTCTGGTGTTAGGGGGGGGGGCTCTATTGATTATAGTGAAATACATAAAATCTTTGAAAATTTTCTTCTCTGCTCCTGGGTTTTAAGCAGTTGAATTACCTATATAGTTACGAACAAGGACCGTTATCTTCCAAAATTGTGAATTTCAAGGCCCCATGGTCAGGGGTACCATAGAGAGGGGGGGGGGGGGCTATACTTATAGACTGAAAATGAATGAATTGTTGGAAATCTGCTCCTAGGTATTAATTAAATTATAATCAAATATTTTTGAAAAGCAAGGATGCCTTTTCAAAAATTGTGCAATGTGTGGATCTAGGCCTAAGGGTCAGGGGTTCATGTGTAGTAGGGGCACTATACTGATTATTGCTGAATATTACTGATTAGTTGAAATGTATTTTTTGTTCCTCTGCCTTGTCAATGGGTATTAAGTAACCAAACTAAGCAACTGCTAAGTGTATAGTTATGATGATCAATGATGCCTCTTTCAAAATTGTGAATGCCATAGCATCTGGCTTAAAACATGAATCAAATTCAATCACTGGAAAGTTGTTGCATAATGCTCAGGTGACCTATAAGGCCCATGGGCCTCTTGTTTTTAATATTACCGAGATCACTGTATATTCTGATCTTGAAAATGGAAATATTTTTAAATTTACACAGGGGTAATAGTGTCTTCTTAATTTCATATGTAGCCTACGACACATATAAAAAAAAATCATCGTTAACTTTATGGCAAGGACGAACAAGCTTTTCTTTTATCAACTTTCCTTATGTTAACAATTCCATTTTTCGTTCAACTTCAGGATGCACAATTTGGAACTTTATGGTTCAACATTTGCATATAAGCTATCAATCAGAATGAACCATTATGCATATAAATAGTAAATGCATATGTAGTATTTTAATTAACGTATGGATAACTTACGTGGAAGAACACCTAGTTTACTTCCGCTGCTCTCTATAGCAAATTTGAAGGCTGCTTCTGTGTATCTGGGTCTCACTCTTAGGAGATTCTAAATATGTAGGTTAGAGACAGATGATTCATTTTTTATCAATACCAATTTAAAATCATGTTTGAGCAAGCAAAAATGCATAGATTAATGTTTTTAATTAAGGAGGCTGGGGGGTCAACAAATTAATAAAAAAAAAACCCACCAGATTTAACTTATTTCTTTAGATACATTATCTTAAGCTGTCAACTCTCATTTGGCAAAGAAAAAAATCATACTTTTTAGTTTTAAAATTTGATCATTTTTTATATCTTTATATGGAGCTCTTCTTTTAAAGGAGATCGAAATAGTCTGAAAATGGCTGCCATCCCCCAGCCTCTTTAAGTTAAACAAGAATGAAATTTAAAGTAATTAAATCTTTAATAGAAAAAAACGGACGAAAAGCAAAGAAAGGTTTCAATTTTTTGAAGACATAGACACCTATCTCAAACTTTTTTCTAAAAAAATATGTATAAACATATCATCAATCAGGTCAACCAATTCTGGGGTTTCTTTAAGCTTTAATTTTAATTGACCTATAGCTATACATGGAACCAAACTAATAATATATACTGTCAGTTTGCTCTAGAAGACGTAAAAATAATATTTAAATCTTTAAAAACAAAAACGTTAAGAGAACCTGGAACTCTTTTCGAAGTTCGCTTTCATTGGCTGGTTTATCCAGGGTCATTAACTCTGCCTTCCTTGTAAATTCAGGTTTGGTGAGGACACATGTTGGAGCTTTGAACACGACTTCAAGCGCGAGGAAAATAGTCTTGTACTGTTCCTGTAACGTCCAAAAACCAAAACAACAAAATAAGAAATTAGCATACTTCGTTAATTCAACATGCATTGTAATGAGTTATATTTTCATTTTTTAAAGAATGTGCTTTCGGGTATGAGATGATAACATACCCTTTTCCTTTGTAAATGGAAAATTTAATAATATTCTGTTTCGCTCCATTGAAATACTAGGGCTTGTAAAGTACATGTAACATTCATATACCGGTACAATGAATTTGTCAAAAGTGTTTCAGAATTTATGACCGTAGAGAAATTAAGCAGAATAATGTGTCTTTAGTGATTTATAATTATACAATTTTAAAATTCAACATTTTTCCATGGTATATGTTACGTTTCAATGCTTTTTTTTATTAAAACTTAAAACAATGACATATAAATGCAGTGTTTTGTACGAACTTTGACATTTTAAATAAAAGAATTATAAAATATTTCTTAAGATATAAGAGTGATTCATATTTGCTTTAAAAGAATGATTAATCTTTGGAGTCATGATTAAAATCAACGATATTTACGCTATTATAATTGGTGCAATGGGGACAGATAAAACGAAATGATTATCTCAAACTTCAGTTTCGTTTGGAATTTACTTACGTAAGTTTGGACCATGTTCATCCTGCCTTCCCTCATTTTCTTGACGTATTCCGCGATGTTGACTTTCCTTTCTGATTTTCCCGCCTTGTATAAAGCATCTAATGCTATATAAGTCCCAGTGCGCCCGATCCCTGCGCTAAGGTCATTAGGGTTAAACAAAAAGACACTTTTAAACTATGTTCTTTCTTAAAAGATACCTTATGATCTATTTCAAAAGGTTAAAAAAGTCATTTTTGTATTATTAGATTATAATACATTACATTATATGATTTATAAGCACTTTAAATTAGAAATTCCAAAGAAGCATTTTTTTCTTCAGCAAAATGTAAATGAACAATAGACAATATCATTTAAATATAAATAACCTGCGATGAACTAATTTGGGACCAGTATTTTGTTGATCCGTTGTCCTTGTCACGTGATCATGGAATACTACAAGACAGAGCGGTTCCGGAATCCCGTGATCCGGCCAGGCAGTGTAGTGGTACTGGGTCACAATGCGGGACTTTTTATGCTGAAGATAAAAAGACAAATTTGGTTCGCTTATGATATTATTTAAATTATAGATGACGTCGAATCTTCAAAAAGAAATACAGCGTTCATATGTTATCGATTCATTTGAACTTTTCATTTTAACCTTAATAAGTTTCGTGAACTTCAGAAATGATATCTTTATTTTAATTACTGCTTTAATCTACAAAATTTCTCCAAACTGCGATACCAAATCATTCAATTTCAAATATACCATGAAATATACAAATATACCATGAAAATATAATTACAAAAATCAATACAACCAGACCAATATGAATATAATGAAAATTTTTTTGGATAGTTTGATCCCTTGTTTTGTACAAAATAGTTCCAGTAAGAGTTTCAATCCTTATTTTTATAAAAATATATATCAGAATATATTGCTTTCATTACTTCATATTTAATATAAGACAACCACTTTAAAACATAATAAGTACTTAAACATGAGTACTTACCACTTTATGGGTTACTCTAAATTTCCGGATTTTATAATTGGCGTACATTTGCTCCTCTTCCGCCAGTAACGAGATGACACCAAATGATATAGACTGATACAGATCTGGCCAGTACTTGGAACATTTCGCCTGATTTATAAATGATTTTTTGTAGATTGAATTATTGAATGATTTTCAAATAAACAATTGAACTTTCATGTCTCGAAAGAAAGGAGAGGACGTTCTAAATTTTAAGAAGTTGTGTTCAATCCTTTTGTTGTAACATCTGAACAATAAAATATGTTCAAACCAACAATATCTCGAATATATGTCAGAAAGAGTTGGGTGTCCTTATGATTTGTTCGCATTAAATTTTTATTTCAGTATGATTCTTACATATCAAAGGTTGTTTGTGTCGTATCGAGTTCAAAAGAACGAGGTTTATAGTTATCAGATTTCGTCCAACCAATCTTTGACTATATTTTGTTAATAAAATGTGCAGAAAAAACCCTACCTTATTGCCTTCTTTGAGGTTGGTCAGCATGATTATTTGGTCAACCTTTTCCTGCCAAATCATCGTCCAGAAGTCCTTAATGGTGTTCTGTCGAGGCCCTGTACAGAGAAACAAATATGTTAACATGATTACCTATTGTATTATCATTGTTAAGCATTATAATAAGTCAACACAAAGACAAGGGAAATATAAATAAACAGGTGTCCTATTAATAAAAGAACTTGCGACCTAATCTAGAATTAAATTTTGCTTATAACATCATATGTGTACTAAACGCTTATTATCTTTTTAAAAGATATTTTCAGAAATTTTTACAATCAAAAATTTAAATAGAATTATAAACTTAAAAGAATTACAACAAGTGGCAATTTCTGTTGTAAAACGTACTCCAAATGTTTTGTACCTTGTGCTGCAATATATTCTTTTGACTTGGCAATACCCTGAAAATAAAAGAATTTTCGGCAATGAAAAGTATTAAAATTTAACTATTTCATTTTTTTTCTTCAGATAAATACAAAATTGATTGAAGATGATCATGATTGGCCCTAGAATGTTCATATATGGCAATGTTACTTAACATTCATCCTGCTCTTCTTTTCAAAGATATTCTGTGCTTAATTATATTTATTTTTGAAAAGTAATTCGACAAAATATAATGATAAAATTACAATACCCGTTATAAGGTTTAAATATCCTTTATAATTCGATTTAAAAAAACATACATTCAATCAGCTGCCAAAATATGGCTGAAACATTGTCGAGTTGGCGTAAAACAACAATAATAATGAATCATATGTATTCAGTGGGATAAAGTTCTTTTTAATCCTTCTTACGTCAATATAATTGGCGTTGATGTAGTCAGACTGGCTATCTGACAATTTGATTCTTGAATGGTCATCTGGAAATAATCATTTATAATTATAAATCATTACATATAAAGCATAATGCAAATTCTTGACGAAATCTTTAAGTGCGGATTTCATGATGTCAGTATTGACATATTGTCTTAGCACCATTAATTTTAACAGGCTTAATTGACATTGTTTTAAAAATGCCTATTTCCACAGACATTCCTTTTAAGAAACAACATAAAGAATAGTTTAACATACATGGAAATGTGGTCTTGAATCTGTTTTTCGGCACGTTTTCCGGTAGCTTTCCAGCATCACAAGGGTACTTCTCACCATATGGCATGGCCTGTTGAACAAATCATTATGTACATGTACTGTACTTTTATCAGTTTCATCTCTTTCCTATATGTATAAAATGTATATTTAAAAAAATTCCCTTACAGCATATTCCCTTTTAAATCCATCGTCTTCATTTTTCCTTTTTTCCTTTATTACATTCTCCAATTTTTCTATATCTATATCTGGGATTGTTTCCTCATTTAAATAGAAATCTCCATATGGGTTTTCGTCATGTAGTTTTTCGTCGTTGTCAATATCATCTTCGCGCTCGTTGTTTCCTAATGTGACATCTATACCCGTTTTTTGGAAATTTTCGGAATTTATCTTTTTCTCTTTGAATTGTGGTAATCCTTTTGTATTCTCATAAATATCTGTAAACCCCGTCTTTTCTTTTTTTGATGATGCTTCAATGCAAAAATAAAACCATTTTATGCGTATTTAGATTGATTTTGTCACGATTGTGACATGACATATATAGAGTAATTTATTAGATAAGTTTAAAAAGTAATTCTCAACTTTTACGTATTTTCTCGTTTTCAAACAAATAATTAAAAAAAATATCATTTTTTAATTTAAAAAAATGTTATCCTCATACTAGATATGTTTATTTCTTCATTGGTCTTCATTGTTTCTTGATCAGTCCCTTTCAAAGTCCGCGACCTTTAAAGGAAGGTTTATTATTTTTAAAGATACTGTAGTTGCTCATATATCTGTGATGTATCACTGAACAAAAATATGATGACGTGGAGTAAGTTGTGGACGTGAGAAAATAATATAGATAAGATATACATATCGATATTCTTTTTTAGCGATAGAAAGGATTATGGTCTTATACTTTGTGTATGTGTCAATCTGATTGAACACAGACGGGGGTGTGATATTTATAAGGTCAACAAAAATGATATCAAAATTATAAAACACACACACACACACATACACTCACACACACACGTTCATCATGACAAGTACAATTTTTCATTACACTTTGTAATGCACAAATACTTTAATATTTCTTCTATTTATCAACTTACCTCCTAATAAAGATGACAACAAGTATGATAACAACGAGTACAACAACAATAGCAGCGATGGATCCCCCAACTACTGGAAGAGTATTTTCTTCGGTTTTTAATGGCTCACTACAGAGGGATCCCCCAAATCCATCAGCACATCCTCCTTCTGAGCATTCACCATTAATATGGTGACACTGTCTCGCACTACGACACTTTCCACATGTTTGGATACAGTTTGTACCATACATTCCGCCGTCACATTCTTCAAAGATACATTTAAAATGATTATTTCTATTACAATTTTTTGGTGGTACTATAAGACTGGCGGCCTGTTATACAGAGCAAACGCTCGCGAGCGCCAAAATTCCTTGTACCTCCTACAGAAATGTTTGCAAGCGCCCTCTCTCTCTGTTGAATACGCCTCATACTTACATATGAGATTGTCGCCCGCCTGGCGCGGAGGTTAGAGCGTCTGCTCTAGAGTCGGGAAGTAAGGAGTGGATCCTTACGTCGCGGGTTCGAATCCCACTGAGGGACGTGGAGACCGGTCTTTCGGATGAGACCGTATAAACCGAGGTCCCGTGTCGCAGTAGGTGCTGGCACAAAAAAGATCCCTCCCTGTTCAATGGCCCTGAGTGCCGAGTATAGGACAAAATTTGCAGCTCTCCACCGGCAAGTAGTGGCGCCTCCATATGACAGAAAAATTCTCGAGAAGGAAGTTAAATAATATACAATCAATCAATCAATACATATGAAATTTGTTCATATTTTACAAAGAAATCTTTTGTATTCAATCGAACATCCTTGTAAACAAATACCATTTATATGGTCACATTGCTCGTTCTCTGAACAGTGCCCACATTTTCTGTTATAGTTCTTGCCATACATTCTACTTTCACATTCTTGGAAAAAATTCAAAGATATATGAACAGCAAATGACATTTTCATGTAAAATCTGTAAAACCTTTCACGTTTCACAGCCTTTGAATTATTTTAATTATAGGATAAGGAGATTACAAGCTTTTCACACTTTTATCTGCTTTTGGCCCGCTTATTCAATACTTGAACATCGCAATCACTTACTATCTTTACAGTATGGTTCCTTGTAACCAATACACCCGTCTGGACATTTTCCAGTGATGTGATGACAGTGAGTACCATTAAGACAGTGTCCGCAGCTCTGATTGCATTTATATCCATACAAACCACCATCACATTCTGGGGGGAAAAGTTTAAACAAAGTGTTAATTACAGGTATTTTTAATTCGAAAGTTGTTGGAAGAATATATCTTAATGATCAGAGATAGATAAAAGGATATTCTGCAAAAATAAAGAATGCCCTGTTCCTTGTATAATTATGTAAAAATTAATTAGTCCAGAAATACTCATTATTTGTAATCATTGTTAGACTGGATTTAATATTTGTTTGCTATACAACTATTTTTTTCTATGGACTTCTGAGCTTAACGTAGGTCGCGGGTTTACAGGGCTTTTAAAAGTGTTCGAAAACATGTCATGAAAATTTCCTATTTGATTTGTCTACCTTTGATGTCCATTCTCTGAAAATTTGATAAAATTCGTCTGCACCGTTTTTGTGTAATTGAATTCCAAAGATGTCATTGTTATAGTTACATTTTCAACGGTATTCTATTGAATTGTATAGGAAAAACGTCGTTTTTAGCTTATTTTCAAGCAAGGATTTGATTAGAAAAATATCAGTAACTTTTAAATTGTGCAAACGAATTTGTTTATCCTTTGGTATTTAAAAAAATAATTGATTTGAAATAAATCTATGTGAAAAAATTAATGTGTCTTCGGGTTCATTTTTTTCTAATTTAATTGTAGATACTTGCTTTTATATTGAAAAATGTAGCATTTTTAAGAACAACGTCATAAAATATCGCGACATCACGCTTGACGTCGTGAATATCGATCCGGTATACAGAGCAAAAAAAAAATTATACGGATTTTAAGAAAAAGGAAATTCACGTATATCTGCTTTCAAATGACCAGTATCATAATAATTCAATAAAATAATTATTAGACATTTTTTCTCTTTAAAGCTTATTAGGTCTAATATTAGTGAAAATTCGCCTAAAATGCGTAAACCAACATTCAGTCCTTTAGTTTCTTTTTTATATTTTCTTCATGTTTATTTCTTACCGTTTCTTTTTTTTTTTGTTTTGTTTTATTCATTGCGCGGATTTGCAAAATAAAAGTGACTATGTATTCCATTTTGGAAAAGGCAGATTCCCCACCCCCGTTGAAATCGATCGCAGATCTGTGATCCAAGTTTCAGTTTGTTTGAAAAGTCGTAGGTATGAAGATAATTCAGAAGTCAAGGACTACTAACACCCCAAATCCCAAGCCTCGAAATATGTTTTTGTATGTACCTTTTTTCTTTAGAAAATTCAGCAAGGCTATAAAATCAACAATAGTTTCTTAAGAATCAATTTCCGCCAAATATCCACCCGAGTATTAGACTAGTACGTGTATTAATGCATTTAGTGTTTATATTGAAAATATTTTTGCTTAAGTTAACAAAGATGCAGCAAATAATTGAAATAAATCTTAACTTGATTTTATTTTATGCTTATACGTATAAGGATAGAAAAAAAAACGTAAAAGGAATTATTAGATGGGTAAATGGGACGATAATTTAAACATTAATTTTATTTGGCGCAATCAACAGGAAGATTTTATTTTGTTCTTAGACTTTCAATGTATACATATAACATTAATTCAACTGAATGAACATGGAAAGCAATGCAGGGAATAAAATATGTATGTGTAACTAACAAGAACGTGTGCCGTTATTTACACAGGCAATTTGAGTATCGACCCCCCTCCCCTTCTGTTTTTTCTGGGGGGTTTCCTATTTTAGATTTTTAATACGTATTGCATTTATCTCTTAAAGCGTAGAGAATCATGGAATATGCAGAAATTAGAAACACGCTCTTCTTCCTTTTTCAGATTTACATTTATACAATTCTTTGTGTGCCTACGATTATTAAATATTTCGATTAAATCAACATGCACATATCGGATGGAGTTAAAATTCAAAAATTGGAAAAAGTTTACTCACCCCGGCCTTAGCAAGTAAAAAATGGAAAGGAGGAAGGGGTCATATCCTACGTGCCTGTGGTTATTTACGAGAGGACAATGATGTTCAAAAAATGTATTTAATCAAGTTTATGTTTCATTTTCTAGTTTTACCCTGGTAGTGCCTTAAATAAGTAGCAGTTTTAAATTTGTGATCAACCTGTATATAGATTTGATACCGCTTCGTAATTGAGTTCGACTTTCCATCGGTGAGCAGAGTTTTGACGCTGTTTACAGAGATAAATGAAAGCAAAAACATGCATGCAAATAATGCCATATATGGTTGTGTAAATAAATTGTCGTAGAAGACAATGGTAATTAACAGTTTGTTATAATGCATTTCCACTGAAAGTGCACACTAAAATGAGTGCGTTTCTGAGGAGGAGGTATTATTAGTTATCCCGGATTTACCCCGGGTGTATGGAATACAACCCGGGGTAAATCCCCGTACACCCTTGATTGGACCTGGATAACGAATTTATTTCCTTTGTACCCATAAAAATGCTTTGTAAACATGATTTTTAGCTTTTATCATAGAGAATGCATGCATTGTGACGTCACGTTTTATTTACACCCGGCTCAAGTCGGGTGCATGGATATTTACAACCGACTTTGTAACCAATCAAAGCTCGTGTTGCAAGCTAGATAGGAAATAACGAGTGTGATTCGGAGTTAGATAATCTGTTTTATAATTATACACATTTAATACATGTTTTTAATATTTATAAATCATACATGATACAAGGGTTAAAATTTATTTCCGAAACAAGTACATACATGTGCTCTCAGAATAGACCCGAGAAGATGCGATTGATAACACATAATGAAACGCTTTCAAACACTTTCAGTGATGGTCATTCGAATCAAAATGAGCCTTCGTTATTTTTTATAACTTCAGCATGTTCTATACTGTTACACTAAACTACGAATTTCAACAAAAGTTATAGCTAGATAATGAACTGAATTTTTCCCTTTCTCACCGTGACGTCATAATCAGATGTGCACAAGAAAGTCGCCCAAATCATATAAATTGCGTACCCAGTTTTAATGACGTCAGGAAACCCGCGACCTACGTTAAATACTTGCATATTCAATATACAAAAAAGTCTAAAGATGCACCCTTAAACACGTTACGTGTTATTATTTCATTAGTAAAAAAAAATTATAGATTAACGAATTGCAGTTTCGCTTGATAGTTACAGGATATTGATTAAATAAACAGATATTATAAATTATTTCAAATATTCTAAAATGTTAATCTAGCCTTCAAGATCTTAACTTTAATTTATTTGCAGAGCATAAAATTTTATTAAATATAACAAAGAAGTTCATTATTGAAAGATAATGTACCCTCAATATCAAAGTCTGATTATATTCAGAAATGATGACATTCCAAAATTTCACTATGCTTCCTGATAATCTTGCTATTTATAATTTATTTTTGTTTTTGTAGATGTTTCAAAAAACTGATACTTTTTTCAATGATGCAAACAATCTTGTCCATATCTTTCTGAATAATTTCTCAGTTAAATAAATAAATGATAATATTCATGATGACCTGATAGTTAAAAGGAAAGAGGGTTTATCAGCAGTCTAGATTTTCCTTTTGACATATGATTTTAACCCTAATTTATTTTGTGCTCTTAAAAAATTATGCAGAATGTTCGTAAATGTATGTTTTACCTTCAGTACAATGCGTCCCTTTATACCCAGCTGAACATCCCTGTGAGCAGTTCCCATAAATGTGATGACATTGTTTATCGTTAAGACAGTGGCCACAGCGTGTATTGCAGTTATATCCATACATTCCACCGCTGCAGTCTTATATATTTAAAATAAATATAATTTATAACATTATTCATTCTTATCATGTATTTTGGTATGCCATAATATTACATATTATACTCAGCATATACTGTGTACAGGGAAATTTTCGCCCCAGTTTTATTTTAGCCCCTTTCGTCCTAACCTCAGTTGGGCGAATTTAAAAAGGGGCGATTCCAAAGAACACAGTATAATTTCATAAACAAAACTGTGAGTGGGCGAATTTAAAACGGGGCAAAATTGTGTGCAAGGGTGAAAGGGCGAAAATAAAGCGGAACGAAAATAACCCTGTATACAGTATACAGATTTGTAGAATTTATGTAACTATGCTTCATAGTTAAACATATATCTTACTCATTTTACAATTAGATCCTTCGTATCCTGCAGAACATCCTTCTAAACAAGAACCGTTGACATGGTAACACTTTGTATCATTAAAACAATGACCACATTCCTCACTGCAGGATGCTCCATACCATCCTCCATCACATTCTTAAATACAATTTCATATACATTTGACCAATGTGCTTATATTTATCATCAATGTTTTATAGTTACTGCCACCAATAAATTTATTTAATCAGGAAAACATCTGAGAAGGGTTATTGGACTTAATATTTTAAAAATTGTATTTATGTGTTACAATGTTGATGGGAAAACTTTTTAAAAAGCTTAAAAAAAGCTTAAAATCGTAGACGTTCAGTTGTTCACTTACTGTCGACACATAGAGATCCGTTGTATCCAGGCGAACACCCTCCTAAACAAGTTCCGTTGATGTGGTGACAAGGCACGCCATCAAGACAATGTCCACAGGTCTTATTGCATTTTAAGCCAAACGTTCCACCGTCACACTCTTCCGGAAAGAAAAAAAATTAATTTCACGTTCATAACTTTCATTAAACCATGAATGACTTTTTAAAAAATCGTTTAAAGCCATATATGGCGTAACTGATCAAAAAATATATTTTTGAAAAATACAAAATTAAGTAAAGAAATATAGTTAATATATTCAAATTAAAGTTTTTCATACAATTCTGAACACGGAGAACACCTCGTTTCATCTAATAAGACGATTTTATCTTCTCTGTAATGTGTTATTTAAATCTTTTGTATAAGAAAAGGCCTAAATTAAAATGTGATATCTTTATAACGCAATTGACTTAGATTTTGTAATTTAGGGAAAACTTCTATCTTTATATAAAGTAATGATACAAATAATAGGTTCTTATAATTTTAGTCTAATAATTTTCATTGTACATACGCCATATATGGCTTTAAGGATAAATAACACAAACAAACTATTTTCAGAAATCAGCATTATTTCTCATAGATTTACATTTAAAATGAAAACCTGAATAATGTTTACCAAGTAGAGTGGGAGAATTTTATAAGATTTTGTCATAAGGTTAAACAATTGTGCAAAATTTTGTATGGAATTATATAGAACCCCCCCCCCCCCCCAAAAAAAAAAATCTCAAATCTAAGCACCAAGGAAAACCTACGATTTCTTTATATTTCAGGGATTTATTATTTATATCAATACAAATCAAAATCTGTCAAAAAATATATATCAACCCGAGCATCCATTTTTTGTTTGTGGTGAGTACCCTTAAGAATTATGATTCTGATTCTTTGATAACTTTAATATAATAAGAAAAGGCCACATGTCATTGAAATACTCTACATAATGTTCAACTATTCCAACATTAAGTTTATTAGTTTACAATTTATTTTTCCGGGGATTGGGAGGTCAATTGTACATGTAGGAAAAAAATCAATACAGAATTCATCTAGCAACTGAATTCCGCTTATTAGAACTAAGAGTAGTATATAGAATTACATATAACTTAGGTGAAATCAATTGGGATTACTTTGATTTTGGATATCTTATACGCAATTTTACTTTTATGTCTTTTTTTTTAATTCCTCTCTGTGTCCCAAAGATTAACCGTTTGAACAAGAACCGTCGATGGAATGATAATAATTAAAATTACCCTACATTTCACCTTTAGATGATCTGTAACTTCATCCTTCGCATCCTTAAATTTGATGCAATTGTGGAATATTTTCATTCTTCTTAAGATATTGATACTCAAACATGTTTTCACAAGAAGTAGAACAGAATGTTTAAGTTCTTTATGACGAACAAAAGTATGTCATATTGATTATAATTTTATTTCCTTTTTGCAGACAAAATATACTTTTTCTGGTAGGTATTGAAGTAGCCTAAAAGTTCTAGACATGGAGTGAAGTTATTCACTTACTGTCGATACATAGGGGTGCTTTATATCCAGGAGAACAACCTCCGCTACATGATCCGTCAATGTGGTTACAATTAGCACCATTAAGACAATGTCCACAGGTTTGATTACATCCCAGACCAAACTTTCCAACGTCACATGCTTTGAAATAATTATTTTCTCTATGTCATTTCATATTTTTCATAAGTATGCATGATTTTCTTTACGATTTCGTTTAAATTGCCACAGTTCTGACTTTATAGTCAGTAAATAATGTATTTGAAATATATAGTACTGGAAAAAATCATCAAAATTTACAATTCAACACAATTAAATAAACATGAAAATGTAGTCTTTAACAAAATAATTTCTTCTGCTTTTTACGTTTT